CTATAGCTGAGAAAGTTTCCGGAATCCGAAAGCTGCGAAACACCCGGTAAAAACGAATCAAAACAAAGCGCATGTGCGCTCTGGACGCGGGAAAAGCCGTGGGCACCTTGGCGCGAACATGCGTGCGCCTTGTACGGGCTGGCCGGGCTCGGCATGCTGCATGATCTCGGAGTTGTTGTCCCCAAATCCGCAGTTTGAAGCGTTCCTTAAAATTCTCTACAGGCTTCTTTTGGGGATCTCTTTTCGGGCTCCTCTTAAGACTTCTGCTTCCTTGCAGGTTCCATGAAGATTTGCGTAAGCTTCCGAGGATGCTCTCGTAAGCCTTGCTCTCCAGGCGTGCACCCCATCTCCTTTGCGATCCCATCCGAGGACATGCTGTGCTTGGGATGAGCCCAATATAGGGGGCCTTAATTCAACACATACCTTTCTACTGTTTTGAGGTTCCTTATTCTAGTTATAGTATACTTTACCCGAAACCCTATTCCAATTATTAAGGCCCCTATATTAAGGGTGTGTTAAGCTTCACGCCTTTTTCTGGGTCCAAGGGGCTCGCAGCTCTGGCTTGGGGATGCGAGCTTGCGCCTCTACTTTGTATAGCGACTGCTACACGGCATTGGTGACACTGCATGGGATGAAGGGTTCTTCTCCCCAAACCTAAATCCTAAGCTCTTATAAGCCCTAAACCCTAAACCCTGACTCCAGAACCCCAGCACGTCATGTCTGTTCATCGGCAATCTACTGATGTGGACTTCAGATTTAATACGTATTCGCCCACAAAAACAGGTAGCCCTTAAAGAGTCCTCATAGAACGCTTCGAGAAGTTTTATGGAGACCTTCTGGAACCCCTGAAGCCACCACGAGGACGTCGTTCCCTGTGCCCTATAAACCCTAGACCCTAAAGCTAAACCCTAAACCTTTAAACCCTAAACCAAACCCCTAAACCCCTAAACCCCTAAAACCTCTAAAACCCCGGAACCCCTGAACCCTTCATCCCTAAAACCGAAACCCCTAAACCCTAAACTCTTAAACCCCGAAACCCCCCTAAGGCCTTAAAACCACCAAAAAGGACGTCGTTCCCTGTGTCCCGGAGAAGTTTACCGATTTCGCTTCTCTGCTCCCCGGAGTCGAGGACGAGCGCTCTGTGTGTGGTGAAGTGAAGTGAAGTGATTACTTAGAGGATCATGGGACTTAGTAACTCGGTTATAACTGGGGTTATAAGTCCCCTAAGTGGGGTTATCCTAATTATAACCTACTTATAACCCTACTTACTAAGTGACATGATCCTTTAAGTAGGGGTTTAGGGATCTAGGGGTTTAGGGTGTAGGGATTTAGAGGTTTAGGGTGTAGGGGTTTAGGGTTTAGGGATGAAGGGTTTAGGGATTAAGGGTTTTAGGGCTTTAGGGTTTAGGGATAAGGGGTGTTTAGGGGTTCGGTTTTAGGGTTGAGGGTTGGTTGTCTTGAGACTCAGGACTCGAAGGGGCACTACCACGGATTTTTAAAAGGTTGCGATACTTCGAGGCTCCGTAGTAGTTCCTTTTAGGGGTTCATATTTAGAATCCTATGAGGTAATCCCCAAAAAGGAGCTACTATGGAGCGTATGGTAGGGATACGAGCAAGATTGCGCTTGGGGGTTCATGGTGCTGATTTGTGGTGCTCCGGGGCTTGATGCGGAGGCCTAATTTTTAAGACTTGTGTTTCGGGGTAAATCATAGTCATACTTTAGTTTAACCATAGTAAGGAACCCCCCCAAACCCTATTCTATCGATTAATGGGTCAATTGAAACAACAAAAGCGTTGCGGCTCGCCACATTGTGGGGTTCGTGGTCTAAGATTTAAGGGTCTAGGGTTTTTAGGATTTAGGGGTTTAGGGTTCCAGGGTACGGCTACAGGATGTATGCGGAATTCCGAAACGGTTGCTTCCGGCGTGTTCATTGGGGTCCAGTGAAGTTTCGGATGGCGCCCCGTGGATTTCGAGCAGCTTGTGATCCTCCGTCGGCAGAGCCGGTCCTCCTGCAGATGCAGACATTTCCCGGCGGGTGGTCAGCAGTGAATGCGCTGCGGGCAGCATGCTGTGCTGCTGGCATGCCGGTGGTGTCTGTGCTGCTGCACGTGTTGTTCAACAGACCGGGCTGCGCGGATCGCTGCCCATATGAAGGCACCAATTTGCACTTCCGTGCCCATCATCTTTTGGCAATTGATGGAACTACGATGCCCCGACGCAGAGGTTCCCAGGCTTCGCATTCAGGCAAGGCAGATAGAGCGATGCCAGGGGCTCTGATCCAGGCATTACATGAGTCTGGATTTAGGGTTTAGGGTTTTAAGTTTTAGGGTTTACAGGGCAAGCTTCAGCATGTAGGATTAGGGGTTACGAAGAGAGCACGTCAAGTTGCCGACAAAAAGGACACGGATGGGCGGTCGTCTCATAAACCATTAAGCCCTAAACTGTAAATCCCAAGAAATCCCGCCAGCAACAGTTGAAACATCGGGTTTATAGAAGCCCAGCTTTCCGCTGCCCTACGCTTGAACTTTCTTACGCCCTAATCCCTATGCCTTACTTCGCCACCCCTAGTTACCCCCTTGGCAACCACTTCTGCGCTGTACCTAATAACCCCAGTTGAAGCCCGTATAACGGTTGTTTCGTATAGCTCAAGATATGTATGTATGATGATGCTATACCCATCTATGGCCCCATGTGCGCACCGTTCCGAGTTCGGCTTCCTGTGAAGGAGACCTACATTTTTCCGATGACGTCTTTCGGTGAGATGGAATACAAGAGGACCCGAATTCGGTACTTCAAACCCGAGGGTGCCTACCTAATCGTGGCGTTGGTGCATTGCTCTACTTAGCAACCAAAATCCTGCAGTCAAAGTACCGAGGAGTGTTCCTTAGTTGAGGAGGCTCGAGTATCGCGGCATTTATTGTCGCTGAAATCATAGAACTGTAAGATGCATTACCACTATACACCCCAAGCGCTACATCCTAAATACATACCTCCAGAACACCCTACAGTAGAAGCCCAAAAGTTGGAAACCCCATAGCCTCAATCCTTAAGAGTAATGTATAGGGAATCCCAGCACTATTTGGCCTTAATCCGGTTTCCAACTTTATGGGCTCTACCCCTAAACCCTCAGCCCTTAAACCCTTAATTAAGCCCTAAACCCTGAAACCCTAAACCCTTACTGTAAACCCCGAAACATGTTTATTGTAAGCCCCTGGAAGCGTAGCTTCTCAAGATGGCCATGACTGCAACTGGGATTTGGCGAGTGGCCTCCGAGTTTGAGCTCGTCCTTGGGTTTGAGGATCAAAGTGTAGGGCTTCAAGCTTGGACTCACTTATAGGTCAGGATCACAGGGATGGTATTGGTGTTTTGAGTTGGCAGTACAGCAATAAAGCCTGGGGTGGATTATTCGGTGGATTTCGAACCCGATCGAAACGCCCCACATCTCCATGTGTCTCCATGTGTAAGGCTCATCTGTCTCGCGGACTGAGTCACATCTATCTTGAAACATGGTCCTTAACACCCGATCTGAATCTCCGAACACTTACCATGCCCCGTGAGAACCTGAAGCCCTACAAACCAGAAGCCAAAACCGCCAACACCTCATCCCTGAACCGCATAAGCCCTAAACCCTAATCCCCAAGCCCTTAATGTCTTAGCCCCTGAACCGTATAAGTCATAAGGCCTGACCTCTATAACCCTTAACCGCTTAACCCTGAACCCTTACCCTACACCTATACACCTTAGACCCCTTCAGTCGAGTCATCCCCAGCTACAGGATGTATCGAGAGGCCCGCTTCGGTGTGAAAATCCGGCGACAAGGCCCTGATGCCTACGGCCCAGCTAGCGCAGGGTTTAGATTTAGGTGGTTTTATATGTATTTTGCAGATGGCTATACCGTCTGGTATTGGTCTTACAAGCATTTCAAGGGGGGGGTTAAGATCGAAAAGCTTACATAAGGTTGTGTAAGGGATTTGGACCTCAACCCTTAAACCTACATATTCGGGAGTTTCCGAAAAATAGGGGTGCGTTTTTTTATGGGATCCTGACAACAAGGATCCTACTATATAGGGTACTTTACTACCTCGACCCTCCATCTACCCTCTATTAGATCCTACATGCCCCTTATTTGGGGCCATTTACTCCTATGTGAGGGTACAAGGAGGGTCCTGGTAGGGTCCCCTATTTTCGGAACTCCTAGTCCTATTCCGGATCCAGGCTGGGAGACCATGCGGATTTACGAGATCCTCGCTGCGGGATCGGCTGCTTGTCCGCATTTAGGAGGGTCCGGAATGTTCTAGGGAGAGTTCTTGGGTCTCTTTGGGGTCTCAGAAGCCCTGAACCTTGAGGTTCCCCAATGTGTTAGGACCCGTCCTGCACCCCATAGATGCCCTCTTTTTGTTTCGTTTAAGTTGACCTCCTATATAGGTAGTCCTTGTGTATGGTTTGTGGTACCTAAAACGGCCCAACAGTCTTAGAATATTGAGAACTTGGACTCTTTGGGAAGACCACTCTAAGTTCCCCAAAACAACCCTAAACCCTTGAACCGTAAAATCCTCAAACCCTACCTATAGTCTCCAATGTAGTTCTTTTTTTGGTCATCCAGTTTTATGGTTGGGATCCTATGGAGTTTTTGTTAACCAAGAAAAGGCACTACATTGGAGACTATAGGTATACTATACTAGGGTCCCATATTTTCGGAAACTCGCATTCCGGATGTAAAATCCTCAAACCCTGAAGTCCTAGCTTGCCAGCCTGCAGGAGTTGTAGGACTCCTAAACGGTTTTCCTTGCACATGCAAGTTTCATTCACGGCACTTAGGGCTTAGGGTCTTCGGGTTTGAAGGTTTGAGCTTAGCATCCTCGGGTTTAGGGTTTCGGGCTTTATGGCTTTTGCATTTAGTGGTTTAGGGTTTTTTGGGCTGTGGGTTCTATTGACGTTGTGCATGAGGTTTAGGGTCACCAGGGCAGATAACTCCATGTCTGTTCCCTTTGCTGCTTAGATGCCGTACATCGAGAAAGTGGAGCAGATTCCCCCGACTGCGCTCGTCTTCGTGAACAAGACGCTCTTGAAGCAGCTGAGCTCTAGACAAGAGCAAACTAGAGACCGCTTTTCCTAGGGTTTTCAAGGTCGGTAGGTTAGGGCTCCGATGATTCAAGGTCTTTTTTGGGGGCTTTCTCTATGTTCTTGGGCCTTGGCATCTGCGTATGGCTCCGAGTGTAGCAGCAGGTTCGAGAGGCCGTAGGTCGACACATTGCTACCTCTTTTTTGTTCATGATTCTGCGTGTCTTGCCCACTGAGGTGGCGGCCCCATAAGAGTTCCTGTTGAGGTTTGTGTTTCACCGAGACTATACAGCCGGGGTTCATGAACTTGTACAGTTCCCCCGCTCAGGTTGCAAGACACAACCCGCTGGTCAGTGCCTCCAACACCCGATATTGTCCTGTGCTTGAGCTCAATACATTCGACTATAAATTAGTACAACATCTACTGTATTTTTCAGGGTGTTATTCGTAAACCGTAGAAAGATCCTGTGAAAGCAATTCATATGGACCTCCAAACGAAAACGGTGGATTCTGGCAGTTTTAAAGTTAAAGGTATACCACGGGTTATGTAGCAGGCTAGGCACTCTGACATTGCCGAGGGCGGCGCGAGAGCTGGGAACGCAGAAAGATGGCACATGGCCTGGCTACTCCATGCTGGCCGCGGCGTGTCTCAGAACTTAGTCGTTTTAGAGGGCTTTAGATAGGTTCGACGGTGGCTGTGCATCTTAATTCTCTGTCATAGCGGTCCCATAAGGCATGCACAACCAGGCCACTTTGAGGTTGATAGCAGCACCGACATCGATTTAGATAAAAAGGATACGATCACCAGCCATTCCAATAGGCGTATAGGGTTCACAAAACTGCATTTTAATGTGCCGTTCGTCCTGATTGGCATGAGCCTCCCTCTCGCCCTCTCCCACCTCCGTCTCCCTCGCTTGGTTTTTTGGGGGGCTTGGGCTTTGTGTCCAAGAGCACAGCAAGCGAAACCATGCAATCCATGCGGCCAAGATCGGCTTTCCGGAAGTAAGTGGCCCTGCTATAATATACTGTGAACAGTAGGATCCTTCTCACAAGGATCCTACTTCTGGAAACCAGGCGTGCTGAACCCCTGCCCCTAAACCGCAAACCTTAAGCCCTAAAACCCTAAACCCCCAAACCCTAAAACCCTAAGCCTACACCCTAAAAGCCACAATTCTCGCCCTCTCTGGCGCTAAGGCAGAGCTCCTCCGGCACACGCAGCAGCACCTGACAACAGAGGCAGGCTGCATGGAACATCGTAGGATCATCTTCAGAGTATGGCTAGCTAGGGCTTAGGACTTTCAGGGCTTGCAGGGCTTACAAGGTTTCTAGGTTTTACAGGACTTTTAGAGTTTAGGGTTTAGGGCGTAGGGTTTCAGAGAAAGTAAACATGTCTTTTTGTGCTCATGTTTGCTTTTGTCTTCGCCGTGGCCATTGTGAACACCATCATCATCAAGCATGCGACTTCAATGCAACAATCCACAGCCTTTGATAGTTCGAGGATGACGATGGCCGCTTCTGTCGCGGAACCTGAATATCACAATTCTACCTTCGACCGACGATCATTGCTCCCGCAACTTGTTTTAAGTCGAAGTGCAACAACAAGATGCCAGGACGGCCGGGACACCGTCAACACTCAAGCCCACACATCTCCTAAATCTCATTCCGACCCCAACCCTAAGCCTGAAACTCTAGAACCCAGGCGCACTCTAAAGCTCCAACCTGGAAGCTCCCTTGTAGTGTAGTCCCGAATTACCTCTTAATGAGAAATATTGGAGCCCTTTAAAGGCTACTTGGGGGGTGCTGGTCCCTATATGTACAACCTGGAAGCCCTCGGGGTCCCACTCCCCGTGAAGCCCAAGACTCCACCGGAAGCCTAAATCTTCTGAAGTTTCGGGTTTCGGGTTAGGGTTTAGCCTTTAGGGTTGGGAGTTTATGTTAGAGAGCTTCTGCCACAGAATAGTATGGCAACACCTCCCTTCCCCCAAGGACCATCCAGAAAGCAAAGACAGTACATACCAGAGTTGCACAAGAGCCGTAAGCCCTAAACCTTCTTGCCCTAAGCCCCACGGCCTCAACCCAAAGACCCCCAGACCCTGATCCGCAAAACCTTCTGGCCCAGGAAACCCAGCATCCAGTGGTATGCTGACTTGTGTTTTGTTTTCTCTTTTTCTCTAACAAGACACTATTCAATTACACTGGTTTCTGTTTGATTTTTGAACAAACAAGACACCAGCTACCCAAGCGGAAAGAATGGTTTAGCTTTGTCAATTTCGGTGAGAGGCCCTAGATTGAAGATACCTGGGCTTTGCTTACATGACCATTGGCCCGCATTGCAACTATTTGGTCGGAAAACCCCCACCTAAAGTGAAAAGCCACCCCGGAAGCAAAAACGAGGTTTAAACCCTACGCACTAAACCCTAGGCTTGCTGTACCCAGTGGTGTTCTCTTCTGCAGGCCCTGGCGCGATACATCCTGTCTGCTTCGGGGCGGGGTGCTTTGATGCAACTAGGGTTTAGGGAGTTTGAGGTTCAGGGTGTAGGGCTTAGGAACCCAGAGGGTCCGAGGTACCAAATAGTAGGGTTTTAGGGCCCAAAATCCATACTCTGAATGGTTTTTGGACCTTGAAACCCTACTATTTGGGTACTTGGACCCTTAGGGGAAGAATTGAAGCTTCGACGGTGGTTCGCGGGCTTGGTCATAATTATGGGCTTCAGGATCTCAATATTGCGTGCTTTCTCTGTGTGTCTGTGTGTGTACGTGTGTTCGTGGTTGTGGTCTTGGATCCCTGGCACGTAGACTACACCCTGAACCCTACCTGCCTTGGCCCTTACGCCCAAAGCCTTAAAGGGCTTTATGAATCCTACACCTTGTAGACCTGCAGACCTCAACCCAGCGGGTCTCCCACTGAGGTCTCGAAGAGCTGTTGCACCGCAATGTTCAAACCTAGAGTTGAGACTGCAGTTAGGGTTTGGCACAAATTCATCACATGTTGGGCCTGCAAGGCAGGTGGCAGGGGGAGGAGCGGAGTGCAAACGAACCCTTGGTCCTTCATGGCGGCAGGAGCGGTGCATGCGGCAAAGCCGCATGCAAAACACAAAGGCCCATGACAAGGACTTCCCCTCCAGCCGCGCAACAAAGTGGGACGAATGGCCACACAACAAGACCCGCTAGTTGGTACTAAGAGCAGAGAGGGAGGAAAGGGCCGAGAGGGCAAAGGCTAATGTAGGAACCTGATTAAGAAACCTTGGGCTTAAGGTTAACCTTGGGCTTAAGGTTTCCTTTAAAGGGGTCTATAAGGGCTACTATAAGGGATCTATAAGGGTTAGTATAAAAATTTAGGCACCTGATTAAGAAACCTTGGGCCTTTATTGGGGCCCCTTATATGAATCCTACTATTTTGGGGTTATCGGCCCCGGGTTTCTTAATCATTATAGGGCAGGCGACGCCGGTTAACGAGCAACTGCCTTCAAATCGTGAACTTCGAAAGTCTCCAGACAGCAGCTGCATATCGAATGAACTTGAAGACGCAGGGCTGGGACGAGTTAGAATCCCCCCGACCACCTTCATGCAGACATCTAGAATCTAGCTTCCTGCATCTTCGGGAGTATCATTTGTGGACACTTTTGGTTTGGTGTTGCCAGCCGCAAAGATGAAAAACACCACATTTTTGTAACTACCCTGGCAGCGGTGCCTCCAGTGGTGTCTTCAAGACGTCACTGAAGAGATGCGCAGGTGGATTGACTACCTTGGCAGTGGTATCTTCAAGACGATGCTGAAGACATATGGAGGCGGAGTGACTTCCTTGACAGCGGTGCCGTCAGTGTGTCTTCAAGACGGCGCTGAAGACGTATTGCGGTGGATTGACCTTGGCAGAGGTGCCTGCAGTGGTGCGACAACTGTGACGAAGGACCTCGCTAACATGTACTTGGACCCTTGCTTCCGCTAGACCCCACACCGCCGCGGACTCGTAAGCATAGACCCTGGACGGGCGAACCATAGCAAACACACTGCTGCAGCGTGACAAAGTTTAGACGCTGAGCTGTAAACAACAGACCGATTGCTCGCAGGTTTCCTGATTGCTCGCAGTCTTTTTCGTCATCTGATAATGAAGGCTTAGTGTTGATGTGCAACACGAAGATTGAGTGATCTTGCACTGGTGTTGTCGTTATACAATCGGCTCGCTGCTGTGAGTGTTCCTAGCCGTGAATCTTACAGCGTGGACTTCGGAGTCGAATTCCCATCTCCGAGGCTATGCCTCCAAGGTACTTTACATCTCCCACTGCAGCTTGGCTGGCTAGGGCTAGGGTGTGGGGTAATGGGAGCATATGGTGCCCGGGTCTTGAGTCCAGGAGTTTGGGTTTGCGTGGTTTGCGCCACGATCTAGACACCGTTCAATATTGGATGATCCAGGCTTCCGGTTGTAAGCGGCTTTCGGGGCGTTTAGATTGGGGTGCCAGGAAATGACAAACAGCGGTTTTTCTCTGGGGGAGGAACCCCAACTCTTGCAAATTATGGTTTATTAGGCCCTCACTTTGATTCTTTGCGAGGTGCGCCGGATTTGCAGATTGTTTGTTTGTAAATGGACCGAATCCCAAAGACTAGTTCCACTTCCGTAAACATCAGATGCCCGCGACGCAGGACAGAGGAGCATCACAACATCAAAAGCATTCCGGGGGTAAGGTTGTGAGTTGCGGGTTCGGGTTTCAGGTTTTGGAGATTTAGGCTCCCAACAGATCGGGCCCTTCGCATTTTTCCCGATTGGGAGCCTAAACTTGCGAGTATGCGTATTTCCTGCGCCACTCCTACACTCCAAGCCCTTATGTATCCCTACCCGAACCTACCCCTAAACCCTACAACCCTAAACCCTATACTAACCCTACTGTGAAGCTTTTTAAACAAGGGGAGGGAGGCCGGACAGCCAGGGCCAGGGAGGTAGTATAAAAGTTATATGCTTATGATTCCCCATAAGGCTCCGGCTACCTAAATGGTAGGTTACTAGCCGTATATGATCTCCAGTTACCTAAAATAGTAGGTTACTGGGGTACATCATATATGCCTAGAGTAACCTACTATTTAGGTAACGTTCGCTATTGTAAAAAGACTGGGCGACCCCGGCCCGACGGCTACAGAGGCAGTGTAACATTTCTGTTTACATATTGAAAACCTGCATGGTCAAAAGTCGGCCGGCCGTAGTCCCAAAAAGCACAAACCCGTACTATAGGAGCCTAGATAATTGCCTAATACTGTTATTGGAGGTTCCTTGTTATTTTGTAGTATGATGGGCCCCCAAACCTAGCATAATTATGCAGGCCCCTTTATTATAGAACCCTTATAGATCCCTTATAGTGGTAAGTAATAAATCCTAACAACCAGAAAATGCAATGAATTCCAAGATGCCTGGTTTCGTTAATGTTAGTTCCTTTCGTGCTTCCACTGCGTTCATTACAAAGGAACAAAATAATGTTTCACTTCACTTTATAATGGATGACCTTAGTCTTGGAAAATAACCACTAGAGTCTCCTATAATTGCAATTAACCGTGAGAAGAAGGGAGTGGTAGTAAAGAATGACCGTGAGGAAGGAACGAAACAAGTAAGGAAAATGGGAGGAATTCTATCTCTTTAAATGTTACCTATTTTTCAAGGTCTACAGGAACCGCTTCGCTCAGACAATACATAATAAATCCCAACAACAAAATAATGGGAACAAAATAAATCCTAAAAAGAATAAGAACCCTTTAAAGGAACCCTATGAGCACAAACCCGTAGAATGCCATGGAACCTTGTCGGTCCTCAAACTCCCCCGATGCAAGAAGCACGAAACGGCAAGCAGTCCTGCGAGCTTCACAGAGCTTAGGGTTTAGGGCTTAGGGTTTCGGGGTTTAGGGTTTAGGGTATGTTTAGGTTTAGGTTTGGATTTCCGAAGAATGGGCAAGCCCTCAGCTCACCAGCAGCTTTTACAAATCAACACTTCGAGCACTCAGCCTTGAAGCCTACACACCCTAAACCCACCCTACATTGCCATATTCGTGGGCGGTCAGAGAATATGTGACGATCATCAAGAAGCGAGCCCCTGAACCTCCCGGCGGGTCTCAATATTTTGGGCGAGGGTTCGGGATCCAGAGAGTGCGGTGTTGAACGTCTTTGGCTGCTTTCTGCTAATTATTAGCACTGGTTTGATTGAAACCGTTATGTTTGACAGCTGTAGCCCTTATATATCTATATTATGAATATTATCCAACTGTTACCCTAAACCCTAAACCCTAAACCCCTCCAGTGAACGCTGAGGCCTTCATGGCGACTACCAGTGCTACGTGTTGCTTTGCTGCGGCTTAGGGTCAGGGCCAGGGCATCCGGCTTCAGGGCTCAAATTGAAATTAGGGGTCCCTTAGGGTTCCTTTAAAGGGTTCCTTAAAGGGATCTATAAGGGTTCTATACAGGGTTTTAAGGTTTAGAGTTTCCGAAAATTGTGGTACATAATTCTGGGGTCCTTATAAGAAGGATTCTACTATTCAGGGTACTATATTCGGGTCCCCTATTTTTGGAAACTCCCAAATTTTTTCCAACTCTTCCGGCCGTGGGGTGCGGTGGTTGCTGAGTCTCTGCTGCTGACGGCTTACTTCGTTCCAACCGGTAGGTGTGTTTTTGCGTTCAGGTCTTTTTTGGCAAGCATATGAAGCCCGATATCGCAATGCCACATGACACCCTCAAAATAGTGCATTTGAGATTTCGAGTTTTGAGCGTAGTTCCCTAAACCATGTATACCCCAATTAAACCCGACTCTTTGCCATTCTGAACCTCAGATTCTTATCTTGAGCCTGAGCCCTTGCCTCACACCGGCCTCGAGCAACCCAAAATGCCGTTCTCGTTTGCAAAATCAGCCCCAGACCCAACTTCGTAAGCCCAAAAGCCCTAAAACTGAAACCCCAAACTCTCGACCCCAAAGCCCAGACGGGCTTTCGAGAGGCAGTCTGCGGACCGAACAGGAGCCCTCAAAAACAAAGAAACTATAAGCCTGTCTGATCTCCAAGGTCGCTGCACGGATTGCGCCGGGTCTTAGGCGCTGGCTTGGCCGCTTCCTTGGTGGGCTCACGGGTTTAGGACTTCAAGGTTTGGAGTATACTTAAAGGATCATGGGACTTAGCAAGTAGGGTTAGCATTAGGGTAACTATACTTATAACCCCAATTAAGGTACTTACAACCTTACTTAGTAAGTCCCATGATTCTCCAAGTAGGGATTGAGGTTTAACTGTCTGGGGCTTCGGATGTACAGGTGCTGATAAGGATATGGCATTGAGCTTCCGGTAGCACACTCTTGATGTGTCGTCGTGAGACTCGTGTCTCGCGCAGGTGCTTTTGGAATCGGGGCATCTTCTGCCACGACATAAGTCCACCCCGCGTAGCTGGAGATTGCACACCTATGGGCCCTAAACCTGACCCCTCCGCCGGAAACCCATGTAAACCCTGAACTTTGAAGACACGGTTTTAAACCGCTCCAACCCAAAACCTCAAAGCTTATGCCCGAAGCCACGAGTTAAAATCAAGAATCGCACCTCATTTGAGAGTTCTTCTTTCAGGGTTTTAAGGCTTTAGGGTTTAGGCTTCAGGGTGCCAAGCAAGTGAATCGAACTACTGGAGTATAGGGCTTGGGATATAGGCGTTTTGGGCTCGGCTTTCCTGACTCCTGGAGGGTCAATCCCAAGCCCCCAAACCTCCAGGGTTTGAGGGTTTATTTAGGGGTTCGGGATTTGGGGGTTTAGGGCCTATAGGGCTTCAGGTAGGGTTTAGGGGTTAGGGATTAGGGTGAAGGGTTTTGGCTTGACCCAAACCACCAAAAGCAGGCAAGCTTGGCGACTCCCGGTGGAAAACGAGGGTCTCTGCTTCGGCAATACCTCCAATATATGGAGGTTTTCCGAGAATAGAGGGCCCTAAAAAAGTATTCTGAATAGTAGGATGCTTATCATAAGGACCCCCAAAATATGGTACCCGTATTTTCGGAAACTCCCATATTGGAGAGGTATGCCGAAGTAGCCTCCGATAACTTTCAGCTTGGCGAGTCGGCCCTTCATACGCTGAAGAACTCGAGCAGGGACAACTTTGACGAAGTCATCAAGCGAGCATCCCCTCCAGGATGGAAGGATGATGATGAAGTTTCAAAGCCTGGCGAGTTTTCTCCCTTCGCCAAAGCAAGCGCGGGACCGTGAAGCAACGGTTCTGAACTAAGTAAGGTCCAAATTGACTGGGGCAGGCAGGAGCTCAATCTCCAACTTGACAGTAGTGGCCCCAATGCTTGAGAAAAGGCAATTAGTCTTCATACCATTGAGGTCCAGGGAGGGTCAGCAGATCGCATTTGTTTGTGTCCGGATCGTCTCGGCTGCTGAGTATGAGCAGCTGTCACTCTTTCCGAACCCTCAGCCTAAACTCCAAAACAGAACTCAGATCGCTTCGAAGACCCATCCTAACCCCCAAACCCTTGTGGAACTCTTCTGAAACACCCCTTGAACCCTGGTGAGGTCCTGATCTTCCTAGTACTTGGAGGGTCGGAAGACGTAGTAACTGGTTATCTTAAGGACTTATCAGTACCATAACCCCAATTAGGGTCCCTTTTAGAGTACGTGTAAGTCTACTTCCTACCTAGTTACTAAGTCCCCCGACCCTCCAAGTAGTTGCTAGTACCTTAACCCGGAATAACCTACCTTTTATGGACTTATATAAGGAAATCATAATAAGTAGCCTTAAACAGGTAGTTTATTCAGGGTTAAGGTGGTTGCCGTTCCGGGTAGGTGTGCTCAGGGATCCTGCGCTTGCAGGGAGATCGTGTCCAAGGGTAAAAGGCGGGACCCTTAATGACGACCCCTAGGTATATACCCTTAATATAGCTATTATATACCCATTATATCGCCCATTATAGGGTAAGGGTCCCCATTAAGGGTCCCTCCTTTTCCCCTTTGATCGTGAGTTTTGGAGTTAGGCTGAGAGCCTTAGCCTTGGCTTCAAGGTTCAGGGTTTCAGGTTGTTCAGGGTTTGGGGGTTTTAGTGGTTTTAGAGGTTTGGGGGTTTAGGGATTTGGGGGTTTATGGTTTTAGGGTTTTGAGGGTTTTGGAATTTAGGGGTTTTGGGGTTTATGTGAGGTTGATATCCCGCGATTGGACTACATGTACGAGCCGCACGTCGCGCCAATGCAGCCGATAGAGCGGCGGATGCTCTGCCCCTTCACAGACATTGCCGTGGACCGTAAACCCTGAAATTAGGGACCCCCAAAAGCACATAAGCACAAGCATTTTATGGGGATAGCCCTACCTTGTTGGGCTACCTTTTAAAGGGGTTTGACTGTAAATCCAAGGGCAAAAGGAGGGACCCTTAATAAGGACTCCTAGGTATATACCCTTAATTTAGCTATTATATACCCATTATATGGCCCATTATAGGGTAGGGGTCCCCGTTCAGGGTCCCTCCTTTTCCCCTTTGAGTAATAACCCTGAAAGTCGAAAACCCTCAACCCCACACTCTCTGGTGGGCTGCAGGGCTTTGCCATGGGATTCCGCGCAGTTTCGGCAGAAAGGTGGCGGTTTGTAAACCTCCTGACTCTTGACAAGACCACAACAACTGCGGGAATGTAAACCATCGAAATCTCAGACAACCATGGTTTTCGAGTTCTCCGTGATTCAGACCCCGATCCACCCTGCAGTGCTAAATGTTCAACTTATGAAGCTGCGAGCCTTTGAAAGCCGAACATTCTGAGCGCTTACTCAAGTTTCAGTCCAGCTAGACATATACAACTGTCCATGTCGAAAACTGCAGTACGGAGCATTCAGCCACGCACGCATCACGATGGCACTAATGGCAAGAACACTCAGCAGCAGTCGCAATATCAACAACCGGAACATCTGGAATACCAGCAGTATAGCAGTAGCAACGGTAATATTCGTATGTTAGTCGTCAGCTATACGCTAACATAGCGCAAAACCCTCTTCTTGTTCCCACGGCCCCTAAAGCATCGAACCCTTCTAGTAAGTAACCTCAATCAACCCGTGTAGAACCGTGTGAAGCTCAGGCCCACAGACCTCTTGCACTGTCTTGCAGCTTGGCGCTGACTGGCAGCCTTTCTGGTGATGGAGTTATTAGGGTCCCTTGTTTTGGTAAACTCCCTAGGGTTAAGAGGTTTGGGGTTCGAGATTTGGATGGGTTTGGTATCTTAAAGCTGTTTGTGTTTGAGGATAAGAGCTTTTGTAAGGGACACTGTCGAAGCATGGGGAAGATTATGGGGATCCACTCTCCCACTCCCGCTCCAGGAGACTGACTGGGGTTCGGGGTTTGGTAGACTCTGTAGGCCTTTGGGACATTTTATATTTTCCCTTAATTATTGGGCTTGGTAGGACGACCCTATCTACGAATATTTTTCAGAGGCGTTCAGGGGCCAACCTAGTAGAAGTTTACACGGCTTTCCTGGGTGGTGTCAAGGCTGGTTCAGGTTGTTTTGCTACATGGGCATTTGCGCCTTGGTCCGCTCGGGTGAAGTTTGCAGCCCTAAGCCCTGAAAGCCGTTAGCCGCAAAACCGTTAACCCTAAACCCCCAAACCCCCCAAACCCTAAACCCCGAATCCCTAAACTGTTAAACCCCAAACCCTAAACCATAGGCACCTAGATCACGTAGGCCGACCATTGTGACCTTTAGCAGCAGCTCAGCCAAGGAGTGGTGGGCGAGGGGACACGGGCAAAGCGACTTTTGCCACTTTGCTCGTATTATAACACTGTGAAATTGTCAAAGTACAATACGAACAGTAAACATTTCACTAGTCACAATATTGTACTATTAGAATAGTATCAAATTTTGCCAGTACAGTATTGCAGTACTGTACCATTCCATCCCTTACTACTCTGGCATTTCAGACATGGCTCCGCGATCACATGCGCAGAGGTTAGAGGTTCATAGTGTAGGGTTCACTTAAGTCAGCTGGGGGGTTGGGGGTTTGCGAGTCTTGGGGTTCAGTGGTTGACGTGGACCGGGGCTCATGTTGGTTTCAACATGTTTAGATAGGTTGTCAGACATCGACAGAGAGCAAGCTAAGCGCAAAAGCCTCCTAAACCTACATCACCTTGCATCCTATGACCTTCAACCCCACTTTACCCACAGCCCCGACTAAGGTGCCTGGAGTAATATACATGCATATATACAACATGTAATTATACAACAAGCTATGGAATCATCTATGTGTATACTTCAATGTATACACATACACATGTGCATGAATATAACCGTACGTGACACGGATGAACCGATCCACAAACCAAAACATTACGAGCAATTTGAAGCCTAGGGTATGGCTGGAGAGGGGATGCCCGTCGCGAGCCTGGGCTCAACTGATCATAAGGGGGGGCCTTAGAACAGGGTTCCCGTGACAAAGGGGCTTTAAATAAAACAATTACAACAGAGTAGCCAGAAAGTTGGAACATTCCGTCCGACATGCCCTTAAGTGAAGCATAAGGGATCCTAGCACTAATCATCCTAAATCCGTGCTCCAACTTCCTGGGGTTCGCTGGAGGGTTTTGGGAGACCTACAGTTGATGATATACATCCTGCATTACCCATCATTCTATAAGCGTACCTTTAAGGGGTTCCTTCAAGGGAGCTATAGGGTTTCAGGGTTCAGGGTTTAGGGATATGAATCCTGCAGTACCCATAATAAGGAACATACCTTAGTTCCCATAGCAATATGATTGACACAACAGACGGAATCCCGAAGCTTGACCTCTAGGCCGTGGAGGAGATGGGTCCAGAACCTGGGTTTGGAGTACCATACTTGAATACTTTTTTGGTACCTGCTCCTTCAAGGAACCATTATGAAATAAATGTCTATACATGTTTCTCCCTGGTTACTGCAAAGTCCAGAGAATGGATTTGCAGCTAATGCCTTCTGCTGTCAAGTTTAGCTTGATGTCAAGGCTTGACGGCCTTAGACCCAGTTCCAGACCCCGAACGCTAAATAAGCCTCCAACCCTAAACCGTGGAGATACAGTTTGCTGGTTCTTGGTCTTCGGCTTGGTACAACTGGGGCGCTTCATGCAAGGCGATGGGGCACTATACTTGCTTCTCAAGCACGGCTTGTGAGTCTTGAGTGCGCGCACAGAGAGCTCCTCTAAACCCCCAACCCTAAGCTGCCTGGAGCATAGGTCTTAGGGGTACTTAGAAATAGTTTTTAATTTTTGGTTATTATAACCCCTAAGAAACAGCTAAAATTCTAATTTTTGCTAGGGTTCTAGGTTCAAGAAAAACACACACAAGGTCAAGATTCTAGCTCCCAGCCTTGTCTCAATCGCAAGAGTTTCTTGGATGTTGCTTTCAAAAGAGTATCTTGTCTGCTTCCCTCCACCCCTTGAATATGAAAGAAAATGTTATGGAATAACTCTTCTTGCACTCGTCTGCTGATCTTCGCAATCGTCACCGTTTTCCTTCAGGAGCTCGCTCTCCCAATCTTTCGTCAGGCAGGTAATCCAAGTTGGTATCGAGATACGTGCCAGTGCTAATGCGAGACAACGTTTCGCTTCCTAACCTGCTACGTGCTGCAAGGCACTGCAGTGCAGGTATGCCGAACAGCCAAGATGGACACGGAAGCCGATTGGGCATACACGAACGCGGACTCCCGAGCTTGATGCAAGAGAGCTGCGCAACATATGAGGATTCAATTGGCACGTCCAAAACAGCACGTACTTGCGAACTCACGCGAACTGCATCCTGCAGCTCAGCAATCACATATGACTAAACAAGACTGTGAGGAGACTTGGTTGGAACATCCGCTTCGGGAGTGCCCCTCCAATGCAACATTATGTCCACAAGCGTCTGCCCGTTCTCACTGCAAAAGAAGTTTGCGAAGCCAGGGAACGTATCGGGCTCAGCAAAGCGGGCAGTGCAATTATGGCCGCCCCATCTGTTGAAAGCCATAATAGCCATGACGCCGCATTGTATGCTGAGCTAAATTTGGCAGCAAACACCCCCGTTATGTAGTGGAATCCGCTTGTAGAGAGACCCCAAGTCCGCCACAATAATTCGAGCCGACTCATGCGTGACACTTCGGCCACGGCCTCTGTGCGTGCCACTGCTCGAATGGCGATCAAGTACCCCACATAAACGCCAGTCAAGAAGGTGCCCAGGATGATGCATAATAATACCATAAGGATTGTCGCAGCTCGTGAAACAACTACCGCTAACATCCAATAGGCCGTGGATGTAAGAGGTCTGTGCATGGTCAGACATCCGAAGCAGTGCGCAGCGTTCGCACGAGATCCCCAGCGGAGCTTCACGCACCAGATGCTTTGAGCATGGCACGAACGAGCTCAGCATTATCTCTGGGCGCTGGTCCGTCCAAGAGCTGCTTTGCCTGTGAACTCCACTTACGCCGATCAAAGTCTGAGCGGTTAATGACAGACTGCACCAAACGATCCAATGTCCAGACTCCACTCGGGGACTTGGCGGTTATCCCCACAGAGGCCCAGAGCTCAGAGAAATCCGATGCAGCAATGACCCGTGATCTGCTGTTATGCTGCGGCTCCTCGGATTCATCATCGGATTTTGCGGCACCCTTACGGCCACCGCGACTACGAGAGCGTTTTCTGGTTGGGAGCCGGATCCCATGCAAACCTTCATTGGCCGCCAGCCTCTGCATGGCTTCCGCACGGCCCCTCTCTGCGGCAAGCTCAAGTAGGGCTGTCTTCTCCTTCTCTGCGTGCTCCTTATCTTTGATGGCTTCCAACGCAGCAAGCTTCGCCTCTAATCGCTCCACTCGAGCACCTAGCGGTTCATATGGCCCGGGATGTCCCTTGCCACTACCCTTGCTAGACATCGAACCCATTGCAATCGGCAAGCTGCTACGGCTACCAAGCGCGAGGATCAGGGGGTCTACAAGCTCGTAATGATGCGCTCATTCCGGGCAAGTGTCGCAATCGACTCAAAGCATGTCTGACAACCTTCAATGGGTACCCATGCTGAATTGCATAGCGCACCGCATCAGCGTACGCCTCTGAGAGTTGTTCATCATCATGCTTGTAAATGTGGGTAGCTCTGTGGCATCTGCTAGCAATCCACCACCAAAGTCTGCGTGCACTTCCTTTGTCCACCTGATACTGTGGGAGACTGTTTTTGTAAGTGTGCGGGCTGGCCTGGTACTAGTATGGGCTTCTGCCGAATCTGCAAGGCACTGGTGACATGTAACACCAAATCCAACCATTCAACATGTGGCCCACGTCCTTCCAAATTGACAACCAACGGAAATGGGTACATACTTCGAAGCATCTCAAACAGACATTGTTGACAATAAGCTGTGGACATAACGAGAAGGTCATCAACATATCTCTTACCATCAGTCTGCTCTCGAAAACTTCGGCCTCCATGCTCAAACCAGTGTTGTAAGCGTAGTTCACTGCTTGACAACCATTGAGTCTCATAATGTGCCAACAAGAGAGACGATGCGATTTTGCTAGCTCCACCACCCATGGGAACGCCGCGTCTTTGCTTTATGACCACATCTCCTAGCAGAAACATCGACGAGTCAAGGTAATACCTGAGAAAGCGCACCATCCACTGGAAGCTCACAAATACACCACGTTTCCGCCAAGGGCTTCCACCCAGAAAACCTTTGTACTTCTGTCCTGGTAGAACAGTGACGCCAGATTTGAAACATGTGCGCATGCAGTAAGTTGCCAGTTGCACGCCAGCAGAAATAACACTCATCGGGTCAACATCTTTAAATAGTTGTGAGATATCCGCCACTATAGTTTCAACATCTTCCTTTCCCATACCACACCGTCGGCATACACGACACGGGACACAACCAGCCATCATCTGTTTGTGCATTTCCATAATCTCGGCTGCAGCGTGAGAAAGGTCCCACATCTCCCAATGAGGCAAGCCACTTTGCTTCAAGGCTGTCTGCCAACATCTACTGAGTAATCGCAGTGGGATTTTCAAGACGTCGCGTGAGTTTGCGATGATCTCCCTCCAATGAGCATGGTCCTTAGTACATGTACGTCCAAGCCCATCTGAAAACACTTTGGCTTGACGGTGAGGTACGCGCGCGCCACTCTGCTTGTATTCCATAGGTGTCGTCGTCTTCGCAAGTGTGGAGGTACGTCATATAGGTGTCTGCAATACTGGTCGGTTACCACATCCTGAGCATTCCAATCCCATCGCACCTCATAGTGACTAGGGTCTTGCAAAAAGTTTTCCGCCAAGACGGTCCAGTACCGATGTTTCGTCCACCCGACGGCAGCTTCCGGGGCTTTGTCCTGAGGGATGACAACAGATTGGTTTTTCAGGCAGTTAAGGATGTCTCTGGATTTGGGTGGCTTTGACCTTTTACCCGGACGCGCATGTGCAAACATCACCTTCCTGATGGACACCTCCATGTAACTATACGGCATCGCTAGGACATCCGACCAAATCACACACAATAGACTGTAAAGCACGAGCAAAGAGGACATCAATCTGAACCTCCACAAAAACCAGGCGCATTGCTTCAATAGGCTCCGGACAGAAGTATTGGATGACGACATATCAGTCTTTCGATCTGGCAACATGTCTTCAATAGCGGCATCCAATGAGTCACCAGCGAACCCTGAAAAAGTACACCAATGGACCACCTGCGAGCTCCAACGATTGAGTAATGTCTGGGATTTCGGTGGCGAGGGTAATGAGAGGTTTTCATCTATCATGCGCATACCAACACCATGTACTGCTGCATTTCGGTTTCCATCTCGCTGATTCAGCACTGCATGAGCGTTAAAATGCTGAGCAACTTCCCTGTGATTGAAGACTTGGCCTGCGACGGTGACAGGTGCTCCTGCTGCTACCTTGAGGTTGTGTTTCCACCATAGACTGTAAGCGTGCTCAACCTGGGAAGCATGCCCGCATCTGGCTGCGATCTGAAGACAGAGATTTTTCACGGCAGACGCTTCGCGGAAAGATGCACCATTAAGCACAATTGTCTGCGATTTGAGTAAAGGCATGCCCCTAGCGTACAGGACTGAATTGATACGTTTGAAAGCATGCTGTCTCCGTATCTGGTTGACGATCTGCAAACAAGCAAGTCCAATGTTGAGGATGAGTACCGGCGTCATTCGCGACCAATGCATTTTCCTACCTCGAGTGGCCACCTTAGCTGCCCACATGTGCGCTTGGCTTGGTGTGGCCGTGTCAGTCGGATCCTCAAAGCCAGCTCTCAACAACTGTGACCACGGTAATGTGGTCCATGCGCTGTTTTGTGCAATACTACTGTGCGTCACATCCAGGACTTCTGGGCGCCACTTCAACCCACGAAGATGATCAACATTCAAATCACATGCATGCTTACGGGATAAGGCCGTCCGCTTGTGTGGCTTGAGGATTTCATTCGCACCACGTCTCGGAAGTGTTTTATTTGCTTGCCGGCGTCTAGGCCTCATAGTGGGAACTTGGTATGTGCGGGTTATGAACTGTTCTCGATGATATGCGTCCTGCTTGCTACCATGGAATATGGGCATCATGTGCGTGGACCAAAGCGGATTCCGTCGCCACATCTTGTATCGCAATTCCGTGCCATATGAGGATCGGCACGTGCATGCTTTGTGCTCCGCCCATCGGCTGGGGTATCCAAGGCGTGCCATGTCACACGTTCCGCGCGTTTTGCTCGTCGTGGTACGCAGAGCTGCACAATAACCACTGTGAAAATTCTTATGGCCACGGCTTATACCAGCGATGTACTTGATGCCTTCACGACAGTCACGTCTGTCGACGTATTGGAAAAATATTTCACACTGTCGTTTCCAATGCGTTAGGGCATACCTTCCGACCTCCCCACCTGTCATAACAGCTTCTTGTAGCGTCGAGCAAAGGAACCGCGAGTAAAAATTGAAGAACTTCTGGCGACCAACTTGTTGATCACACTCATCTTGTAAGATGACCTCACACGAACATGCAAAATCCAACGCTGCAAGAACGCGGATGACATCATCATTTGTTCTACCCCACGACATATGGTCAGGAAAAGCCCATGCCATACCCAACATCAAAGGCAATCGGTAGTCTGGCAGTGTCAAATCTGACCGATAACAAGCGGCGTGTACGATGGCATCTGCAATTTTAGAGGTGGCTTTATGCATAGCATGGACCTCCAATAGCATCCCCAAGCCTTCCAGCAAGATACGAGGTCGCAATCCATCTGTGCAGGTTTGGGCTCGTTGCCAATTGGTTTGTTTTGCTTCTGTAGGAATAGGTCTTCCCCAAAGTCGCGCAGTCTGAAAAAGAGCCTGTGCAGAACTCATAGGAATGTGAAACCACCAGACGAATCTGATTCTGGAGAAGAGCTTTTATTTTTAAGCCCACGACTCTCCGGGAGTACTATAATTAGGCAAGTGTCAAGAAAAACACACACAAGGTCAAGATTCCAGCTCCCAGCCTTGTCTCAATCGCAAGAGTTTCTTGGATGTTGCTTTCAAAAGAGTATCTTGTCTGCTCCCCTCCACCCCTTGAATATGCAAGAAATGTTATGGAATAACTCTTCTTGCGCTCGTCTGCTGATCTTCGCAATCGTCACCGTTTTCCTTCAGGAGCTCGCTCTCCCAATCTTTCGTCAGGCAGGTAATCCAAGTTGGTATCGAGATACGTGCCAGTGCTAAAGCGAGACAACGTTTCGCTTCCTAACGTGCTACCTGCAGCAAGGCACTGCAGTGCAGGTATGCCGAACAGCCAAGATGGACACGGAAGCCGATTGGGCATACGCGAACGCGGACTCCCGAGCTTGATGCAAGAGAGCTGTGCAACATATGAGGATTCAATTGGCACGTCCAAAACAGCACGTACTTGCGAACTCACGCGAACTGCATCCTGCAGCTCAGCAATCACTTATGCAAGACGGCACTAAACAAGACTGTGAGGGGACTTGGTTGGAACATCCGCTTCGGGATGGGTTCAGTATAGAGGTTGCTGGGGTGCATAAGCGCAACCACACGCCTGGGCTGTCAAGCTGATGGGCTTTGCTCTGGCCCCCAAAATCTTTGCAAAAGACGTCTGCCTTTAGCCCTCAAATCGCATCAACTTATGTATATATATATATGTATATATATAAATATGTATACATATATATGTACATATGTATAATGTAGGGGCCTTAATAAATAGAAGAGGGCTCTTGGCGTTCCTTATTATATTTGTAGTATAATCTATCCCCCAAACCCTATTCTAATCAAGTATCAAGCTCCTATACATTACACCCGAAATTCCCGAAAGGCCCGAAAACCAAAGCCTTATGAACCCTCAACCCTAAAACCCTAAAGCCCTAAGCCGAACCCTCGAGTCTCAATCCCTTGGCCCTTTCCAGGATCTATGGCGGCGGTTTCAGCTACGCCTACCGACTGCAGGACTTCTTGGGGGTTAAGGTCTAAGGTTTAGGGGTTTAAGGGTTTACTTACCTTTGGTTAATAGGGAATGGAAGAATGGTAGTAGTAGTAGTTATACTTGTACCCCATTCCTCCGTTCCCTACTTACCAAAGGTAAGTTTAGGGGGGTTTAGGGGTTCAAGGGTTTAGGGTGTTTTGGGGGTTTCTCTAGGGTTTGTAGTTTGTGGCTCAAGGTTTTGGAGGAGGTATGACTGAGGGGTAGTTTGAGGTGAGGGTTGAGGGCTCATAGGGTTTAGGGATCAAGATCCCCAAACCCTCGGCGAATCCCTCCGCGGCAAACCGCAGCTTATGGCACTTCAAGGTACCCTAAAGCTTAATTCCCTAACATAGGGGCCTTAAAAATTTACCTATACGGACCTATACTATTTTGGGGGTTCCTTCTTCTAACTATGGTATATGTAATTGGGCCCCAAAACCCTATTCTAATTATTATTATTATTATTATTATTGTTATTGTTATTATTATTATTATAAAGGCCCCCATATTAACCGGCGTTTTGAGGCTTCCTTCTTGGGGGAGGCCGAGCTTCGAGCCTAAAAGCTTCAGGAGCTTTAACTTTGTAGCTGCTTGAGCCAAGAAGGTGAGTAGAATCCTTCTAGGGTTTAGGGTTCAGGGTATAGGGTTTAGGGTTGAGGGTTCCAGGGTTTAGGGTTTAGGGTCTGAAAAGCAGACCCCGAACCTAGGCACACCTTCCCACCCGCAGTACACAGCCAGACCTCGTGCTGTAGAGGTAGTGGGCAATGAGGATGCTTCTGACATTCTGACACCATGTTTCTTGAAGGGGTGCTGTCCAGTTCTGACGCATTTAGCATCAGGCATCCTCATCCAAGAGGGTCCATATATATATATGTATATATATATATACATATATATATATATATATATATAGTTATATATATATATATATATGTATAAACCTGTGTGTTTCTTGTTTTTTCGCAGAATTTGGTCCCAAAGCCGATATGACCCTTTGGGTATGCTTCCAGCATGCACGGGCGATGGAGTAGTCCAGGACCTGCCCATCAATCGGTCTCTGTCCGTTCACAGCTCAGTTTGTTTTGGGACGTGGAACCGGGGCCCAGATTCGCTTATAGTAAGCCTAAAGGTCGAACCACCATACCCATAGTCTCCAATGTAGTTCCTTTTTTTTGGTTAACCAGTGTTATGGTTAGGATCCTATAATAGAGAACTTGGTTAACCAAAAAAAGGAACTACAATGGAGACTATAGGTAGTTACTTTATCATACTGTCAGAGATCTGGTGGACAAAAACCCTAAACCCTGAACCCCTGCCCTGGGTCGCGCGACCCGAGCCCGTCTGCCAGCACTCCGAGCTCAGTCTTCCCCCAGCACGCGTGACGCATGTGACGGTTTTCACGCGTCTCCGCAGGACATGTCATGTGTGACGCCCGCAGTATTTGTTTTTGTTGTTTTCCGCGCTTGCGCACAGGGAAATGTTGGCGACTGTACTCTGGAAGCACTGCCGCTTTTTGGTTTGATTTTTTTCCGGGCTTGGCCCGCTCCCTCTGCCAAAATCTCTCGAAAGCACACGGCGCAAAGTCCGGAAGCCCAATTAAAGCAGGGGCGAGAGTCCCTGCTGGAGCGCGTCAGCCTTCACACGATGCGGAATGCGGACCGTCGCGCGTCGCGAACGCGCGGCGTCTTGGGGGCCGATCGCCGAGTGCGGAGCACGACCCACGAACCGCCCAAGTCAGGAGCTTCGGCTGTAGGTGGCAGCGTCCCTCATCATGGAACAAACGCGCAAGGCGTCGCCACACTGCATCTGGACCTTCGCGCGCTATCGCTGCGTTCTATTGGCATTGCGCAAGCAGACCTCGCGAAGCCCTGAAAACCTGGACATGCTTTGCAGAGGTGCCACCGTCATCCTCGTCGCAGCCAGCTGCGTCCCTAGAAGCTGTTTGGATGGCCGTGGTGGGATGACGATATTACCACATGGAACATGCCCAATTCTCCAAATGCAGCCCCACATGAGACCATGGAGCCAAGGCCACGGGCCTAGGCTCCTGCTGGATGGATCCGGAGGCTCGGGTCATCGCTTCTTTTTTGCGACGTTTCCTTTGGCAAGCGGTTTCTGCAGATTACATGTGTGTGACCTGATCCTCTGCAGGATCTGGTCGCACACCTATGGGTGGAAAATGTCTTGCTGTCGCGTTTCAAAGTGAATTTGCGCAAGGTCCTGGGGCCATCTAGCCTCAACCAGAAAAGTTGGTCGGTCGCGTTGCTATTTGATGTCGGTGCCCTGCAAGTGCCTGCGAGCATCACAGGCTTCTGCGCACGCTTCTGCCTCCTCGACAGCTGCTCCCGCTGTGCCCTCGGCAACTTTACAGGTATGATGCAGGAGTTGGCCAAGGGTGCTGTTGGTGTCTGCGGAATTAGCGAAGGCACCTGAGAATCGCTTGGACGGCGACTCGCAGCTACGCCCATGGCTCAGCACTGCTCTGCATTGAAATAGTACGTATTATCGCCAAGTTCCCACTCTGGATCTATAGCGCTGAGCAAAGTAAAAACCGAGAAGGGACCTTTGCTTCACTGGTCATAAGCCCCGGGCGCCCTGCGTCTGCTTAGGCATTTGGTGGGCACGCCTGGTGGAGTTTCAAAGCTCAGGACTTCGGCAAGCATGTCTTGCGTAGCCAACAAACGATGGCCAATGATTTGCTGTTGACCTTTGCAAGCGGAGTGCATTAAGAGCATAAAAGACTTGTGTTGCACGGTGCCGTGATTTCTCGTGCCAGGCCTATGATGTGATCGAAACAGGCCTGTACCGACTTCGTCCGCACAAGGCCGCTTTCCGTGTTGCGTCGCGGTGCGGACAAATGCCCCGCTGGCACCCCCACCAGGCTCCAATGCACCACTTGTGACGCCGCTTGTCAGCGAGTCCCGGCCTTGGTCCGCCTGTTACAACTGAGAGCATAAAAGACTTGTGTTGCACGGTGCCGTGATTTCTCGTGCCAAGCTTATGATGTGATCGAAACAGGCCTGTACCGACTTCGTCCGCTCAAGGCCGCTTTCCGTGTTGCGTCGCGGTGCGGACAAATGCCCCGCTGGCGCCCCCACCAGGCTCCAATGCACCACTTGTGACGCCGCTTGTCAGCGAGTCCCGGCCTTGGTCCGCCTGTTACAACTGAGAGCATAAAAGACTTGTGTTGCACGGTGCCGTGATTTCTCGTGCCAAGCGTATGATGTGATCGAAACAGGCCTGTACCGACTTCGTCCGCTCAAGGCCGCTTTCCGTGTTGGTTCGCGGTGCGGACAAATGCCCCGCTGGCATCCCCACCAGGCTCCAATGCACCACTTGTGACGCCGCTTGTCAGCGAGTCCCGGCCTTGGTCCGCCTGTTACAACTGAGAGCATAATTAAAAGACTTGTGTTGCACGGTGCCGTGATTTCTCGTGCCAAGCTTATGATGTGATCGAAACAGGCCTGTACCGACTTCGTCCGCTCAAGGCCGCTTTCCGTGTTGCGTCGCGGTGCGGACAAATGCCCCGCTGGCACCCCCACCAGGCTCCAATGCACCACTTGTGACGCCGCTTGTCAGCGAGTCCCGGCCTTGGTCCGCCTGTTACAGCTGAGAGCATAAAAGACGTGTGTTGCACGGTGCCGTGATTTCTCGTGCCAAGCTTATGATGTGATCGAAACAGGCCTGTACCGACTTCGTCCGCTCAAGGCCGCTTTCCGTGTTGCGTCGCGGTGCAGACAAATGCCCAGCTGGCACCCCCACCAGGCTCCAATGTACCTCTTGTGACGCCGCTCGTCAGCGAGTCCCGGCCTTGGTCTCACGGGAACTTTCGTAACAGCACTGCGAAGACTTTTCCGAAGCCAAGCCGCAACACACTCCTCCGGTCGTGCACGCATCCTCGCTTTGATGGTGCGAAGCAACATATGGGAGTTTCCCAAAATAGGGAACCCTAACATCGTACCCGAGTTTTCGGAAACTCTCATATACATCCGTATGCTCTGAGAGCTGTGAGTGGGTGTCTTGGGGCGCGTAAGCCTGCAGACCGACGCGTGCACACAAGAGAGTGTTTTCGATTGGCACACCTTCAACCCTAAACTTACCCTAAGGCTCTAAGGACTCATATGTTTGAGGCTTTTGGGCTTAAGCACCACAGTGTATAAGGCGTTTAAGCCGTTTTGAGCCTCAGGGTTAAGCCTTGAACCCTAAACCCTAACACCTCCATGCCGTACGTCCCTATCCTAAATATTCAGAAGACATTGGGAGCTTGGACTGGTCACGCAGGCGAAGGGGTTTCGGTCAGAGTCTCGCTTGGGGTTTAGGGTTCAGGCCTTGGGGTCTGGGATTTGCCTATAGTCTCCATTGTAGTTCCCTTTTTTGGTTAACCAGTTTTATGATAAGGATCCTATAATATAGATTTTAGTTAACCAAAAACCGGAACTACAATGGAGACTATCGGTAGGGGGTGTGGGGTCGGGCCTTTGGTTTGGAGTTTGGGGTTTAGGGTTCAGGGCTTGGGGTTCAGGATTTACCGATAGTCTCTATTGTAGTTCCCCTTTCTGGTGCACCCAAATCTCCATTATAGGGTCCTACCCATAAAACTGATTAATCAGAGAAGGAACTACATTGGAGACTATAGGTAGGGGATGTGGGGTGGGGCTTAAGGTTTGGAGTTTGGGGTTTAGGGTTCAGGGCTTGGGGTTTGGGAACTAGTGTGTGGGGAGGATTTAGGGTTTAGGGTGCTCAACAGCTACGCTGCCCTAAAACCCGAAACCGCAAGCTCTTAAACCCTGAAGCCTTGGAGCCGTCAGAGCGCTGAAGCCATTGAAGGCCCTGAGTTTGAGGCCTGAGCCTGTAGGGCTGCGGGTTCAGGGCTTAGGGATTTAGGGTTCAGGGTTTATGGTTTAGAAACGAGGGTTTGGGGTTTGGGATAATTTAGGGTTTGGGATTTAGGGTTCGCAATTTAGGGATCAGTATTGTCAGACTATCCCCTGCAAATTTTCTGGGGTTGGTTCCGACTTAGCAAGCAAGTTGTTGATTTAGCGAGAATTGCTGATTTCCCCCATTATTTCAAACAGAGCCATAATTATAGATCATGTTGCGGACTGTTTGTAATCGACACCTATTGTGATATTTTTCATCCCGCATATCAACCACAACAATCACGGCTACACAGCCTCCCCACAAAAAGAACGTCCTCAAGATTCTATTCGCATACCAGTCCCAAGTATAAGAGCTTTTATGCAATTTCTGCTGTTATTGAGCATTTCAATCCGAAGAGCCCTATGTACCTGTCACGGGTCCTTGGAAGCGGGTTCGGACTCCATCCTGAACCATAAATAGTACACTCTGAACTTAACCCTAAATCTTAAGCCATAAACACTAAAATCACTAAGGCTCTGCGGCGGAGCCTGGCATCGCACGAGCCCTTTGCCGGCAGCGAGGTCAAGAGAGACAGAGAGATCTAGCGAAAAACTGCATCACACTCGAGTTGTTCACTTTCCTGCTGTTGAGGTGCTTGGTAGGGCTGTCGAAGGCTCTGAGTGAGCAGCAAACAGCAGAATGGCAACATCTCAGGAACCTTAGGGTTTACCTTAACCCCACGTAACCTACCTTTTTAAGGACTTATATAAAGAAATCAGATTAGGGAACCTTAAAAAGGTAGGTTCCTGAGGGTCCAGGTAAGGCTAAGACGAGACGTTTTTCTGCATCAGGTTTGACGCAGTGATCTTCCCCAATGCGGAGGTCGCGCAAGGACTCGGACCTCGTGAGGCATCCAACATGTCATGTCGCTGCTGTTGCTGCTGCTGCTGCTGCTCGAGCTTGTATAGGGCTTTGTTCTGTTCGGATTCAGTAGCTGACGGGGTGCGATTTGTACATGCCTACAGTACGTATACGAAGAAAGGTTTGTCGGTTCATACAGTGTCCAGGTATAAAGTAAAGTATTCTGCCAGAAGCTATGTTTTGTGCCGGGACTTCGACATCTAGCACAACTCGATCATGATGTGCATGATAACTGTGGTGCAACTTACCGCAAGGACCTGAGGGCGCATCTGCGCTATCTACCCCAAAGTATCTATATAGTGGTCCACTTTACGACCAAAGTGTATACTATTTGGGTACATGACAAGGACCCTTCGACTACTGTTTGTACAGTTTGCACTTCATGCGGCGAGATCTCTCCAGAGTTGCGATGAACCGACGGGCCCGTGTTTCAATCTTCTGGGTTAGATCTTTCTGAAGATTCTGTAAATCTCTGCAGCCTACCCCAGTCCCCCTTGGGTTTGTGTCTAGGCGCGCCTGCTTCATTCGAGGGGACTGGTCCTCATTGGACGTTACACTCGCTGAGTGTTCGCAATACCAGAGCAAACCAACTCAGGGTCTTTGGTAAGAATGGTAGCCTACCTTATGCTCCTATGCGAATTAACTATATCCCCGTGGGGAAATAGTATAGGGTTCATGATTTCTGGTTTCCCAGGTTCTGTCTGTCCTTTTTCAAGGGTCCCAAGATTTTGGAGCCCTCACTTTCGGACATCGACCTTGTGATGTACTTTGGACCATCAGGTTAAGGGGTCTGGTCTTAGCCACCTTAGCCCCTACTTGGAGGGGCAGGGGACTTAGTAAGTAGGTTATGCGTAGGGTTATATTTGGTGTAACTCCATTTAGGGTAGTTATAACTCTACTTATACCCTACTTACTAAGTCCCCTGCCCCTCCAAGTACACAACTCCGCACAAGCGATGACTCCTGAGAGGTGAGGCTGCTGGTACACTTAGTGCGACAGCGCTACCAGCCAAAGGACATCATTGTTCTGGCAGAAGACTCAGCTTCTCGCTGTCCCTAGACCCCCCAACTGCCCTGATTACCTCTTCATGAGAAATATCCGAGGCCTTTAAAGGGTACTTGTAGGGTACCCCCAAATAGGAGTACTGTATATGGTCCCAAGTAAGGGGGGCATTTAGGGTCTGATGGAAGGTAGATGGAGGGGGCTGGTCGTGCCATCGCTTTGCATGGGGGGCCTCGGCCCGATTTCTGGAGCCGAGAGCTTGTAGAGCCCCAAGACTTGACCCCAAAGCCCGGAAGCCCTAAGTCGAGATATCTTAGAGCACGTGTGAGGCCTCAATAGAGTGCGACTTGATCTGTCTCGGAAGCAGCTCCTGGAAGTTAAACTGCGAAGCTTGTATGGCTTTGACAACAGTTCGAGTCGACCCCAACCGTGCATCTTACCAAGAGGGTCCATATACACTAGTTACTATCATGGAATTAGGCCCCCCCAACACCTCAATAGGGATGGGCTGTTGGTACCTAATTCCATAATGGTAGGGTATATATGGACCCTCTGGGTTAAGCATGAACAGACAGGCCACCAACGTCTCAAAGTTCGAAGCAAAGAACATTCAACTCAAGCCAAAACTTTAAAGCCACAACACCAGAGCATCACCGACCTCCCCACGCCGACAGTGCTTGCTGGAACCTCGACACAACTAGCCAGATGGTCCCTAAGTCCTAGATTCTGAGCCCTTCGCGCAAAGGCCCAGTCCTTGCTTCGAGCACTTTAGCCTCAAACCCGAAGCCCGAAACCTTACACTCCGAAAACTTAAAATCCTGATCCGAAGCCCGTGTACCCGATGCTTTGTCTTCTGTCATGGGCCATGGCGTCTTTTATCCGCTGGAAGCCCTCCTGGAGGCCGCAGATGCTTCAGCTCAGGGATTGGAGTTTAGGGCTGAGCGGTTGCAGATCAATTAATTGAGCAGCCATGCACGCATCATGACGGAATCTATCCTTTTGCGGTTTTGCCGCATGGCCTCAGATAGGCACCGTTTTAACACTGCAGGTCGCTGTCTCCGGTTGCAAAGTTTGCCTGAAAAGGCATTTGCGGGCTCGAGAAGTGCAGGTAGCAACTGGCCATGGAGGACACTCCCCGGGCTTGTCGAATATGCTTGGACGGCCCGGAGCCCGGCAGAGATCTCATCGAACCCTGCGCTTGTCGGGGTTCTATGCGTTGGGTTCACGCTGACTGCTTGTCTGAATGGTGGCAACGCAGGGCAGGAGGCGGTTATTATGATGCTCCTGCAGCCGCCGTGAAGTGCGACATCTGTCACGAAGTCCTTGCGCAGACGGTGCGTGAGAGACCTGCGTGGCGAACTCGTTCTCTGCGAACCATGCGCCGCTGTGTCTCCAAGTGCTGCAAAAATCCATTCTCAGACTTTCCTGACGATTTTCGGCAGCGTGTAGAAGACTTGAAGAAGCACAAATTCCTATTCATTATGACCTGTCTGCTGTTCTGGTGGGGTGTGGCCGTGACGTACCGGCCGCGCAAGCCCACTCCGCCACCCTACGTGCTGGAGCTTCTAGGAATGGGGCAGTGGGCTTTTCCTGCAGGCTTGTGGTGCGGTGTTATCATGTTGACGGCTGCTCCGACGTTGCGTCAATGGGACACAGAGCATCGCTTGCACTGGATGCTCCGACATGTGCTTCTGGACCACGGCCAGGACCAGCGCATTCTGTTATCAATTTGTTTTGTGATTGGCTTTGGGGCTGTGACGGTCCTTATGAAGCCGCCGACTTCCTTTACAAGCACCTTAGGGGTACTTAGAAATGTTTCTTAATTTTTGGTTATTATAATCTTTAAGAATCTGCTAAAATTATAATTGTTGCTAGGGTTCTAAGTTCAGTATAGGCACCCTGGCAGTCCTGTCTCCGGCTGTGCCGCTGTTGTACCTCAAACTCAAGACGGCGACTGGGCTCTTCTTCTTGAACTCGAGTTCAGGTACAAGACGGTGGGTACATAAGGGTGGTTGTCAAAATTAGGGTCTCTTTTTGGGGTACCCTAAATCATAGGTGCCGTATCATACGAGGGACCCAAAACTGGACCATGATTTTGACAACCACCCACAAGAATGATAGAAATCTACATGGCCTACCAAGCTTCCCAAGCAGCCCTTCCTAGACCAAGAACGGCACTACCTGCTTTATGGACACCCCGGCTCATGGTTAGGATCAACTTAAAATGCGAATACAGTTACAGAGCAACTAAGACAGAGCACTACGAGTCTGGGTAAAGCCTGAAAGAGTATAGAATCCTGAATCAAGAACGTTTAGAGCGTTCCTCATTGTCATCAAACTACGGTCTACCCCAAATACCCGCAGCAACTGACACATAAATAAGAGTAAGTGGTATATAGTTTGGACCAAATACCCTAAGTAATTCTACTACATTACATGCACCAAGACATGAAATTTGTATAACGATATTCTCCATTGCAGCTCCTTGTTTTATTTGGTTAACCAAAACCTCTATTATCGAATCCTAACCATGAAACTGGCTAACCAAAAAAAGGAACTACATTGGAGACTATAGGTATGACAGTACACCCTCAAAGCCCTAAGTCTTTTAGCTTCAGGCGAACTGGGATCAGACCAGAGAGCGGGTTTGGCCTCCGCATGAGCAGCTGCTGCATGTGCAGACCCATGCTCTCTGGATGCTCTTGGGGTTTAGGGTTTTGGGGCTTAGGGCTTAGGATTTAAGGGGTTTAGGGTTTAGGATTTGGGGTTTACGAGGTTTAGGGTTGAGGGTGTAGGATTTAGCGGTTGAGGAGTTTAGGTTGTCTCGCGACTTGAACCCTTTCTCCCTTTTTCTGCTCTCAAGTTCCTTATAGAGCTCGGCAATACCAAAAAAGGAGCCCTTGTATGCCTAGGCTACTAGGGATCCTACCTATAGTCTCTCCAATGTAGCTCCTTGTTTTTGTTTAACCAGCTTTATGGCTAGATTCCTCTAAAAGAGATTTTGGTTAACCAAAACAGGAACTACAATGGATACTATAGGTAGTCTAGGGGTCAGAATCATTCCTCATATAACCATTCCTCAGCGTTCCTTACTATGCTTATGGTATATACTACTATAGAGTCTATTATAGATTTGTTGTTTGGTTTAGCCCCCTTTGTATTTAGGATCTTATACGGCGCCCAATAAGTCTAGTAATAATTACCCATGTTGTTCCTATTGAGGTTCCCTGTTTTGTAAATAGACCAGGTTTAGGGGTTTAGGGGTTTAGGGTTTAGGGTTTAGGGTTTAGGGTTTAGGGTTTAGGGGTTTAGGGTTTAGGGTTTAGGGGTTTAGGGTTTAGGGTTTAGGGTTTTGCCACAGTCTGTTGTACCCCAAAGCACTCTTCCAATTTCTAATTGTCAAGGCTCTCTGGATAAGTGCCACGCTTGCATTGACCATCAGCTTCTTCGTCAACTTCTCCGGATGGTTGTTCATGAGCTATCTTACCATAAATCTAGTCCCCCTGCCCGATGCGCAGCGAGAGCGACTTCTGCGGCAGCAAGAGACCGACTCCAAGCTTTTTGGAGCCGTTGCAGCAGCTGGCGGCATCTCCGCCGTTCTGCACTTTCCCCTCATCTTGCGCAGTATTGTTGCGTCTTTGCATCTCGAGCAGGAGGACATGACTGCATGGCAGGTCGAGAGGTGGGCACGCATGGGAGCGTGCGCCCTTTTCACTGCTGCTGTTTGCCTTCTTTGGCTTGCCGCCACAGGCCTGTCCTACTCCATCTGCATCGTCTTCCTGTGGGCCATGGCCATCGTCTTCCTCACCAAGCGTTTGGGCGTCTCTTCCTTCCAAAAATGCCTGCACTTTGCCTCTTCTTGCTATGATGCAATGCGAGCCTAGGCCTAATTAGGACCTGCAGAAGTATCCTTCTGCCCTTTGTTCTTTCGAGGCCTCCTTATTCATCATGAGCAAGAGGGAAAGGGTTTTCGTTGTGCTTATAAGAGGATACCTAGGAACCCGTTTTAGGAACGCTTAAAGGAACCCCTGCAACCCTAAGGCGCCCTTCAAGTAAACCCCATAAACGGATACCCTGAACTATGCCAAACCCTCAACCCTATACCCTAAACCATCAAAGCGAATTCCAGATTCCTAAAACTTGTTAGTCGGACGGAAAAAAGGTGCTTAAAAAAAAGAAAACCTCAAAGTTAAACCAAGGAGCCGAGCTGCACATGACCGCCTGGAGGCAGTCGTTAGAAGCTGGGGATGTCACGTTCACAAACCGCGGGACTCGCAACACGGATCCGCTACTTCGCTCCGAGGATCCTCAGTAGCTCCCTACGCTTTACCGACAGGGGCCTCCAGGGTTCAGGGTTTAGGGGGTTTTGGGGGGGTTTAAGGGGGTTTAGGGGGGTTTAAGGGGGTTTTGGGGGGGTTTAAGGGGGTCTAGGGGGTTTAAGGGGGTTTTGGGGGGGTTTAAGGGGGTTTAGGGGGGTTTAGGGGTTTTAGGGGTTTAGGGGTTTAGGGGTTTAGGGTTTAGACATTCTGAGAGGATTATCTTAGCTGCTACAGCCGTGAATCCTGAAGGCTCGAAGTTGCGCCAGACACCTGATATATGCTGTTCTAGGTATCGGCTCGGGATAATTGTTGATTCCCCTTACCGTTTAATATAGATCCCCAGTTAAAGACAATTGGGGGGGGGGCTGTTGAAATCGCCGCCGAGCCTTTGGGATTGACATGTTCCAAATCTTGCACATGCCAAGATTCCGAGTGGCGAAAGGGCCGAGCGGCCAAATGCCTGGATTGGCAAAAAAGCCCTTGGTTCCCAATACGGTCGTCGGGAACGAATGGGACTCTTGTTGTCGGGTGTACTTAGATCCTAAAGGCCGCAAGCCCTAAACAAGGCCCTCAGCCAAAACCTTCAGCTTGGCCACGAAGCCCAATCTTTGTAGTAGAGTAGGCAACCTTTAACCTTTTTAGGGTAGTATAGTCCCTTTTTCATCCCTGTATATCCAAGAAGGCAAACCCTTGGTTCTCCATGATACCCGACAAGTAGGACTACGCTAGTTGGGAACTAGTTTGAGTATTCAGGATTTACAGTGTTCAGGGCATAGAGTTGGATACTTGAAACCGTCCTAAACATTTATAAATCCTATAGACCCTAAACACTCAACCCCCCAACCCTAAACCCCAAACCCTACACCCCAAACCCTGAAGCCTAAACCGCTAATATAGGGGCCTCAATAATTACCTATACTATTTTTGGGGGCTCCTTATGAGAATTACAGTTTAATGGGCCCCAAAACCCTATTCTAATGATTCAGGTCGTTATATTAACTAAACCCTCCTGTAGCCGAAAAGACTTACCTTTTAAGGAACTATGTAGAAACCATAATATGGAACCTTTAAAATGTAGTCCCAAATCCCGGGCTGCACGGGTCTCAGGCAGGTGGCAGCGTGGGGACCCTTAAGGGGGTAAGGAGGAGGGGTAGGGACTATGCTTCCTGAAATAGGCCCTTTTTAGGTCCTTATTATGGGCATTAAGGCCCCTACCCCCTTACGGGTCCCTGTGAAAGTAGGTGGCAGCGTGGGGAGCTCATCTCCACTCCAACCGGGTCGCTGTATCCGCGTCTGCTGCTCGTCGCTATGGCCTTATAAGGGGGTTAGACTCCTTGGCACTTAGTGGGGAATGGGGGAATGGATCCCTATAGTAGCTCCTATGTACTCCCCAGCAAGAATTGCCATAATCCATGCCCCCCATTCCCTGCTAAGCACCAGGGAGTAGAGGAGTTCAGGGTTTCGGGGTGTAGCTTGTTACGGCACAGATTGAGTTGTGAGGAGAGGAAGCGGTGGCTCTGTTGTGGTGTATTCCCCGAAGGCTTAAGGCCGAAACCCTCTCTTGTTTGTTCGGGGGGGTTAGGGTTTGGGTTGAGGGTTTGGGTTCAGGGTTTAGTTTAGGGGTAAGGGTTTAGGGTTTAGTTTAGGGTTTAGGGTCTAGGGCCTAGGGTTTGGGCGTTTTTGGTAGACGGGGTCTCCGATCCATTCGGTGCAGGATGACTCAACGGCTCAAAGGAAGCCTGTATACCTCAAAACCCGGAACCCGAAAACCTAAACCTCACTTAAAACCATAGTTAATTCGTTATACAAGTCTTGGAAGTTTATGATGCCGACGGCAGCCCATCATGTTAAGGAGCAATGTCGTCACTTGCAGCGGTGTCTTCTTAGTGGCTCTTCAACAGGAGTGTTTGATGAGAATTATGTCTCCCGCATGCAGAGAGGCTATTGTTACGTCTCTATGATGAGAGCATGCACAGTACTTTCGGGTAGGCTTCAGGCTGTGCACGAGGATGGAACAGGGGCCCCCAGACCCAAAGCACGAGGCAGCAGCGATGTTGAAAGAGCTTAGGGTTTCAGGCTCCTCTTTCATCCCTGTGTACTTCCCTTGCCATGACAGTTATTTTCCAGCCGTCTACTCCAGGTGTGAAGCGAGCCGGAGAAGATGGACTGAGAACCAAGACTCAAGGCTGTGGATGGAAAAAGGGCCGTGCTGTTAGTCACTTAGTGATTAGCCTTTGAGCCGAACGGGCTCGGTGTAGGAGTTAGGCTCTTGTTGTAGGGTGTACTTAACATCCTAAAGGCCCTAAGCCCTAAAACCTTGAGCCTGGTCACGAAGCTTAATCCTAGTAGTAGAGTAGGTAACCTTGCCTTTATATAATCTTTTTTTGGTACTATATAGTCTATAACCAAAAAGGGAACCTTATGATACCCGACAAGTAGGTAACTAAGGGTTTTACAGTTTAGAAGAGCTCGCAGGGTTTAGAGACGAAGTCTCGCTTGCGCGACGACAGTTTGCAATCTGTGGGGCGCGGGAGTTTGAAGTTAGGCGCTTGGGTTGACGTACGGGGAAAGCAGTGGTTTGGATGCTACAGAATCCTGCGTCTTTTCCACCCTAAAATGAAACCAAAGCTCTGAGCCACCCCTGAGCCTAAACCCCAGTGAAGAACTAAACCTTAAAGCCCTGAACGCCGAATCCTAAGCTTCACCGTAAATCCTGAGCTTCCTAAACCCTAAATCCCAAACTTCACAGTAAATCCTGCAATTCCTAGACCCTAATTCCTCACCGTCCCTTGCATTTGCGACGCCCCTCCCCCCAAAGTGGGTAGTTGTCAATGTTAGGGTCCCTTTTTGGGTACCTTACATATTAGGTGCCGTATTATATAAAGGACCCAAAAAGTTTCGACAACCACCCATATGTGTGCGCTAGGATATCAGTTGCCTGTATGGTGGGTTATTGTCGCTTGAGCCTTTCCTGGCCCCATGATCCCGAAACCCAAAAAAGGGACCAAAATTTTGACAACCACCCAAGTGTTCTCCAAGGACGGTCGGGACCCAGACAAGCGTGGGAGGCTCCCACCAGGACGGGGAGGGGGGAGGGATTTAGAGATTTAGGGGTTTAAGGTTTAGGGGTTTAGGGTGTAAGGTTTAGGGGTTGAGGGATTTAGGGGTCCAAGGGTTTAGGGGGGTTTAGGGTTTACGGTTTAGGGATTTAAGGGTTTAGGGGGTTTAAGGGTTTAGGGGTTTAGGGTTCAAGGTTTAGGGGTTCAAGGGTTTAGGGGGTTAAGGGTGTAGGGGTTTAAGGTATAAGGTTTAGGGGTTAGGGTTTAAGGTTCACGGTTTATGGTTTAGGGGTTTAAGGGTTTAGGGTGGTTTACGGGTTTCAGGGGATTTAGGGATTTAGGGGTTCACGGGGCTTTAGGGGTTTAAGGGTTTAGGGGTTTAGGGTTTAAGGTTTAGGGGTTTAGGGTTTAAGGTTTGGGTTTTAGGGTTTAAGGTTAAGGGCTGTGTGGACCCGTCTAACTAAGTTTGAGGTACTTGGGTTCACGGTTTTGAAGGTTCAGGGTTTATGGTCTGGACATTGGTATCAAGGTTTCAGGAATAGTTCAAGATCAGCGATTGTATTCCTTGGGTTCCCCGAAAGTCGAAATAGCAACATTTTTGTCGCCATGTTATAGACAGACAGCCAAGATGACGTCGAGCACCTCAACAGTAACATTTGCGCCCTCGACCTTAAACCATCAGAAACCCCATGGACGGTTCTACTGTTGATAATATAAAACCGCATTGCCTTAAGAACACTAAACTATGGGAAATATGGTGCATATGGTGTACTCCTTATTATGGATAATGCAGTATATACATATGTATAGATACATCATCAACCGTAATTAACATAGAGGCCTGAAGATCTTGATAAGGTCTGTATGGTGGTTCTGTGTCATAGCCATATGACGGAACATCAAACTTATACTTCAAGTCCCATTTCTCCGGGGGTCTACACTAGTGACACTTTTCCTGAGGGTTCTCTAAGCAATATAGTTACATATAGTACTCTGTAGGACGTGACACATTAGTGAGCTTAGCCTAAGCCTATTATCCTTAGCGCCGTTGCAAAGCCCGAAATGCTTCCCCGAACCCTAACCTGCCAAAACATGAAACCCTGGACATTGACCGTGAACCCTAGAGGCCTTAAGCCCTGAACCCTAAACCCCTAAACCCTCCTAAACCCCTAAAGGCCCTAAACCCTAAAGCCCTAAAGCCTAAATCCCTAAACCCTAAACCCTAAAGCCCTAAACCCTAAAGCCCTAAACCTTTCTAAGCTATGCAACGCCGATACTCGCCTAGAGATTCAGGGAGTCATAGCTCACTCGGCTCAAGAATTCGGGAAGTAGTTTTAGGATTTCTGGTTCTGGGTGTTGGGTTTCGGATTTAGGGTTGAGGGTTTTTGTTTTAGATTTGGGCACTGTGACAAGTTTTGAGGCATGTTCGTGCAGGTCGAGTTAAAGCACGGAGCACATGCATGCCAGGAGTTGCGGAGCTCGCCGCGCAAGGATTTGCACCCTGGCGTTGGTTTAGGGCCCACCTTAAACCAGGAGAAGTTACTTGTCTGTAGAGCACGGCACAGCAGATCCACTCAGCAAGCAGGTTATGGTATTTGCGGGATTCATTATCAGATGACGGCTTAGGGGCCTTTCGTTCAACGCGACCTTGAGGAAACGTTATTTGGGTTTCAGGGTTTAGAGGCTTAGGGTTTAGGGCCATGGTGTAGTCTTGCTTGCTTATTTGCATCAGGTTTCTTCCGGGGCGTACGTCGTGCTCTTGCTAACTTCGAGAGGCAGCGAGCTTGGGCTGGAACTCTGGACTAAATCGCACAGTGAGTATCTCTGAAGCTACTGTTAAGGTTAATCCCAGTAAGGTGTCAAGCGGCTGAATCTCCCAACCTTCAGCCTTTGAATCAGTAAGCCTAGCTCAAGCCTTCGCCGGCAAAACTATACTATACTAATACTGTATGTATATATATATATACTACATACCATGATGTACGGTCAGATACCCCAACATGCTATGACAGACCACAAGAATAGTCCATTACGTACAGCGGAAGCCTCACCTCCGTGGTCTCAATCCAGGGCGCGGACAATTACAGCGGGCCCTTGAGACATGCTATCTGCCGTGAAGACTGCTATAGAAGCCTCAGCAATTGCCAATAGCATTCCGTTGGAGCCATCTTGTGAATATAGTAGAATATATTGTAAGTATCAATGCCCCCCCAAACAGTTACTTTTCATGCAGACAGATTGCTAAGCAGACAAGCTATGAGCAAAAAGAGATCATGGACTCACACGGCTTATGTGGCGACGGTCAGAGTTTAGGGTTGTTTTTAAGGTGTAGGCTAAACTCCGATAGGCTTCTGCAAGAGGCCTACCTAGATTATGAACTGTAGCACCGGTCTTGGATAACCTCGTTGATGGTCAGGACCCTGTCCTGTAAGAGGTCATCACACATTAGGGTCAATGGCAATATGGGAGTTTTCGAAAATTAGGGGTACCTTAGTTTGCTGTCCTTTTTATCAAGGATCCTGCTACTTAGGGTGCTGTCTAGGGTCCCCTATTTTCGGAAACTCCCCTAGCATGGTTCCCGAAATCATTACCAACTCTGTATTCCGTAGGGGCTCCTCGCTGTCAATATAAACATACTCAAAGGGGAAAAGGAGAGACGCTTAATGGGACCCATACCCTACAATCGGATCAATAGTTTGTGTATAATAGCTATATTAAGGGTATATACCTAGGGGTCCGTATTAAGGGTCCCTACTTTTACCCTTGGACATACTGAACCTAGACCCCCCAAACTACCCTTTAATGTACCCTAAGTACCCACTATTAAGGACCATAAGCGGGCTCCATTAAAGAGCCATTGGGGGGTTCCTGGAAGCACACCCCAAAACCAAGTCACGGTTCAGCTTCTCCCTTTCAGGTCTACTTCCTGCGTGAACCTCCGAGTTTCTGCGAAGAAAAGTAGAGACAAAGAAAGCAGTCCGCGGCCGCTAATTTTGCTTACTCTTGGTTAGTCGGGAATGGAGGAATGGGGTGCAATTATAACCACTATTGCTACCATTTTTCCATTCCCCACTAACCAAAGGTAAGTTTGGGGGCTCCTTCTTGCAATCATAGTTTAATGGACCCCAAAACCCTATTCTAATTATCAAGGCCCCTATTTTATGGGATGTCAAGCTACAAATAAGGCTTGAGAGTTTGATGCTAAGGTTTAGGGTTCTAGCAGGGACTCTTGTGGGGTTCTTTTGGTGCAGACCAAGGATTCCTGTACAGGTGCGAAGGTTTGCAGGGCTCTAGAGCAGGTCCCCTGAGAGTTTAGGGTTCAGGTTTCAGGATATCACCCAAATGGGTGGTTGTCAATATTAGGGCCCCTTTCTGGGCCCTTAACATAATACGGCACCCATTATTTAGGGTACCCAACAAGGGACCATAATTTTGACAACCACCCAAATGTAGACCGGGAACCTGGAATCAAGCTAGGGAGGTCGAAGGCTCTTTGGCTCAAAGCAGCCGAAAAACTGTATGGGAGTTTCAGAAAATTGGGGGTACTTTTTTGGGGGGCACTGTACTAGGGTCCCCTATCTTCGGAAACTCCCATATCTATGGGTGTGTGTGTGTGTGTGTGTCTATGTATACAGATATATGTGTATTTATTCATTTGCATGTGTATTTGTAGTTCAGTTGTGGGTTACCTGTTACCCCGTGGGTCCAAAGGACCCAATAATTAGGTACTCGGTTTTAGGATAGTAGTTATGTAGGTTAGGATTTGGGAGAGTATATGATTATTGGGTACTTGGACCCTTGGGGTTATGATCCTAAACAGAAGGTGGCTAAGCCAACAAAGGAACTACGATGGAGTCGCTAGGTAGCATCCTGGGGTCCCCCCAGAACCCGACAAGCCTAAGCCCGATACAACCCAAACCTTAAAGGGAACTCCAGAAAGTTGCAACATGGATTAATGGTAGGATCCCCTAGAATTTACCTTAAAGGGGTTACGATAATGATATTCCAACTTTCTGGCTTCTACTGTAATTGTTTGTATGCAGTTAATTTCACGCCTTGTTGCGCAGTTGGGTTTAGGGGAAACCCGAGACCCGTTCAAGGTCCATTAGGCAGAAGCACGTGCAATGAGACCATTAAAGCACCCACTTTCCCGCCCTCGGGGCAGGTGGCCTTAAGCCTTAGCCCTAACTGCTAAGCAGTAAACCCCTGTACTCGCTGTGCTGCAGCTGTATCCAAGCGGACCCCGTCTGCCAATATGAAGGATGCAGCACCTTGTGCACGGCAATGAGATCAGGCGGTGACACGTGCTGGTATGTGTTCACGTGCGATATAGCATCGTAGTTGTCGTAAGTACAAAGCCACATTTCAGCAGACAAAGCATAGACACAATATGGATGAATGAATGCACTGTAGCAAGATCAGCTTAGCAAGGTGTTCTAAGATCCTGAGAAATGTTCAAAGATCCTGATACTCTCTCACCGGCGCTGTCTCCATGTTAAGCTCGTCGCACCTGAAACGAAGCGCCGTTTGCGCACGCTTGAAGGGCTCATGGAGCCAACGACGGCGAGGATTCCTCGCAAGCTGGTTCTGCATTTCGATGTGAACGAGACCATCATGGTCGGGGATCCGGCTGCCGGCATCGATTTCGGTGCATCCTTGAACAACATCATTGCAAAGGCAGCCTTCATCTCGAAGACAGGGAAGCTTGGTTTCTTCGTTATTAGTGCTGGTGTTGCTTGTATTAACACTAATACCATCATCATCATCTTCATCACAATCATCTACTTCATTTTCGCATTATATCATGATATGACAATATGATTTGCATTATGCTTCGCTATCTTGTTTTGGCTCTTCGTGATAGATGTGAGACGCCGTGAGTTGCCTCGATCTGCTACTTCGCAGATCAGCTGAGGAAGACTTGGCACGATGGCTCGCCTCTGGACCCTTCAGCCTTTGGCGAACGAAAATCAAAATGAAGCAATTCGACGAACTAGAATTCTAAAAGATGTGGTAGTAATGGTAGCATTCATCATACGTATATGCAGCAAAGCGACTAATTAAAGTAAAGACGAAGGTCGAGTAATAATGGTAGCCTAGGTTCCCCAAGCAATACCCGTTAGCCCTTTTCATTTAGGGCTCCTTTGTTAAAACGGAACACCAGGAGTAAGGGTACCGCTGTTACTGAGGGGACACTAGGGAACCTTGTAGTAACAACAGTAATCTCACTCATGATTGTCTTTATCATTGATATTATAAGTGAGGGCTTAAGCGGTTTAGGGCTAGGGCTCACAGTGAGGATACATATTCCAAGGCTGCTACACTGCTGTTCACGGAAGATAGTCCTAAACCTTTTCGCACAAGATGATGGAATACGAAGCCTTACATTTTGAATCCTTGAAACCCTTGGCCTTTCAAGCGGTGAAGGGTTCTGGGAATTCTGAGCCTTGGAAACCACTGAGCCAAGTTTAAACACCCTAAACCCTAAACCGTAAGCCTTTGAGCCTGCTCCGAGTGAGAGGACCCAAGTCAGCGTTCGGATTCGTCTCCGCCTCCATTGGTGACTGGTTTCGAGGTGCCCGAAGACTGCGACCGGTGCTTCTTCAGGCCCCGAGCATCGGTTTACTATATACCTATGTTTATATATTTATTACATATCTGTTATATATACATATGTACATATGCTCATATATATATATATATATTGCACATGTATTTGTTGACCATGCCTATAGCTAAACTCCTAAAACCCAAAGCCCCTAAAGCCCTAAACCCCTACACCCTAACCCCCTAAACTCCTAACGAAACCTCCCAGACCCTTGAACCCTAAACCCTAAAGCCCTAAACTCCAAACCCTATAGATCCCTTAAAGAACCCTTCTAGACCCCTTTAAGGGAACCCTTCAAAAAGGGATCCTAAAACCCCATCGCCCGGTGCAGGCTCCGAGATGATCCTTCCTGGCCGTCTTCTCGGCTGACGGAGCCCCAAACTCCAGGTTCGTCTAGGGACTTTTGCGGTTGTAGGGGGGTTTTTGGGACTTTGGGGATGGATTTTATGGGCTTTGGGGTTAAGGGGGGCTTTTGGGTTTAGGGACTTTTGGTGGTTTAGTGGTTTATGGGGGTTTAGGCTTTGGGGCTTTGGGGGTTGAGGGGTTCAGGGGTTTAGGGGCTCTGGGATTCAGGGGTCTAGGGATTTTGGGGGTTTAGGGGCTTTGGGACGTTTGGGGGTTTAGGGGCTTAGCGACTTTTGAGATTTTGGGGCTTTAGGGACTTTTGGGGCTGTAGGGACTTTTGGGGCTGTAGGAGTTTAGGGTTCAGGGGTTTAGAGGTTTAGGGTTTACGGGTTTAGGAGTTAGGGGAGTCTAGGGTTTAGGGGTTGCAGCCTGCCGGTCATAGCGCTTTCGTACATACTTACTGGAATATACGGTTTAGGAGTGTAGCGCCCTGTAAGTAATGATTAAGATCCTTTTACCGTTAACCCTAGTGTTTCAAGTCCTTGACCAAGCCTGGGAAAGGCTGCTCAGCGCATCTCTTGTTTGACACCACAGTGGCTACGTTTATTATGTGGGCTTGCATATTTCGTGACTAGCATGCTCTCAAACTACCCATATAGTATATGAAGCAGAACTGGCCGGTAAAACTTTGTTTTGATTATGACGAAGCAAAGCTCCCATGTTGTAGAACCCTGTACACCCCTTGAATAAGTCTCGGATGTTTATGCAGGCCTCTATATACTAAACGCTAAAGCCTCCAGTGTAATCTGATGAGCAATATCTGCCGTGATTTCGACGTTAGCACCAAGAGGCTTTCGTTTTAAGGCTTATAAACGGATATCATCACGAGGAACCCTCGAAATGTGGCTTTCTGAGGGCTAACCTCAAACCCCTCAAGCTCAACCCAGAACCCTAAACCCCAAACCCAAAAAAGTGTACCGCTTAGAGGAAGTGAGAGTGCCCTGCAGGGGCTGTCTACCGACCGCTGTGCCTCCTCGGAATATGTTTTCAAAGCTTTGACGGTTTCCTATGTGACTTAGAACAGTTTCTTGGATGGTTCTATGGTCTTTCATAGGATGTTTCGTCTTTGCAGTATACTTCGTTGCTTTTGCCGATTTGTGGGCTTAAATTTCAGGTTCCGATGAAGGAATATGCCCGGCAGATCCCGGCAGAGTCGTTGTCTTTAAGAACGAGTTCCAACAAAATCAACACAACACTCTGTTCCAGCATCTAGCAGGCACAATAGAGGAATCTCGAGAACCAGTGACGCCGTTCCCAAAGAATGGCTCCCACAGAGTTCTCGCTTCTCCGGCAAAACAAGCCCTCGAAATACCATGCTGGAGAATAAAACCCTGGAGTGCAATGTAGGAGCCTTAATGATTAGAGCAGGGCTTGGTGGTATATCATACTATAGCCATATTCAGAAGCCCGCAAAAAAGCATTCTAATCATTAAGGCCCCTACATTACCCTTGGCAAGCCGTCTAGAAGCCGTCGATGCTCCTGTGCTTGGGCATAAAACCCTAAACTCTAAACCCTATGAACCCTAAACTCTATAAACCCTACACTCTATAAACCCAAAACTCTAAACCCTAAACCCTGTACTCTAAACCCTAAACCCTGTACTCTAAACCCTGAACTCTAAACTCTAAACCCTGAACTCTAAACTCTAAACCCTGAACTCTAACTCTAAAGCCTCAACTCTAAACCGTGAGTCCCAGGTACGAGCAGCTCGTGGAAGCTCTGCGCTGGAAGCACGAGCCGAACGAGATCTTCGCCGCAGGCTCTCGGGGTCGGGGGGGGTGGGGGGGAGGGTTAGGTTTTGTAGTTTAGGGGTTTAGGGCTAGGTTTAGTAGGGTTTAGGATTAGGGGGCGGGGGAAGGGAAGGGGAAGGAGATTGGCTTTTTTGGTTTAGGGGTTCTGGGTTTCGGGCTCAGGGATTTTGAGAAGACCCGCGTGTATTGTAGTAAACGTCGCAGACATGTCAAAGCAAGAAGGCAGCGAGAGTCGGCCTCACGGCTACTGGAACGCAAATGCAAAAGTAATAGAACAACCAACAATGCTGACGGTTAGCCCCACCTCAACTGTGTACTTGCAGAAAGTCGTGCTTTGTTTCCGCAAGGGGTGCCAGAAGGCACACCCGAATCCGGATACCCTAGCAGGTATCTAATTGGCCAGCATCCCTACAACACCAGTAGCTCTCTCCCATCGCGGTTTGTTGCACTTCTCCCAAATCTTAAATGGGAGTTTCCGAATATTAGGGTATCTTGTTTCAGGGCCCTTATCTAATCAGGATCCTACTATTTGGGGTACTTTATATAAGGGGCCCCTCTTTTCGGAAACTCCCAAATCAACCTGAGGTGGGCACCATTTCTTATTGCCAGCCTTCTTCCACATGCTTTCCGAGCTCGAGAAGCAGGGCAGAGACTTCTCGGTCGTGATTCGAACGTTCCTTGAAGTCGAGGATTTATGGATCAGCCTTGTCCTTTTTTCATGGTTCCCCCAAAAGAATAAACAGACCGGCTAGTACACCTTCTTAAGTAATTCCTACTAAGGGATATAGGTATAGGGCTCTGTCTATTATTTCTAAAAGGACCAGGGTGTTATGGATGCGTAGGTGGGAGTTGTCAGGAAGACTCCAGGATCTTCGTGACTTTTAGAGGACCTTGAAGCTGGTTGAACATGTACCCTGTGGCCTATGCACGCCTGGAGTGCATGATGCATGGATTGAAGTTTAGAACCACGAAGCAAAGCTTAATCACCTTTCCTGCTGCCTGGGCCTGCGTCGCTGTCGCATCGTCTTGATGCATGTATGTACGTATGTATGGATGTATGTAGGTATGTAATTAGGTGTGTAGATTTGTATGTATCTATGGTCGGTGGGAGGTAGACACGCAAATGTGCAAAGGATATCTTGGGGTTTGGAACGCTTTAGTGCTTTCAGGGTCTATCTGCCCGCCAGAAGATCTACTTCTGTGCCTCGTGTAACTTGCCCCAGCCTGAACCTTTCCCTGCTCTTAGATTGAATCTTGAACCCATGCCCAGCCACCTGTTGTGAGGGCGTAAAACTGGACTGTTAGAGCTGCTATGTTGTAAACACTGGAAGAGGGGTTCGGAGATAGCCAGGTAAACCCTAAACCCTAAACCTCAAGATCTACACCCAAAACCCTAAATCCTCAACCCTATAAACCTAGAATCTAAACCGAAAACACAGCACTCAAACCTCTAAAAACCTAAACCCTCAAAATCTAAACCCCAAAACCCTAAACCCCTGTAACCCTCAAAACCCTAAACCCTCAAAGTCTCAAGCACGGACCCAGGTTCGGAACCGACATCCCCGAGGTGGCGAAGTCTGTCGCTGCCTTCGCCGAGGGTTTGCACCCGGACTTCCCGATGCAAACGGCCAGGCTCAGGCCCTGGCAGTATTAGTTACGCCGCTGTTTTTGTTATTGCTATTATTACGATTATTATTGTTATTGTTGTTATTAATCATTCGTATTAATCTTTTTCATTGCTATTATATTATTGCGATTTTATCAATAATTACAATTATTGATATTATTAAACCGTCGACTCTAATCGCCAATTCTCACACCCCGGACCCTAAACCCGAAACTCTCGACTGCAAAGGTCTACAGTCACAACCAGGTTGTCCTCTGGGTCACTGAAATTTTGTGAACATAGCTTTTGTGCGATCCTACCTAGACCCCCCAAAGTAGGCAAAATAATGGCCCAAAACCTTTAAAAGGCTATTAGTCTACATACTTTTGGGGTTCAGGTATCTACTATTATGTTTCGATTACCCCAGCCTAGTCTCAGAGAGGTCGGTCGTGCAGCACTCGGGCTGGGCCGTGCGGCGGAAGGACAGGTCAGATCCCTCGAGCCCGATTCTGTTCTTCGACGCAGTTCAGATCTAATTCTGGGACTTGGGGATTCTAGTCTTATTACCTAGACCCCCCAAAGTAGGTAAAATAATGGCCCAAGACCCATAAAAGGCCATTATTCTACGTACTTTGGGGGTTCAGGTAGGAGTTGAGGTTCTTTGGGAAATCTTGGTTTGGGTTTAAGGCTTACTATTGGGTTCTAGCTTTGAGTTTAAAGCGGGCTTTCGGAGCTAAGAACTAAGAACCTCCAGCCGACACGTTTAAAGCCATTTGTTTGCAGAGGGTCTTGGTTAATATATGTATGTGTGTATGAGTGTGTGTGTGTGTGTGTATATATATATATATATATATGTATACACATTGTATTTATGCTTCAACCGTCGCAACCTGTATGCACCTAGACCCTGTCATGGACACACACACACACACAAATCGTTAGGAACACAGCAAAGAACGCAGCTCCTACAACCTAAATCCTATACTAGGCCCTAACTCTGAAGCCAATTCAGCCGAAAGGCACCAAATCCCCAAAATCCCTACACCCCGAGGCTTCGGCGATACGAGGAGTCTTGGATGTAGCCTGCGAGATGTTGTTCTTCAGGGTTTCGGGCTCACCGCACATGGCTTTTTTGGGGGGAGTTGTCTGCCTTCTGAAGAATGCTTGGTGGGTTTTCATTTTCAGCCTTTGAACATCCGCCTGTATAAACACAATCACATCCCTGACTGTAGTGCAGCCCAATCCCTAAGAACCCCAGAGGGCCCATTTTGCAAACTGTTTGAGCTGTAGGTGTCTTTGTCTAAACTGTTTTCTGGATGTTCTTGGTTGTTCTCTCCCTGCTCTAGGCTTCCCTGGGGCTCCAGTTGCCTAAATATTGGGTTACTGGGTTACATAGTAGATGCCTAGTAGCTTACTTCGGTTGATTATATAATAAATCCTGCATAGCCATAACAAGGAATATTCCATAATTCCCATAGTCTAGGGCCACTAAGGTAATGCAGGATTTATATCATCAGCCGTATTTAGGTAACTGGAGCCCCATTCGTTGCTTCGCGAGCGACTGTTGCGTTTTCTCAAGGCTTCAAGGCCCTTCCTCCCGGCCTTTCCCCAAACTATCAATGCCGCAACAGGGTTTAGCTTAACCCTAGAGCCCCAAGGCTTGAAATGCTAGACCCCCATGAGGTTTAGAGTAGAGCTTAGCCGAGAGCTCGAAAGAGCCCAAACTTCACGAGACCAGGAGCCCATCGGCTCTTCCGGCTTTGGGAAAGATCTGACCACTCCGGAAAAGCTCAAGTATACGGAGGAGATCCATGGTAGTCATTAGCAGGATTTTCCTGGTGCTAGTTGTGGCGTGCTTCTGAGGGTTTAGCGCGGGTATAGGCTCCCGGTCTTTGGGACTTGATCCAAAACATCGACGTTTCGTCGATATTTACCGCCTTTCTCATGTATACAGGTCCTCAGAGCCGCGTGGTGTTGTAGTCCACAAGATTCATAGGATCGTCGAGAACAGCATTCCCGACTTCCTCACCACTGGCCCTGCAGCGTGTGTGCGGGATGACTACTTCTACTGGAAGGGCAACCACTACCGACCGGAGTCAGGCGCCAGACATCAGCTGAAGACTGGCCCTATAACGGTTTAGGGTTTAGGGGTTTAGGTTATGGCGTTAAGGGATAAGGACTCAGTAGAAACACCTGATTCAGAAACCTTGGGCCTTAAATTAGGGTTCCTTACATGAATCCCACTATGTTGGGGTTCAGGCCCAGGGTTGCTTAATGAGGATCCTACATATATACCATAAACTACGAATATTGTCTTTAATGCTTTGTAAGCAATGTAACAATGGTATGCCTATAGTCTCTATAAGCTGGTGCCATATGTAGTAATAGTATGCCTTGTCCATATATATTCATGATAGGCTAAGAATCGGCGTGCAAGGCTTGGTTCGTAATGTTTTTTCGGAGTCAATCTACCCGTCTGAAACCTTAGCCGCCTAGGCGCCAAGCAGTAAACTGAACCCTGAACCCCAAACCCTAATTAAGCTAGTCTGGCTGTGGTGGGCCCGGGATCAGGCAAACCCGCATGGCTGACACTGGATGAGGAAAACGTCCAGCACATCTTCTTTGACGAGACTCGGCTTAGGTTTATTTATAGTATGTTGGGGTTTAGGCCTTGGGATCAGTAGCGTGATCATCGAGTTTAGGGCTTGAGAATTAACCTGAGGGTTTAGGAGTGGGGAGGAGGAGGTAGCATAAGCAGCTTGGCCCAAGAGCTGCGCAACCGACAGCCCCGAAGGGCCCGACAGTTGATAAGCACAAAACCAAAGGCCCGAAAATCCAAGGACAACATTCGCAATGATCCTAGAGCCTAAACCCTAAACTCGGGTTTGAGGTTTTAATTAGGATCTAGTTTGTGCTCGAAACCTCCGAGGACAATATCCACAACGATCCAGACGACTCGATCGTTGGGATCCGAATCCGCCAGTCTGCTTCCGACAGCTTCCGAAACCTCTCCGGAGAGGTCACGCGACGCCTGGAAGGCGTCTTCCTGGCCACCTGGCTCTTGGGTTTTGGGAGGTTTGGAAGGGGCATTCAAGTGACAAAAGTTTCGGGTTTTTGCAAGGCGGCATATCAGGATTCAAAACCTAGAAGCCTAAACCAAGAAAGCTTTAATTAGACCCTACCCAAAACCCCAAACCTCTAGAACACCCTAACAGTTAAACCGCAGTCTTATCATCCCCTTATCTCAAGCATCTAGGGCATGGGTCTTGCGTGCACCAGGATTGTACATCAAATTACTGGCGGCCTGAACGGGGCCGTTTAGATATACTTGCATGTGCCGCAAAGCTGCTATCCTAATCATGACTCAACTACCTACTTTTTCCAGCATTCTTCATCATTCCGATTAACTAATTCTTTGTATAAATCCGTAAAAAGGACAGGTTATCTGAGGCTTGGGTAAGGCCCCCATAGTACCAGCCATCTGCAAAGGTAAAGGCACAGCCAGTGGATGCCATTCTCGACCCAGACTACTTCTTGAGGAGCGGAGCTCTATTGGAGGTTGAGGGCGAAGGGTTTAGGGTTTAAGCCCTAAGGGTCCATATGCACTTAGCATATACTTTGGCCCCAAAGCACCTACATAGGGATGACTTCAAGGCCAAAGCATAATATACTACTTGGGCACATGGACCCTGAGGGAAGGGTAAAGGCCTGAACTCCAAATCCCTGGACCGTGAAGGCCTGTTGGGCAAAGAGTTAAGGCCTTGAGGAGTATGAAAGTTCTCGGGTGTGTCTGGCACTTACGGGTGTTGGATGTTTCAGCGGTTTGGGGTTTAGGGTTTAGCGGCGTTGTGCTTCAGGGCGTTAATGGTTCAGGGTTTGGGCCTAGGATACGGCATTCCGGGGTCCACCGTCACCGTCTGTATCCCAAAGTGTCTAATGACCACAGGTACCGTGCTCCCCAAGCACATCCTCTTTGGAATCTTTGCAAGTATATGCTGCTTTGAGTACTTAGACCCTCAGTCTATGCTTTACAACGGGACCCTATAGTATATAAGACTTCGGGCCAATATGCAAGCTTTCTCAATGAGCCCCGAGTTTGCTGTTCCTGGTCTTGAGGAACATTCACCGCTGCGAAGAAAATTTCGACCGACTTCGTGCCGATGGCAGTCTTGCGCGATTGCTGAGTGGCACATAAGCCTGAGACAAATGAACTTACCCTGGGTTAGTAGGGAATGGAAGAATGGTAGTAATAGTAGTTATAATGGTACCCCATTCCTCCATTCCCTACTCACCAAAGGTAAGTACAGCCAACGTCAGCGGAGGTACCGCATCTTTCAACATCGCAGCAGAAACCAAGCCCCATGACACCCAAATCAATCGAAGACGTGACTCTTCATCTCCTATCCTGAAGAGACACCCTTGCTGACTGTGTGAGTTGCTGTAGACCCTAAACCTGAAACCTAAAGCCTCAAACCTTTCACGCAAGCTTGAATGGCACCTCGGAGAAAAGACTCAGATTCGGATCTCAGTAGTCGAGTTTAGGGCTTAGGGTTTAGGGGTTTAGGTCTTCGGGAGCACACTGCGAACACCCTTGCTGACATTTGGCAGTTTATCATTCAGATGCCACTCAGGGTTTAGGCTTTAGCTCTTTAGGGCTTCAGGATGGGAGACCTCTTACATCTCTCTTCGGTTGCTGACTTAGTCCGCACTGACCAACCAGGATGCTTCGTATAGGGGCCTTTATAACAAGCACCTAAACTATTCTGGGGCTCCTTACTATAACTATAGTATGTTGGGCCCGAAAACCCTGTTCTAATTATTAAGGCCCCTATGCTGTAGTACCGTTATAGATCCTAAAGTAACCCCTTAAAGGAACCCCTTTCTAATTATGAAGGCCCCTATATTTGACCCCATAAGCCCTAAACGTCTCACCAGGTGCCATCCGAGCGCGACGCATGCCCGGGAAGCGTCTGCGTGCAAAGCTGCGCAGGCGCCTTATCGAAGATGACTTGCCTAATGCAGGGGCCTAATAGTTAGAACAGTGTTCCGTTAAAGGGTTCCTTTAAAGGGTTGCTTTGAAGGGTTACTTTAAGGGATCTATAAGGGAAATTACTATAATAAAGGGGCCTTAGTAGCTAGAACAGGCTGTCGGAGCGCATTATACTATAGTTGTAATACGGAGCCCCCAACATAGAAAGGGTAATTATTCGGGCCTTATAGGAGCTTCTCGAAGGATCGCCGCAAGACGCACAGGGCTTCTGTAGTGTTGTAGCTGGTACTGTTGTGATCATCGTTATTCTATCATAGTTACTAGATCACAGCGTTTGTTGTCCTACCCCGTTTTAACCAACTATGAAGACGGTCAAGCCGGTAAAGCCCTTGACGCCGTCTTTTGGGGAGCTTCTCTTTACCCAGTTCTGGAGTCTTTGACTCAATAGCCGGTCTTCTATGTGGAGTGTGTAGTCAAGGGGAGGCTTGTTAAGTTAGGTTTCCCAGTCAAGAGATACGTACGATACCTTTTCGGGTTGTCATTGGGGTCTCTCATCGCCTACAGGCCTCATGTAGATGCAATGGTTCACGAAGCATGCAAGCATATCTTTGAACCTTCCTATATAATTTTTTTGAACCTAGTGACCGGGTGGAGGCGGCTAAGCCTGGAGGTGTGATCAGAATCTTGGACCCACACCCTGAACTCTGATTTCGGATTCCCCCTAAATCCTAAACGGATTATGTTTCGGGGGTCTGCGTCGAAGGGACACTAAAATTAGTGGGCCGCAAACCCGAAGCCCCGAAACCTTAAACCCCTAAGCCCAAAACACCGAGACTGTCATAGATAAATATAGAAAATACCCCTGTAACCTCAACTCTGACAGCCTTACACCGAGACCCTCAACCCTACAGTACACCCTAACGCCTAAGCCGCAGCTGTGCCAGGCAACGTTACAGTGCTAGCTCCCACGGAGGACCCGACGAGCAGCACGGGAACGCCGGGGACTTAAGGGCTCGGACTGGGACAGATGTTTAGGTCCAGATGGATGCAGGGATGGATGACTGAAGGTATGTACAGATGTATACCTATGTATACATGTGTGTAGGTGCATGCATGCACCTGTATGGATGTCTGTATGTATATTTGCATGTATGTATAAGGTATGTGGGTATGTGCATGTGTGCGCGTGTGTCTACGTCTATGTCTATGTGCATGTGTATGTATATGTAATGCATGTTTCGCTATAGGTGCTCAGCAGGTTTGTCAAGAGTGCGCATCTCCCGCCGGTCCACACAGCGAAGGTTCCCTGCTGCATTGGTGTATGTACCTGCCCGGAGCTCAGGTGACTCCGACAGGAGAAGGGCAGCCAGCTAGTGACATCATACCCCTACACCTTAAATCCTAAAGTCCTAAATCCCAAACTTTAAACTCTAAACCTCTAAACTTTCTAAAGCCTAAACCCCAAGTCTTAAAAGCCCCCCGAACTCGAAGCCCTGAACCCAAACCCCCAGGCAGGAACCCCAGATGTCGCTCCGCAGAAGGTCCAAGAGCCCCAGGGGTCCTACAGTAAACCCCAAAACAGCACTGTTAAGGATTGAGGCTATGGGGTTTCCAACTTTTGGGCTTCCAGTGTCGTGCTTCGTGGATTGATTCGAGCTCGAGGCTTCTCTATTAGATTCCAAACGCCAAATCTGAGTTGAAGGTTTAGGCTTAAGGTTTAGGGTTTAGGGGTTAAGTGTTTAAGGCTAAGAGACCGTCGCACCGAGTAGCACCTCGAACGGTTCAGGGTTCCGAGGCCTTTGTTGGCTTTCAAGAACTAGAAAACAGATCAGGCTTGTGCAGAGCTGGAGCCGGCTGTATAATAAATGTGAGCAGCTATGCTTGCAGCAGCAATTGTAGCAAGAACACTACAAGGAATGCAGATGCAAGGCGATCCCTTGTGTATCGAACGATGGAAAGCTGCCGTGAATTCATCATACCCGGAGCCAAAGTCCATCGAAGCAATACCATGCAAAACTTTAAACCCACATAAGCCCTACCCCAGTCTAACCATGTCTAACCCCTACAACCCTAAATCCTGAACCCGACAATTCCTATCCCAAACCCTAAATCCTACGACCCTATCTCCTAAACCCTTATCGTGGTAGAACCGTTCGGCAGCCTTTATAGAACCCGTGAAGAACGTTTATAGAACCCTTAGGGCAGGAACCTTTACAGAACCCGGTATAGAACCTTTCTAGAACCCTTGCAGAGCCTTGATAGCATCCTTCTTTGAATCTTGACAGGACCTCTTCTATAACCACTTTATTTGTTATAGATCCTTATTACTGCAACTTAATTTATATTCCGAAACCCTCAACCCTAAACCAGGTCCGAGCATCCTAGCTCTCCGTATTGACCCTAGCCGTTTCAGCCCTAAGAGGCCAGCATCGTGTTTATGCTGCTCTGCTGCGGTGGCCTCCTGGTCTACCGCTGTTTGAAGAGGCGGTGAAAATGACTGGGGGCTTCTTATGACGGTACTGTGAGGGTACATTTATATACTTTGAGAAATGTAAGGTAGCCATAAGGGTACTGTAAGGGGTCCTACTTTTTCAGGTTACTGTGAGGTTACGTCGACGTGAAGAAGGTGCAATGGTGAGCCTTCCTGGGAGGTCCGGACGTGTTTCGGGTTGTTGAAGGTACGTCGAGGGTTGAGGTTTTTGATTGGGGACGTTGGGTTTCAGGACTTGGTGCGAGGAGTTCAGCGATCGATACTGAACTCTTTTTAATTTTTCTCTACTTGCAAACATATTAGCCTTCTTGTTCGATTAGTCTTCCTACCTGTCGCTGTTGCCACAATTTCACGCTGGCATGTCGATACCATTAATGGTTTCGATAATGTGGTTTCTTCATGTGTATGTGCTGGCTTCATCGCAAACTCGTCTGGAGAATACATACAACCATTTAATGCCACGGGGTTCCCGCCCCTTGTACGACAGCACGATGGCTTGGCGATCGGTAGGACTGCTGCTAATAGACGTCCTACGGAAAACGAACGCACATTCGGGCTGGGGGTTAAGGATTTAGGGTGCTATGGTTGATCGTATAAATCCTAATCCAGCATTACCCAGAATAAGGAATCTACCCTGTTTCCCATAGTGTAGGGCCCCCAAGGAAATGCAGGCTTTAAATCATCAACAGTATGCACATCCATCCAGACTTCAACGCAAGGCGGCGGTGATATGTGATAAGGCTCCCAGGCTCCCTACGAATCCTGGGGCCCCTCACAACAACAGGTCCCAAGCAGCCTGATGGGCTAGAAAACATGCCCCCCTTTACCTGAAAAAAACTGTGTGTGTGTGTGTGTGTGTATATATATATATATGTAGAGAGAGAGAGAGAGAGAGAGAGAGAGAGAGAGCTGAATATATGTGATATGTGTCAACATACACTAACACTAACTTCCAATATGCATTTATTATAATATACGATTTCAACATGCACATTCCTAAACCCCAAACCTTGAATATCCTTATATAACCCTAAACCCCTCAACACTTCGCTTCGGGGATGCAGGGTGCAGGTTTTTTCTTCACCCCGACAGTCCAATGAACCCCCAGCCACCCACCCTGAAGTTATGAAGGCTCCTTCTTCTAGGACCCAGAGTAGGCCCTTATTCCCTTTTTTAGGGTTCTGGTTCCCTTATTAAGCCCCTTTAAACCAAAAAGGGCACCCTTTTTATTCCTAGGTTACTCTTGGGTCTAGTTCTTGTAGGGGATTTAGTGGTTTGGCTTTGGAGCATGTTTAGTGCTTTCGGGTTCAGGGGTTTCCTTAAAGCTATTGGAACTGACAGTTGAGTTGCGCTTCGTTTCAATGTAAAAAACATCGCGAGGAGCGGCTTTTTCAGCCGCATACCAAGCCCGTCGCTACCCAACCCCGTCCTGATCCGAAGGCGCGGACTGCAGAAAGTATCGGTTTGAGAGTTTTAGGGTTTTGGGGGGGGTTAAGGGCTTTGGGTTTTGGCTTTGATGTTTCGGGGTTTAAGGTTTCAGGGGGGGTCCTTGAACTTTAAGTTCTACAAAGGTTCCGTCAAGCGTTCCATTGAGGGTTCTTGAAGGGACTCCTGTCAGGGCACAAAGTGTTTCGGGGCTTGGGGCTTGGTGATTATGGCTTTTGAGTGTGGGTTAACGGTCTCGGTCAAAGCTTTGGGAGGTTCGGTCCCTAAGCCCCAAGCTAGCCCCAAACCCTAAACACCAAACTACAAACAATCACCCCGCAACCCCATGCAAACCCCAAACCCCAAAGCCGTAAAGCCAGAAAGCAAACTGTCACAGGTTGGTCACCGTTTGAACTAAGCGTCAGAGCTTGTGAAGGCGGGGGATGCCATGGATGGAAGCAAAAGCGACATGCACCTTCGAACTCCATAATCCCTTAAACCCTACAAAAGCTCAGAACCCGAAGCCCCCTGTAAACCTTCAACCCTAACTGCAAACCCCAAGCCCACAACCCTAAACTCTCCTGAGTTCTGGTAGGAGAGAGCCCCATATGAACCTTAAACCCTAAACTAAATGCAGCCCCTAAACCCAAAATCCCCAAAACCCTAAACCCTAAATCCTAAACCCTAAACCCTAAACCCCAGGGAGCAAAAAGGAGTTTAACAAAAAAAAACCTAAACCCTGAACCCCCAAGCCCTAAACTCCCCTTGAGCTCTGGTAGGAGAGAGCCGCCACCCAGCAACGCCCTGGCGCAGCGTCTCGAGGTCGACTGTCTGGGGAGCTTGGGGGGGTAAGGGGTTCCCGCTGTGGCCTTGGGGGGTTCAGGAGTTTAGAAGTAAACCCTAATACAGGAGAGTGCTTTACTTTAGTGTTTAGGACTTTAGGGTTTAGGTTTTAAGGTTGAAGTTTAAACCTGCAACCCTAACCTAACTTGGTGTGGTTACCTTGTCTCCTCGTTAATTAACGAATCCGAACCATAGAGTTGGGTATCGAAAACGTAACTGATATAGGGGTCGGGAGAACTGGCAATAACTTCCCTTTGCCCTATCTGGTTCTACCATCATTGGAATAAAGCCCGGCTCAATTCCGATACCACACACCCTAAACCCTACAAGCCGTACACCCTAAACCTGAAGGCCCCCCTGTATTTCTTCGCGGATCTTTGAAGGTTCGCAGAGTTTCGGAGGTTCGAGCTTGCGACTGCCGCCTTTGCAGCATTAGGATTCAGGTCTTCGGATGCCATAGGGACCGCACACCGTAGAGTGAGGACATAAAGTTCGTTTTAAGGGCGCCTAGAATTTTTCTGCATAGGTGGTGTAGGTTTTGAGTATAAGGGTACTATCAGGGCTAGTATATGATGTTTCGACAATATCCAACGAACTCGAAGTCCTGTTGGGATCGGCATTGGCATATAGCGAAAATATCGATTCTGTGATGTTTGGGGTTCATTGTTCAGGAATTTGACTTATTGTTTTCGTTGTTTATGGCTTCCCGCAGTTGGAAAAGCAGCGGCGTGGGCCCATACTACCCATACCAGAATACCAACTAAACTTGAACACAGCACCCTTAGAGAGCGAATTCCAAGCTCGAAGGCGGGTTGATTTTTTTGAAGCAGCCACGGAATAAAGGCGAATTCAAAGGCAAGAGCAACTATGCTATTCCTGATACTGTTTCGTCGGGTTTCTATTCTGTTTATGGTTGTAATATACAATATCCCCAAACCCGCTTCAAATCATTATGGCCAATGTTCGTACAACACATCAACACAGCCGTAAGAGACTTGCAGCTGTAAGCCCGAAACCCCAGCGTCTCGGGGCTTCAGGAGGCCACCAACAGGGCTCTCTATGGCCCAGCAGACGAGGCAGCGCAGGGTTCAGGGCTAGAAGAGTTTAGCAGGGTGCTGGATCTCGGCATTGGGGTTTAGGGTTTAGAGGCAACGAAAATGCCAAACCGTGTGGGGGCAGATGCGAAAATCAGCATGTTCAAAGTGCGCAACGTTTAAACCCTAAACCTGCAGCTATCGGCCATCGTTACGGCCCGTTTTTGCTAAGTCCTTTGTCTTCTGAGTTTGAGCCCGAAACCTCAAACTCCTGAAGACGAAGTGTATCTAACAGTAGGGAGAAGTGACAACCTGAAGACTCGGACTGCCTGACAAGAAAGCATGTGTGGTCTCATTGGAGCATCATCTGCGAGCAATCACGAGCAATCAGAAGCATCCATGAACATAAAGCCAAATCAGCTGTTTCAGCAAGCCGCGGGTTTGTGTCTCGAATTACGTGTCTCAGATGTTTAAGCGTGTGTTGGGGTTTGGTCGAGACTACTGGAAAGCCTTAATTTTTATAGGCTTCACACCCCAAAGACCGAAATAAAGACATATATGCGCCGCAAACACTGCGGCCCGGAACCCCTCAACCTTTGAGCGCTACAGTCTCAAACTCTTGCACTTTAAGTCCTCGCCTCATGAAGCTGACCACCCCTAAACGTCTAGGACCTTTAAAACCCTTGGCCCACTGAGCTGCTATCCCTGGAGTCCTCAGCCTTGCAAGAGCCGTAAAATCAGAGATCCCCAACCATACCTGGACCCCAAAAGTATGTAGAAGAATAGCCTTTTACAGGTTTTGGGCTATTATTTTACCTACTTTGGGGGGGTCTAGGTAACAGCCCTGGCCTGCTTGAAGCCTAAGAGGCCGAAAACCAAAGAGCCCCAAACTGACCCGACAGCGCTACGGCCCTTTACAAAGCTTAAAGGCTTCAGAGCCCCAAAACCAAAGAGCAATACACCGACCCTAGAGCCCTGAAGCCTAAACCCTACACCCTTATGAACCCTACCTAAACCCGAAACTCTGGCTAAAATCTAAACGCTACGCCCCTCAAGCCTGGGTCCCTAGAGCCCCAAACCCCTAAACTCCTGAACCCTAAACCTCTAAACCCCTAAACCCTAAAAACCCTAAGCCCCTAAACCCAAAAAAACCCTAAGTCCCAAGCCCCTTTCAAAAACTGAAAAGAAGAAACCTAAGCCTCTAAACCGCTAAACCCCCTAAATCCCAATTCCGCCCCCTCCCCCCTTCAAAAGCAAAAAGAAAAAGAAACCTCTAAACCCTAAACCCTATGCCCCTGAACCCATAAACTATCTAAATCCCTGCCCACCCGCTTCAAAAAAACAAAAAACGCATCCTCCCAGAGGCGACTACCGGAGAACTCCGGCTGCCGGCCTCGTGGTCAGCCCTGGATCCGGGTCGAAACAAGACCAAGGCCCACTCTTTGAACCGCGGGGGTGGGGGGGTTCAGGGTTTAGGATGTAGCTTTCAGGGTTTAGGATGTAGGGGTTAGGGTTGGGGTTTAAGGGTATTTATAGGGTTTAGGTTTGACCAAGGCCCACTCTTTGAGCTGGGGGGGGATCAGGGGGGGGTTCAGGGTTTAGGGTTGAGGATGCAGGGTTTATAAAATGTAGGTTTTAGGATTTGGGGTTTGGGGTTCAGGGTCTGGGATGTATATATATATATATATATATATATATATATATGTATATGTATATGTAGGGTTTACAGGATGTAGGTTTGAGGGTTTGGGGTAAATTAAGGGTTTAGGGTTTAGGATTGAGGGTAGATTCCTTCATGATCAAGCCTTAGACCCTAAACATTGCGTGAAGTTGCGAGGATCTCCCAATCTCGCGGCTGTGGGAAACGTGGGAGGTGGAGGTCGGGAACACCGGTGTTGCTTCTTGCCGTTTGGGGCATTTTGCGGCCTTAGGGCTTGAGGCGTTTGGGCTTTTACGGTTTCAGGAAAAGGCCTTCAGACACTGTAGATGGCTCTCTAATGCACATCCTTCAAGACTTCAGGGCCTTCGGGTTGGGGTTTTGGACTTGGTGTTAGGCTCCTGTCAAACCTGCAGGAGGCCAAACCCCCCAGAAAGCCCAATACTTCTGAATTACGGAATATGCTTTAAGTTATAGCAGCCCCTAATGTTATGATTTAAGCTATATTCCTTAATTAAGGGGTAGTTCCCTTGTCCCCCCATCCCGCCCTCGCCCCAAGAATGGCAAGGCCGAGGTGACCGAGCCCCCAACATGACGCTAAAGCCGACAGGCCCCAATGAGCCCAGAGCTGATCCCTGCCTATAGTCTCCATTGTACTTCCTTGTTGGGTTAAGCCAATTTCATAGTTAGGTTCCTAGAAGGTAACCGCAAGAAGGAACCACAATGGAGACTATTGGTAAGCCGACAATCTAAGTGACGAAGCCACGAGCAACCCTGAACCCTCCAGACTATGCTCCCCAGTGCTGACCACACATCTACCGATCTATCTTGAACCATGCCCGGTAAGTGTTGCACAATAAGGCTCCCGCGTCTCCGAACCCCTAAACCCTGAAGCATATTTTAAACAAACCTAAACCCTAAAACCTACACCGAACCCCTAAGCCCTAAACCCTACATATCTTTAAAAAGACTAAACCCTAAAATCTAAACCGAACCCGAAACCCTATTTAAACCCTATCTCAAAAAAGACCAAACCCTAAAATCTAAGCCGAACCCCTAAACCCTAAACGTTATCTTAAAAAAAGACTAAAACCCTAAAATCTAAACTCTACACCCATGCTCTGAGCCCGACTTCGGGCCCTGGAGCTGCAGGAGCACAAGTACCTGGGAACCAGCGCGGCGGAACAGGCCGGAGAAAGGTTTAGGGTTTAGGGTTTAGGGTTAAAGCACCTGTGGATAGTTGCTGGGATATAGGGTTTAGAGTTTAGATGCATTTCTGTGGACATTTACTGCATGAGGTATAGGGTTTAGGATTTAGACTGTGGCGATAGTTGCTGGGGTATAGGGTTTAGAGTTTAGACGCATTTAGTGTGCGGCCGCAGCTATGGTACTCTTGGACAACAGGCCTTTAGAAGTCATGGGCTTGCAGTTGTCCGGTCCAGAGTTCTCGTGCAAGTCGAGCTTGGCTAAAACACACTCTGCATAGCGATGGACATTTACAGCACAAGAGACTTCAAGAGACCCGCGAGGAATAGGAACCCCAAACAGACTACATAAGCCTGCGGATGTCACAATTAAGCTTTCGGATCTGAGTTCTGAAGGGTGAGGAGCTTTCTGAACCCGACAACAAAAGCTCCAAACCCTGCAGGGCTGAATCCACAACCAAAAAAGTCCGCTACCCTAAACCCCAGACCCTTGAAACGCCCTGAATTCCCCTGATGAACTGTACCTATACTCTCCAATCTAGATCCCTGTTCTGGTTAACCAGTTTTATGGTTAGGATCCTATAATAGAGATTTGGGTTGACCAAAAAAGGAACTACAATGGAGAGTATAGGTAGGCTTGACAACCGGAAGTGCCAGCAGCATATCATGTGAGCCATGTGGCGCCCTATTGGAGCTTCACAAGATTCATGGTAGCACTTAGAACCTCCTCTGGCTAAGCACAAACCCAAGTTAATTAACCCTTTAGAACCCGTGATAAAAAAAAACCTAGAGATACACAAAAGGGTAAGGCCCTAAGGTCCTAGCTAAGGCGTCCCAAACAGCCAAACAGCGACAAACTGTCTACTTTTCGGGCTTATGTCCGCTTTGGGGTTACGAAAGAAACCTAAACCCTAAACCACACCCGTTTTAGTCCTCAGGTTCGAAGTTTATTGGTGCATGCAGCTGCTGCCACTTAATGCTTCAAATGATACATCTTGGTCTTTTGTTGTCTTGGCAGTTGAGGCGAAAGCACCAGGATCCTTCATGCGGACATACAAGCTACGACAGTTCAGAGCGGTGATGACACGCCCCAACCCCCGCCACCCCCCGAAACCCCAAGCCCCTAAACCCTAAACCCTAAACCCATTTGGGAAGGCTCGAAGCCCTGCACCACACCGTAATTAAACCGAACCCTAAGCTCCGGCAAAGGCCCAGCTGGTTGGCAAGTCTGGGCTGGCTGACGGCAGGCACTCCAGGGTCTACAGGGAACTCCAGAATGTTGGAATATGGGTTCATGGTAGGATACCCTATAATTTACCATAGAACGGTTAGGATAATCATATTCCAACTTTCTGGCTTTTACTTTTAGATTAAATAAGTTAGAAAGGGCCCCCACCCTGTAATAGTGGTATAATAGGAATATAATAGGGCCCTACTAGAATCCTTATAGTCACTATTACAGGGTGGGGGCAGCTTCTAATAAATAAGTCATACTGAAATAGGTAGAAGTTACATAGGGCTTACGGTTCTCAGCTTTACTCTGTAACAGCGTAGGCTTGCCAAACTAATGTAGAGAAAATACCCCAGCGCCCGAGTTCAATTCTTCAGAGCTCTTTATCCGGACTAATGGCTCAGTGTTCGAAGGTGTCGTGATTAATCTTAAGAGTTGGAGGCTTGTTGAGGACTTAGGGAGAAAACCCTTCATCAAACCATTGTAGATCACTGACAAAGCCCACAAAACCATGGAAATCACGGATAGACGTTATGAGCAGCATCCTTGGTACAACCCGTACAAAATCCTAAATCCTATACAAACTTTATAAACCTTCCGCAAAAGATGAAACGCTAGAAAACCGCTTAAGTCCTTTATCAAACCCAAGTTTAGACCTTTGTAGACCCTAAACTCCTGTAAGAACCTTTTTTAGTTTTAGCCTTCGGCTCAGATCCTCGTGGTCCCGACGGCTGCCGACGACGCTGCAAAAGAACGGCCAGGTTTGGCCAACCAGGATTTGGTCTAGTAGCTTTATGCACATCTTTCTGCGGTGTGCATAAAGGTCGTTTGCTTTACTAAAGGGGCCTGAAATGCTGTCTTAATTACCTGTACTAGTTCGGTGGTTCCTTATTTTAAGTATCGTAGAATATACCTCCAAAACCCTATTCTACTTATTACGTCCCCTCTATTATAGTACCCTTATAGATCCCTTATAGTAACCCTTACAAGGGCCCCTTTTAACAGGAACCGTATTCTACGAACCCTATTCTAATGATCAAGGCCCCTGTATTATAGTACCCTCATACATCCCTTATAGTAACCCTTATAGACTGCTTAAAGGAACTCTCTTCTAATTATTGAGGGCCCTGCATGATAGTACCCTTATAGATCCATAGTACCCCATATAGACACCTTAAAGGAACCCTTATAGACCCTTAAAGGAACCCTATTCTAATGATTAAGGCCGTTGTATATGTAGTACCCCTATAGATCCCTTAGAGTAACCCTGAAAGATGCAGTAACCCTTATGGGCTGCTTAAAGGAACCCTATTCTAATGATTAAGGCACGCTGGTCCAAAGACTGACCTGTCCAAAGGCCTCGTCCGCGGTGCCCTGGAGCAGTTTGGAGGACCGGAGGCTCGGGAGGACTACGGTTGATATTATAAATCCTGCACTACCTTAAGGACCCTAAACTATGGGAATTATGGTCTATTCCTTATTATGTGTAATGCAGGATTTATATCATCAACAGTATCACAGGAGTCTTAATAAGCACCTATACTATTTTGGGGGTTCCTTTTTTGTAGCTATATATGGGATGATGGCCCCAGAACCATGTTCTATTCATTCAGGCCCTTGAGGCTCGGAGGACTATTTCTACCTAGTCTATTTGGGTTTTTTGGGGTTTGTTTTTTGCGGGGTAGGTGGCTTCGGGCTAAGGGGTAGATGGTTTAGGGTTTCGGCTTTGGGGGTGGGTGGTTTAGGGTTCTTAGGGTTCAGGCTTAACTCATAGGGCTTTGGCCCTAGATGGTTTAGGGTTTGGGGTTTGCAGGGGGTAAATTCATAAGGCTTCAGCAGTAAATGGTTTAGGGTTAGGGTTAGCTCGTAAAGATTTGGCGGCAGATGGTTAGGGTTCAAGTAAGACTAGGTTTTCTTTCGACATAGAGAGGGGGTGGTATTCTCTGTGGGGGATCTGTGGAGGGCTGCGGTGTAGGCTGCGTGGGGGATGTAGGGTCATGCAAGCCGGGGAAGAGGATGCATTGGGCATTGGCGTTTGGGGGGCTAGGTTAAGGCTTTCTGTTAACCCGGCTTCAGTTCCTGGTTGTATGCAAGACTCCTGGTTGAAAGTATTGGGAGTACAAGTGCTGATAATCTTAAACCTTGAAACGCCCTCAACTATGTTTATACCCACAACTTTAGATTGAAATCCTAAATCGGCGGTTATGAGCCTAGCAGCCAGGCTTATAAGCGCAGCAGCTATAGATAGAACCACTGATAACCCCAATGACGGTACTTGTAGCCTTGCTTACCAACTCCCGCAAGTACACCTCAAAACCCTGGAGAACCCTCTTAGAAGCCTTAGAGACACCTTTGCAGACACCCTCATGGAAGCTCACTTACTGAATCCCCTGATCCTCGAAGTCTAGGGTTTTGGGGTTTACGCTACAGAGTTTCAGGGTTTAGGGTTCCGGGATTCCCGAAGAAAGGAATCCCGCTTTCCACGACATCCTAAACATCGAGCCCCAGTTCGACGCTATACCCTCCAGGGCTATGTCATGGAATCAAGCAACCAACACTTTACGTACCTAGAGCCCTAACGGCCCGAAACTATGCGCAAACATTAAACAGGAACTCGAAACTCGGAATGCTGATCCCGAGACCTCACAACTCCTATCCGAAGTTCCCCGAAGCTTTGAGATCTCCAAGACGTACTCTTCAAAACCGTGAACCCGGAGCCTTTACCTGAAACTACCAAAACCTGTTTTGTTCATAACTTCTTCAAACACTCTACTAAGGAATTTACAGGGACTCTACAAAAGAGAGTGGTTGTTTTCCAGTTCAAGGTAAACCCTACGGCTATGCTTCTTCCAGGCTCATCCCACCTATACGGAAGCCGGTGGTTCCGACAAAGATGCCGAGTGACGGTGCGCATAAACAGGGTGGAGGCTTCAGGCTTTTGTGGCTTAGAGGTTCAGGGATTTCCTTAACCTGGACTGACCTACCTTTTTAAGAGCTTGTATCAGGAAATCATAATAAGGAACCCTAAAAATGGTAGATTATTTAGGGTTGATGTCGGGTTTAAGGCGCTAGGTTGCTGGGTTTTTTGGTTGATTAAGGCTCTGGTTTGCTTGGGGATATGGTGAAGTCGGAGTTGAGATTGCCAGACTCGCACAGTCCGGAGCCCAGAACAGACATATAGGGGCCTTAGCAATTAGAATAGGGTTTCGGGGTACATTATATAAGGACCCCCCCCCCAACAATAGTATTGGTAATTATTAAGGCCCCTGTAGTAGTCGGGGGGTTAGTAGCAGCCGGATTCCGGAATTCAAGTTGCTGTGGAAAGGGCCGCGCCCAGGAGGTATGCTATCCGCCTCCCTTTAGCCTGCTCGTCCATGACATTGGTCCCCTGAATCACTTCCTCATTTTCTACACGCTACGGCGTATGTTGTATGTCTGAACTTTCATAATTGTGCATTGCCTATTTCAATATGTTATTTGAGTATATTGCTATGGCTGCGGCCGCCATGGTGCTGGGTCAATCAATTTCTGGCAGCCGGTTTTTGTCAATGCTGCATTCCGGCCTGCGTCTATCTGCAGGAGCCTGGATGCCGGCACCTGGCCTTGCGGCCTTAGCTCATGCAGCCCCACGACGACGGAGGAGCTGCAGCATGTTCCCGTGGTGTCATCCGAGCCGGAGGCAAACCCTTCATGATACTGCCATGCGTGGAAACGTGGCTGAAGCCCACATTGCCCAACAACGCGATGCCCGCGCCGGAGAAATCAGGCTCATTGCAAGTCGCGCCTTTTCGTGAACCGGCTGCAGCACATCTGGCGTGGACGTATATGTGCTACGTACTCAACGAGGGGATCCTGTTGGTCCCTATAAAACCCTTAGGGCTCATAACAAGAACTACGAGCAGTAGGGTTTAGTAGGTCTAGGTAGCTATAAAGTCCACCTTCCCTAAGCCAACTCGTGCTACCTCCCAATCAACGGTGGGCCCTAGTTTGCTTACTCATCGTTCCTGAAAGCAGGACCGGTTGTGGTTGACTTTATGTTCCTCCATGATGACGCCCTACTCCGCCTCAGCCAACAACACCAACCCCGACAGTCCCGAACCCCTAAAGTCTAACCCTTCAACCCCTAAACCCACAAATCCCTTTGCCCCGAACCACTATGTTCGCAGGCGAGTCGGAAGACATCGCAGCTCAGGAGGCTTTCCGGCTTTGGCTAAACAAGAACTGACAAATAACATACCTTTTTTAGGTTCCCGAGTATATTTTCTTTATACTAACACTTTCCTACAAAGGTAGGTTGATTATTTGGGGTTCAGATAGTGTTCAGGGCTTAGGCAGATTCCCGATGACAGGGCTCAGGGCCCCTAATCCCTTCAGCCTCTGGGTAGGCTGACCGGTAGTTACAGCCGTGTATTCTTTCACGTAGGGTTGGCTCACAAGCCACAACATTGATTATGGGCCGAAGCTTTGTTTTCCAAACCCTGAACCTTAAACCCTCAACCAAGCATTTGGACGAGGACAACTCTGTCCGACGAGGCTTGAAGGACACAAACACAAAGAGGAAGCAGCAGTACTGGTCTAAGAAAGTGGCGAAATCGAAGGCAGCAAAAGCCTGGGGGTTGCCAGAACATGCAAGGGTTGATGATAGAGATCCTGCATGACCCATAAAACGGAATATACCATAACTCCCATAGTTTAGGGTCCTTAAGGTACTGCAGGATGTATATCATCAACAGAAGGACCCGAAATGTCGCTTCTTCACATGGCCTCTCCAACGTCGTCTCATCGGTTCGAGTGGAAAGAAACACGAGGAGCTGAGACGAAGGCTTTTGAGGCCTCAGCAGAGTGGCAGTCTCGGGGTTATAAGTATAGTTACCCTGATTATAACCCTAGTTACTAAGTCCCATGATCCTTTAAGTATCCAGCAGCTCATTATCAGAGGAAGAAGATAACGACGCCGGCGAGCCACTTGGGTTCTCTAGTGAGGTTTCTTTAAATCGAACTCCTTGAGGAATTTTGTCTTGTGCTACAGGTAGGGACTAGGGAGTAGAGAGCTTTGCAGCAATTTTTCAGGCTAACGCCACCCATTTGTAGAGTTGAGGATGTTGGTTTCAGACTTCTCACCCCCAGTGGAGGAGTGGTTCTGTACGGTGTTGTAGGTAGGCTCTGTAGTAGAAGGCAACTGGGGGGATTTGTGCCCATTAGGCCCCGAAATACCTCAAGCTGCTTCCACCCTGTTACAGGGCTCGGAAGAACACAGTCCTTAGGGTTGCGATTAACATGAGGGTATATGTAACCACCAAAAGTCGTACTCTGACAAAAGAAGGCCCCCTTGTCTTAAGCCCTGAATCCCTAGATCCTGCAGGACGAGGCGGAAGAGCTCACGCCTAAGTCTCCTACCCCGGTCACGGCTCCCCTCACAGCCGTCGTGGAGGAGTTGCAGCGAGTTGCTATTATGATTTGTCGCGCTTTAGCTGTGTCACATGTGTCGGGTTCGCCATCTCTGCAATCTGCGAAGTCTGACTCAAACCCAAACCCGAAACTCTACACGACTACACCCCGATTTGAACAACGACGTTGGCGGACGTTGTTCATAAGACTTTAGGCTTGGGATGTTCTGCTTTTGGTCCCGGTGGCTCGCCGCGCGGCCAAAGCAAGGGTTTAGGGTTGTTGGAGATAGGGTCGAGAAGCTCCGAGCCTGGATTTTTAAAAATTGATCGATGGGACCTCTGATTTATTAACGATCCTGGGATCCTAAACCCTAAACCGCCCTTCATATCCAGTTCTTCAAGGAGGTTGCAGTCTCGTACCTTCTCGGATGTGCTAGTGTAAGGGCCGGAGTGAGTGGGAATACTGTGTACTATAGTGTCCTCGTATCAGCCTTCTGTATAATGATTACCGTACGAAACCGCCCTAAGCTCATTTCAAAGATCAAGGCCCGTAAATCATGCAGCCTTTGCAGCCCTTATTGGAAGCCTTCGAAGAACTCTTACACGAAATCCCACTCTAGTCATTAAGGCGCATAAAGTAATGCAGGAACCTGGTTCAGAAACCTTGGGCCTTTATAAGGGGTGCCTTATACGAACCCTACTTTTTGGGGGTTATAGGCCAGGGTTTCTTAATCAGGTACCTACATTAGTCATGTCTTTGGTTTGGACTGGCACGTAATGCGACGTTCGGTTCAGGGGGCCGGGAGCATCCTATGGGAAGCTTCTCCGTCTCGACGCTTTTTTGTTGGCAGCTTTCTACAAGAATCTTCCAGCCTTTCCAGAAAAAAGCGGTTTCGTCCGGTACAAAGTCAAAAGCGTGCCTACTGAAGACTAGGTTATTTATTTTCCGAGGCACCGCTATAATTGCAGCCAAGCTAGGACTTATAGGTGTTTACGCGTCATGGGAAACGCCTTCGTCCAGGGTGCCAGAGAGACGGGCTAGCGCATTGAATGGAAATTGGGGGCTCGGACATTCATGCTAAGGCTTTCGTTTTCTACCCAAATCCCCGGGAGGATCTAGAAAGTAGATCCCCTAATTTGGGGCCTTATACTACTAAGGCTACTTTATAGGCTGGGTATGGGATCGGATCCTTAGATTTCAGTGTGATTATGGGTTGTTCAGGCATTGAGCTGGGGCTTGAGGTGCATGTACAAATGACTCGGCCATGCTCAAGCCCATATGACAGGGTTTAGTATAGGGCTTCGGGTTTCGGGAGGGTGATTCCACCATCTCTCCAGGTCTGCCGGCGCGCATTGCATGCCTTAGCCCTGGGCCATACTTCCAAAGCCAGCCCAGACATTGTGCCGCAAACTAGTGTTGTTGTAACTGTCGTTGGCGGTGCTGGTGAAAAGTAGGAAGAGTTGCAGCAGCACTAGTACCCTGGATCCAAAGCCCTATATTGTACAAGTTGACGAACCCCTATCCAGCAAAGCAGCATGGCCCATCGGCGGCTCTCCTTCGCAGACTTCCTCTTTTCGGAGAACGTTGCTCCGGAGGCTCGACCGGGTGATGTCTGTTGAGTTTTGTGCATCCGAAAGCTGGGATCTCGTTAAAGAGTTAGTTTACTCCTTATTATTTTCTATAGATCTCCATTATGGTCACTTCCAGTAAGGCCCTGAGGAAGAACGCAGAAAGGCTGTATTTTCTTGGGCCATGCCTTTCAGGCTCCCAGCTTTGGATCTTAGATCAAGGTTCTGGGCAGAGTTCTTGCCGAGCGGGACACCCAAATCGTATCCTTGAAAAAGTAAAACCCGAAAAAGCCTTCAAGTAACTGGAGAGTCGGGCATGTTTCCATGTAACCGCATGCAAATGGGTTGATCGGCTCCAGTTGTTTTGGTGATCAGAGTTTCCCGAGCTGGTTTAGAATCGATTAGGGCTTTCCTGGATTTGGGTTTTCATGCATCGCAGTTTAGGGTTTAGGGGTTTGGGTTTCTGGGTCTCGCCCACACTGTCCCCTGGCACAGTGGCATAGAGGCAGGATTGCCTGAGAGGGCTTGGGGTGCGGGGGGTCATCTGAACGATTTTGTTCAAAATTAGTGGTGGATGAACCATGTCTCCCGGACTTGTTGGGAGCCAAACTACCGAAGAATGGATGCTCGATAAGGTTCAGAGGAACGTCTACTTACAAGGGTCATGGGTTCGGTTTAGGGTTTGGGGTTGAGGCAGTTGTTAGGTTTGTTTTGGGGAGTACGTGCTTGGGGGTTTAGGGTGTTTTGGTCGTTTTGTGATTCAAAAGGTTCAGGGTTTGGGGCTTTAGGGGGCTCCGTAACTTAGGCTCTAGGGCCAGTGCCCACTCTTTGAATCTTGTTTCGCCCACCTCCGTGCACCCTTAGCCGCAAGCTCGAAATAGATTAATCTTCAGACATATTCAGACTCCTTAATCCGTCGTAGCCCTTCAACCCGAAACGAACCCATAAATGCCGTAGCTGTCGTCCAGGGGCCCAAATAATTGCCAATTCTACTTGGGGGGCTCCTTATTATACTTAGAGTATGATGGGCCCCAAAACCCTATTCTAATCGTTTAGGTCCCTATAGCTGTAAACCTACGACCTCTGACCTCCAGCTTCTCAACTCGAAATCTTCTACTATATACTCCCCTTTTCGCTGCTGTGTCACGGCGCTTTACGCCTGTCCACACCACGAGTCTTTTTGTCAACACATAACTAATTTGTACATATGCTTGTTCCCCAGCAGCCTCGCAGCTTCGGCGGCGCGAAATCTTCATTTCTAAACCTCACCTAAGGCAAACCCTGGACCTTCAAGGAACAGAAATCTATACCCAACACCCTTCAAGCCTGACCCCTGCGCCTTTTAGGGTTTCTGGGGTCTGGGATCTCGCACCTTAACGACTCTACACTAGAACCTTCACTGGTAAGCCCCCACTCCTCCTCTCGGAAGGACGACCTTTGGACGGCTTCGTCTCTCCCCTCGCGGAAGCCAACGAGCTACGCGCAGGGCCTCCCGGAGTTTCTGCGAAGTCTTTTTTGGGCGGCGGCTATTCTGGTATATCCTATCCTAGAAAGGGGGGCCTCATAATACAATAGAACCTTACAGTACGCTTAAAGGGGGCCCTATTCTGGAACCCTGTAGTGCCCTTAGAGGGTCTAGAAAGGTTCAAGAGAGGGTTTGGCGGTGCTGGTTTCGGTCGCGTCTGTTCGAACCTCGCAGCACGGACGAAGCTCCGCATTTGAGTCTTTTTATGCTTGTGATGGGTTATCGGCAGCTTCCGACCATACGAGACCCAAATGTCGACTCGATTTAGATTCTACGTGATTCTGGACCCAGAGTACAGCAAGAGGGAGCCCCACATTCTAAGGAACGACGTGAAACGCAATAGAGGTTCACGATGGTCTTCAAGGTGCTTCGGCCGGCGTGTTTCCCATCGTTAGCCGTTAACCCTCTACCCGCTACCCTACATCCGACACTCGAAAGCTGAGACCCTGAAGTCAAGACCACAAACTCTAATTTTTTTTGACAGACAGACAGCAAAGCTGGTAACTAGCGAAGCGACTATCGACAGGTCTTACAACCGCGGCTACAACGTAACCAGGTCGCCTCCCGGGCGTGCATCATGAGCCGAAGGCCACATCGACAACGCCAAAAACAAACTCTAATCAAACAAACTCTAATCAAGCGCTAAACCCTGGTAACTATGAACTCTTCAGCATGTATACCTAAAATCGATGAACTTTTCACCATGAACTTGGCGACTAGACTTTACCGGCGAGGTCGGTGGTGCCTCCGTACTGGCAGGAGGCGAAGGACTTGTTCTGTCGAGAGTGTTTTAGCTGGAGCTCAGGGTCTCTGGTGGTTTATGTTGGTCAAAACACTATGGTAGAAGCCAGAGAGTTGGAACATTAGACTCCTCATGCCCTTAAGGTAAAGTATAAGGGATCCTAGCACTAATCCTCCCAAACCCATGTTCCAAATTTCTGGCTTCTACTGTATGAGTCCTCGTTGCCTCATCTCTAGACTCTTATTTGGAAAGGAACGGGGAGCAGTGCCCGGAGCTATCAGTAGCGCGACCATGCACAGAGCCCACCTCACCTAGGCCCCTCCGATGCTGCAAGCACGTGCGCCCTCATAGGCAGAAGCGCGATACCAAGGTTTTCGGATGTTTTTTTCAGGGCTCGGCTCTGGTCCGTCCTTCGAGCACTCCGAAAGATCAAAAGATTCCGGGTCTGTTCTGCCACGCAGAATGCAAGGACGTGCATTTCTTAGTGGGCGGTGTGGAGTTTACGGCTTACGTGTCTTGTATTTACGAGAGTGCCTTTGTGGTTAGTTTGTGGATGTACAGAAGTTCAGTTAGTCAATGCAGTTCAGGCTTATGGTACGCATATGGGAGTTTCCGAAAATTCGGGGTACGTTATTTGGGGGTCCTTACAATAAGGATCCTACTATTTAGGGTCCTGTGTGAGGGTCCTCTATTTTCGGAAACTCCCATATACCTCATCATCCCCACATATTTCCGCGATAAGCCCCAAGGCCTTTATCTGTTTGAGCCAAGCAGACCTTAAACCCAAAGCCAAGCCCTAAACTCTCAACCCTAAACCAGGATGCAAACCCCAAACCCTAAGCTCTGAGCCAAAAACCCTGAGCCTTAAATCCTAAGCCCTGAATCCTCGTCCACGAAGGACATCTTCGGCGCAGAGGATGCCTTGAAGGCCCCACGGCTCTGGTAGCTTAGTGCAGGGTTTAGGGTTTGGGGCTAATTAAGGCTTCAGTCAGAATTTACTGTTTAGGGTCTGGGGGTCAGGGGTTAGGGGGTTTAGGGTTTAGGGGTTAAGGGGTTAGGGTCCAGGGACATGGCCATGGGCTCAAGGCTAGGAGTCTACAGCGGTTTACATGGAGAATAATAGCCTACTATAGGGTCTTGGGCCAGTATTTTATTTACTTTGGTGGGTCTAGGTAAGAGTTTTGGGTGTGCAGATTGGGACTCCTTGAGAGCTGGAGTACCTAAATCCAGGTGTGTAAATGGTTTCCTTTGGGTTGGTTTGTCTGTATGTGCTCAGCTTGGAGTTGCAGCTTTCGGGCTTACCTTAATAACCCCAAGTAACCTACCGTTTCAAATGGAAATCATAATAAGGAACCTTTAACAGGAAGGTGCGCAACATGTGACGATTGATGAAGAAACCCTGGGCCCATAACCGCAGCATAGTAGAATTCATATAAGGAACCCTGATAGCGGGCCAAGGTTTCTTAATCAGGTTGCTACCTTAACCGAAGGTTTAGGGTATGCGCCCAATTTTACATGGATGCTTTAACCTGACTTACGGTCCTGAGCCCTGCACCTTAAAACCCGGAACTGTACATCTTATAAACCCTCAATCCCTAAACACTACACCCCGAACCCTACCCTAAACCGAGTAAAGTCCACAATTAAGACGCAACTCTCATCAAACCAGATGGAACCCTTACTCAGGATGCTGTAGTAGGGTTTTGTGACATCACGCAAGAACCCTAAAGCCCCAAAGCCCCATAGAAGCTGCCTAAAACCCTATAAAATAGAAGTGCCCTCGTAGTAGAGTAGGTAACCTTTAACCTTTTTTGGGCAGTATAGTCCCTATATAATCCCAATAGAACCAAAAAGTTTAACCTTTAGTTCCCCATGATACCCGACAAGTAGAAATAAAAACCCTAGATCCCTAAACCCTAAAACCCTAAACCCTAATCCCTAAACCCCTAAACCCATTATAGTTCCCCATGATACCCGACAAGTAGGGTTCTATGTCTTCGGAGCTATCGGAGATGAACTCGCAGGAGCGTGGCTTTCTCCCAGGATGGAGGAGACGGGCTTCCTCAAGGGTTCCTATAAGGGTACTCTTACAAGGGCTGCTTTAAGGGTACTATTAGGGTACTATAAGTTGGCTGTAGCGGTTCTTCTTTACGGACTTTCGGACTTTAGGGCTTTAGGGCTTTGGTTGTGGGTTTTGGGTTGGGGTTTCAGGTTTTTGGGGTTTAGGGTTGGGGGATCTTGGATTTTGGGTCGGGGTTTAGGGCATGGGCTTTGGGTGAAAGTGGAAGGCTGTGGGCTTAGTTGGGGTGTTGAATTTAGTAGGCTGATAAAGGATGCATATAATGGGGCTTCGGTTTTCAGCGTTCAGCTTATAATAAGGATCCTGCTACTGTACTATATTCGGATCCCCTATTTTCGGAAACTCCCATGTAATCTGCATTATGTATTGCAGTACCGTATAAGACAGCATATGTAATATGTGAGAGTCAGGTAGGAACAGCGATCGTGCCATTAGCAACAGTTCATTGTGCTGGAAACAAGACAGGGATTTTCTCGGAAAATCGTTGTAATCTTCGCAATCTTGGTAATCTTGGCAATCTTGCCCCACTTGCTCGCCGACTAGTTGACCATTTAGACCAAGCTTGTAAGATTGCTTTGCAATCTTGCTCGCCACCCGCCCCAAGTGGGGGCAAGATCGGGCAAGATGACCTAGATGCCCGCGCCCCCTCCCCCCAAAAAAAAAGTGGTGCAAGATTGCAAGAGTGCCCGGCAATCTTGCAAAAATGAATGTTCAAATTTCCCGGCACACTAATAGCAAGAGTCGCTGTTGCACATATCTTCCCTAAGCCTAAGCCCGAAAGCATTGCGGGAAGAACGCCAAACGAACCCTCGAACCCATAATGTTACAAACTACCCAGAGCCCGAAGCCTGAACCCCCAGGTGAGCCGCATGTCCTCAAACCAGCGCCCTGTACGCCGTAAACCCTAAACTAATATTCTCTTCTTTCTCTTTTTTCTGTCCTTCTCTCTCTCTCTCTCTCTCGCACGCTCGCTCTCTCTCTCTCTCTCTCTCTCTCCTCCCTCTCTCTCTCTCTCTCTCTCTCTCCCTCCTCCTCTCTCTCTCTCTCTCTCTCTCTCTCTCTCTCTCTCTCTCTCTCTCTCTCTCACTCTCTCTCTCTCTCTCTCTCTCTCTCTCTCTCTCTCTCTCTCTCTCTCTCTCTCTCTCCCAGGCATTCCAAACGTCAAGCCTGTCTGAAGTGTTTCAGGTTTTCCTAAGCCTCATAGCCGCATAAACACCAAAACAAGCGGGCGAGACAGGACTGCGCTACTTGTAGGGGCTGGCGCAGCAGCAGCCGGAGGGGCTGCCTTTTTCTTGCTGCTGTGCACAAAGTAGATTTCCCGATAGGGTCTAGGATGTAGAGTTTAGCGTTCATGTAGGAACCTGATGAAGAAACGTTGGGTCTTTATTAGCCTTCTGTAAACGGATCCTGACATACTGGGCTCATGGGACCATGCCTGCTAAATTAAGCTCCTAGCTTAGTGTTTAGAGTTCACTGTCTTCGGAGTAGGACTCTACAACAGCATACCCATGAACCCTGAGTTCATCGCTGAGGTTTCTATCACTGGGGTTTGGGGAGGTCGGCCCCAAGGCACCAGGTATGAGCTTGATAGCCCGCTCTTCGTCCGTTCAGATTGATTACATATTGGTGTTGGGATGGTTTGGGGTTAGGGGTTTTTAGGGCTTATGTGTCAGGATTTTTGGCAAGCAGCCAGTCGAAGAATGACTTGTGTCTATCTATCTACCTGTCTGTCTGTGTACCTAGACCTAGCTCTCTATCCATCCATCCGGTTGATCGTATAAATCCTGCATTAACCATAGTAAGGAGTATACCATGATTCCCATCGTTTAGGGTTCTCGAGGTAGTGTAGGATTTATATCATCACCCTAAACCCTAAACCCCAAAACCCTATAGATCCCTTAAAGGAACCCCTCAAAAGTACCCTTATAGATCCCTTTAAAGGAACCCGAGGATTTATATCATCAACAGTCCCAACCTCAAGTCCCACCAGCCGTCCATCAGTCCTAAAACCTTAAGCCGGCCTGCGATCCCAATGCCATCCTTGACCTAAACCCCATAATAGTTCCCTTTTTGGGGTTCATATGGGTGGTTGTCAAAATTAGGGCCCCTTTTTGGGTCATTATTATTATTATTATTATACGGCAACTGTTCTTTAGGGTACACAGAAAGGAACCCTATTTTTGACAACCACCCATATATAGAATCCCATTAAGGTAATCCCAAAAAGGAACTGCTATGGAGCCTCTGGGTAGACCCTCGCCGATCCTTCCCATCCCAGGCTCCAGCCCGCACCAGGGGCGGCAACTGCAGCCACAGCGGGCACCGCGCCCGGCGCGGAGCCCACAGCGACCGCCGCCCCTTCTGCAGCCACAGCAGAGCCCGCAGAGGACCTGGGTCAGAACAATTTCAAGGTTAACGCGCTGTGGAGGGTTGGCCTGAGTTTGATTTTTGTGTTGCAATTCCCGCGGTCAGAGTTTTCATGCGATTTTTGAATGCAACAACTCGAACCTGAAACACACCACATAGTCCCTCAACCACATGCCCTAAGCCGTCTACTCGCGCACCACACACTTCAATCCTAAACCCTGGACTCCGAACCCCAAGCCCGAAATCCCGAAATCCCCAAGCCCTAAACCAATACAGGAGGTAGCTCAGGAAGGCGTCCCCTGATCGTCAGACTTCCGTGGCCCCACACACATGAACCCTTATTAAATCCGCAAGATGAGTCGATACAGCCCAACACCTCACTTATCCCTGTAAATGTTTAGCGGTGCTTGTCAGCTGCCTAGAAATACCATAAAACCATTCTAGCACGGCACATTAAAGGCTTGTAAACCCCATTGCAGAAAGCCCCTGACCAAAGTCCTGCAGTCAACCGGGCAGAGGAGGCAGCTGCCGCCGATCCGAACCCGGATGCCCTGCTACAGGATGGCTTTGCTTCGTTCCGCAGTGTCAGACATCTCCCCTACCAAAAACCACCAAGTACCCGTTAAAGGGCTCTAATTTTTCTCATTAAGAGGTAATTAGGGGCTACAATGAGGGGTAGTTGGGGGGTCTAGGTAAACCCTAAACCTTACACCCAAAACCCTTTCTGTGCTCTTTGTTTCAGATCGACTCTGGAGGTTCGACTTGTATTTCCGCATTGGGGAGGTGGGCTTTGGGTTTATTCGCCCCGGCTTCAGAAATAGGGAAAGATTTCGGCCATGTTTTTGGATCACGGATAATGTAGACTCCTGAGTAGTATTTTTCTTCGCTTGCTAATTAAGGCTTAGAATCGGGATCCACGCAATATGCCCTCTTAAGAAGTGAGTCTAGTATTCGGAGTCTGCATCAAGACTATTAATTATTATAGTCTCCTTAGGATATGTCTTTGTTCGTACAAACCCAAAAGAATACATGAACATACTATGTTCATTATGGCTCTAAGGGGGGGTATAGAAGAGATCAGGCTTTCAGGGATTATGGTAGGGTTGCAGTGCTTAGAGTTTAGGGAATTTTGCGCTACGGCCTTGGGTTTAGGGTTCAGGGGTTTCGGTTTTAAGGGTTTAGGGGCATGGGGTAGGGGGTTGAGGGTCTAGGGTAGGCTTCAGGATTTACTTGTGCCAGTTGCCTTCATGCTCAGAGGAATTGTCATAGCTGGTAGCAGCAATAGGAGAGTAATCCTGAGATAAGCATAGCACTACCGCCGTTTCCCAACTGACGAAGAGTTCTGGCCGTGGTGGTTGGAGATCGGAGATCTGCAGTTCACGGTCTTGAGGATGCATGTTAGTGTCCTGCGTAGGATGTTAAGAGCTTGGGGGTCGACAAAGAGGGCGTTGACGTAAAGCGTTGCTGGCAGTTTCTAAGCAGCAAGTGCCATTCCTGACATCTTGTCACGCTCTTGCGCGCTGAGTCTGCTTCATCTGCGACCGTAACCCTAGGCCCTGAAACCCTAACTTCCTAAGCCTTGTACCAACCCGGTGCTTCACGAGCCGTGCATTCCGAGGGCAGTGTTACCGATTCGGGGAGTTGTAGTGTTTTCGTGGGGTTCGCATGTCACAGCTTCTTAAGCTTTACATGTTTGCGATTGAACCTCCGCAAACTTACTGCACACGACATCTTTCAGCTGCTACATGGGGCCTGTCTTCGCTGGCAACAATGCGAGACCTCTTACTCGTGAGGAAGAAAAGGCTCGCAACCAGATTGAAGACAAGATCATGCGTAAGGTACAGTCAGAACACATTCTGCCCTGGACCCTGCGAAGCCGTTTTTGTTGCGCTTGGACTGGATCAAGGCTCTCGCGGCGTTGGCATCCGTGCATCGCAGTGACATGGACAGAACCGCCCCGGGGCCGAATCGGAAGATCTATGAGTTGCTGCACACAGCTTCGGCGCCGCACAGATCAGGATGGTATCTCAACAATCTGATCATCAGTGATCCGACGTTCCCTCCTTTTCTAACACTCCCAGTTCCAGCTTAGAAGTTTCTGGGGTTTGGTATTCTGGATGCCAACCAAATTAATCAGGAAGGCAATGAACTAGACCCCGGTTCAGATGATAAAAAGTCCGAAAACAGAATGCATACCCATAACTGCAATCCTTAGAACATGAAATCTGAAGCTTTGGGTACAGCTGCACAGCTTCTCTGACATCAGACATTCTTGCTTCGATTCCCCTGAAAGAAAGCTGTTGCATCCGGAGGAGTTGGCACAAATTCGGGCTGACCTACAAGGCAGTGGACAGCTGAAGCGATTGACATCCTAGCAAATGGATATGGAGTATACGATGATTCGAATAAGGAGTCCTAGGGTATAGTATCGGTAATTAATCAGGCCAAAGCTGCAGTCAAAGCGCCTGAGGCCGTTCAGAAGCCTTCCCCGTGTGCTTGAGAGTTAGGGCTCGGGGGTCTTGGGGGTTTATATAGGGCTTGGGGTTTAGGGTTTAGGGGTCTAGGGTTCAGGGTCTTGGTGGCTGTGGAAGATGTGGAAGAGCTTTGGAGCCTGGACTTTACACGCGAAGGCCTTCGGACATAGTGAGCCGTATAAGTTTCTTAAAGGATCATGGGACTTAGTAACTAGGGTTATAATCAAGGCAGCTATACTTTTGACTGCTTATATCCCCAATTAAGGTATTCATAACCTGACTTACTAGGTCCCCAGAGCCTGCCAAGTGGAGCATGATCGTCGGACTTGGTAACACCCTTACACCCCAGGTTCATAGTTATAGAAGCTCAGATGCTGTGCTCAATCCCGGTAAGGTTCCAGGTACAGGGTAATTTAGTATGGTTGCAGAATCTGACCCAGCTGGGCCGCATACTCTCAGCGCCTGGCGGCGCAGTGAACGTGACAAGCCCAAAGAGCATCACCGTCCCTAAATAAACCTATGCCTTTCTCTTCTGTCAGGCACCGAGTGAAAAGGGTCCCCAAATGAAGGGCCCAGACAATCCCCAAGCCCCCAACCCCAATCCGAAACCCGAAACCTTCAACCCTGAGCCCTAAACTGCCTTCAACCCGAGGCCCAAGACCCAACGCCCTAAGAAACAGGAATCCCTAAACCCCCTAAACCCCAAAGGGCCCTCTGACCCAACGCCCTAAGAAGCAGGAATCCCTAAACCCCCTAAACTCCAAAGGGCCCTCTGACCCAACGCCCTAAGAAGCAGGAATCCCTAAACCCCCTAAACCCCAAAGGGCCCTCTGACCCAACGCCCTAAGAAGCAGGAATCCCTAAACCCCCTAAACTCCAAAGGGCCCTCTAACCCAACGCCCTAAGAAGCAGGAATCCCTAAACCCCCTAAACCCCAAAGGGCCCTCTGACCCAACGCCCTAAGAAGCAGGAATCCCTAAACCCCCTAAACTCCAAAGGGCCCTCTGACCCAACGCCCTAAGAAGCAGGAATCCCTAAACCCCCTAAACCCCAAAGGGCCCTCTGACCCAACGCCCTAAGAAGCAGGAATCCCTAAACCCCCTAAACTCCAAAGGGCCCTCTAACCCTAAGCCCTAACCTAGACCCTCCATCTACCCTCTATTAGACCCTAAATGCCCCTTACTTGGGACCATGTACTCCTATTTGAGGGTACAAGGAGGGTCCTGGAAGAAGCAGGAATCCTGAATACCCTAAACCCTAAACCCCTAAACCCTGAACCCTAGGTCCTACAACCCTAAGCCCTAAGGAACAGGAATCCCCCCAAACCCCCCATAAAGAAACAGGAATCCCCAAACCCTAAACCCTAGGTCCCACAACCCTAAGCCCTAAGGAACAGGAATCCCAAAAAAAAACCCAAAAAGAAACACGAATCCCTTGATAAAGGGATTTTGGAAGGCCTGAAGTCTAGCATCGAAGGCCTCCTCGGAGACGGCCCTGAAGAACGGCAGCGGCGGGCAGAGCTACAGGCAAGATCGCATGAGGGTTCTCTACCTTAAACTACCATAACCTACTTTTTTGTAGGTTCTCATTATAAACCCTAATAAGGGATTCATAGGGACCCTACAAAAAAGTAGTTTTTGGTCGGTTAAGGTAGGGTGCTCTAGACTATCCGTTCGATAAGGGTGAGATATGGTTCTATATGGCAGTAGGGTTCAGGTTTACAGTAGATACATCCTTTAAGCCTATAAGGGGTGATATACATTTTCTACATGGGTTTAGGGTTCAGGGCTCTACAAGGGAGCTTAAAGGAGGCTATCAGGATTTCAGGGGTTCAGGGGCTTCGGGTCCATAGGTTAGGGCTTCTGGGGTTTACAGTTTGGAGTGTGCTTGGAGGTTCATGGGTTGTTAGAAGTAGGGTTACAAGTCACCTAACTGGTTTACAACTATAGTGAGCCTACTTATACACTCACAGCAATGTTGATGGCCGCACCACGGCACGCGCCCTAAACCCTAAACCATAGAGAACGCTTCCTGATCTGCAGGAGAGACTCACGGCCGTGGAGCTGCAGCTGGAGGCTACTGCTTTAGTTTTTGGGGTCGACGTAGGGCCTAAAGCGTCAGAAGGGTTTTGGACTTAGGGCTCAGGGTTTAGGATTTAGGGTCTACGGTTAGGGGTTGACATATTATCTGGTGGGTGCTATCATGGTCTGGTTTGCAGCCGAACCTTTCAGCAGTGCTGGCTGCTGGCTGCGAATGGGGTCGCCCCTTTCTTTGTCTCGTGCAGAACAGGGTGGGAGTGGCCAGTCATCCCGAGCGACGCTGACACCAAGTTCGGGGAGCTTCCGCAGCCCCCGCATCAAGTGTTGAACACGCAGCAGGCGGTCACTCCGAACATGACCGACATGGGCACCGACATAGAAGTTTATAATCTTTTGCTTCCTTCTACGGGCTGCTGAAGCAAAAAGGGGCGTGGAAGGTTTTGCAAGAGACGGCAATCCAGTAGGCACTGGCTTCGCAGCTACGGTGTGCCAAGTACATGGATTGCATCACTTGTGTGTGGTTTTCTGGAGGTCAGAATTCCTATGATGCCCTAAGCCGTAACCCCTAAACCCCTACACCCTAAACCCGAAACCCAGTCTACCTGTTCTTGGGTCTCCGTTTCGCTCTTCCGGCGCTGGTGGTTGGGTGTTCTCTAGGCAGTTGTGAGTATTCTGATTGGTAGTTGAGGCTTTCGGGCTTTTGAGGTTAGGGGTTCAGGGTTTTGGTTTTAGGGCCGCGGATCCGGGGCTGACCCTAAACCCTAAACGGCTGGGGGAGAGTGTGGGAGGGTCTAGGTTTTGCTCTATGGGCCGAAGTTGAAGGATTTAGGGTTTACCTTAGCCCGCAAGAACCCACCATTTTAACAACCTATATGGTAGTTGTCAAAATGATGGTCCCTTGTTGGGTCCCTATTTTTACACGGCACCTATTTTTCTGAGTACCCAAAACGGGACCATATTTTTGACAACCACCCATATGGTAGTTTCCGAAATCTGGGAGTACCTCATTTGGGGGTCCTTATATAATCAGGATCCTACCATTTAGGCTACTATATTAGGGTCCCCTAGTTTCGGAGACTCCCATATCAGGAAGTCATAATAGGAACCCTAAACAGGGTAGGTTATTCAGGGTTAAGGTAGGGTTGAGGCTCAGGGTTTTGGGTTGCATTTGCGCTGAGATCGCCCGGCCGTACAACACTTTCCAGGAACAGAGACCCGGTATGTAGTGGGTTCTGGGATATCATACCTGAATACATTTCAGGAATGATCCCTACAGATATTATACAAGTTTATATGCTTGTTATGTTTGTTCTTTGCCTTGGGTACTTCGAAGTCCAGTTAAGCTCTCAAGCTTTAAACCCACTCGGCAGAAGGGTCCGTGGGCCTTGGCCCTTCGTAGGCTCTGCCTTGGGCATGTAGATTTTCTAGCACTCACCTATCCCCAAGGGTCCAAAGGACCCAATTTGGAGTAAACTCTAAGCTTCTAAACACTTCCTGGAGCCAAAGCTCGAGTAACAAAATGATCCTTTTCGTCATAAGTTCAAGCTTCCCTTCCTGATTTACTATACAACCCTAGGTACAGCTCTTTGTGGAGCTGTCGATGCTTTCAAAACCCGCACGGAAGACAGTTTTCGGGCATCTGAAATCGACATTCGGTCCCCCATATACCCTAAGCCGTAAACCCTAAACCCCTAAATCCTTCTTCTTAAACCCTAACCCCTGAACTCTGATTAAAGGGTTCCATACGGGTTAAAAGGTTTAGGTGCCTTTATCATGAGAGTAGAGTTTTGGGGTAAAGCCGTGAGGAATGGTAGTGGTCGTTGGTTAAAGCATGAGCCCCGTGATTCACGGTGTCAGTAATGTGGGGGAGGAGCCACCCCAAACTGTAATTCTGCAGCTTTGCATGTCGCCAAAGCTCTAAAGCTAGACCCGAATACAAAACCCTAAACCCGAAACTCCACAAACTCTCTGATAGCTTTGCTATGCCTTTTGCAGACCGTTCATAGCGAGATGCTGGCTGGGCGAACCCTGCGACAGCCGCTCTTTCTCGCCCTTGCTATTACTGTTGTTGTTACCATTGAATTACTTAGGGAGCTTTATCGAGTTGTATAGGTTTCTTGTTTGATGTTGCAGGGGAAGACTTGTAGTTTCAGAGAAGAGGGGACTCTATGTGTCCGATGGTGAGCATGAAGAACTTGAACAGAAGGACTCCTGTTATGTGAGCCTTAAGTGTGCCCTGTGTTTCTGAAACTCCAATGTTTTGCCACCCGTTGCACTTGAGAGTTTCAGCAGAGGGAAGCCTTCTGTTCTAGAAAGACATAATTGCTGGCATTATTCCTTCGAGCTTCGCTATCATAACTATCTTGCAACATCCCCCTTCTAATCGTTAAGGCACCTATATTTTTCTGAGACCCCGATCTCACGGCCCGAAATTAACAAATGTAACCCCCCAACTTTCAAGACCGAAACCCTTCGGAAGCCTTGGAATGGGATTTCTTCAAAACCCTAAACCGCAAACCCCGCAGGAGACGTAAACCCCTAAGACCTCCCCGGTAGGCTTCTGAAAGCCCTACTTGCCACCCGCTTTCCGAAGCTCAAGCTTTGTTTGGGCCTGGTCGGCCTAAGCCCTAAACCTTTGAACCCTACCTATTGTCTCCAATGTAGTTCCTTTTTTTGGTTAACCAGTTTTATGGTTAGGATCCTATAATAGAGATTATGGTAAACCAAAAACAGGAACTACAATGGAGACTAGAGGTAGTTACTTTATCATACTGTCAGAGATCTGGTGGACAAAAACCCTAAACCCTGAACCCCTGCCCTGGGTCGATCAAACCAAAAGAGGAACTACAATGGAGACTAGAGGTAAACCCTAAACCTTGCAGCCTTCAACCCCAAGGCCGATCTGTAAGCCGAAACCCCAGGGGCGATGCAGATCCCCAAAGCTCTAGGGTTTAGGGTTTTTAGGCTAAGAATTTAGGGTTTAGGGTTTTAGGCTTAGGGTTCAGAGTTTAGGGTTTTAGGCTAAGGGTTCAGGGTTTTAGGGTTTAGGGTCTTGGGCTAAGTTCTTTTTCTACACCCTCCACCGTATCCCCGGAGCCCTCCTCGAAGGAAGCAGGAAAACCCTGCACCCTGAACCCTGAACGATACTTGAAGTAAGCCCTAAGTTTCGGTTAGAGTCCGAAAGGCTTCGAATCAACCTGCGCTTCCTGTTGAGAAAGGCAGGTCAAGTAAGCTTGTCCTGATCGCTTTAGACAATGTCTATTCATATAGACCCCTGTAAAGTCGCTACAAAGGCCAAGAACCCAGGAAGCTGTGCGCTCAAAGGAAAACCACAAGGTTTAGGAGTTTATAGGGGTTGCCCAAAACCAAGGCTAGCTGCAGCAGACGCTCTTCGCCGATCCAACGGTGATGCGAACTCCTTCCTACGCCGCCTGCCTTCTCAGATTTCTGGTTTCAGGGCATCTTCGCACCTCCTATATCGAATCATGTATGATGTTTCTCGGAAAATGCATGCATGCATGCCGGCAAGTCGCATGATGTATATCATACATCAACATTTGTTTGCTAAAAAAAGTCATTTTTGAGTTCAATATCCCCATGTTGCTACATGTTCGGCGATTCGGGTGCTGGTGCTGCTAGCGCCTTTTTTAGAAGTGCGCGGCTTTGGGGTGGTGGCTTTTTTGAAACTTAGGGCGTCGACGACAAGCTCACAAGATCAATGTCACGGATTAAGGTTTGCTGGTCTGCAGGTGTCTCAGGCGTGCTTTGCTTGATTCGGAGGTGGGTGGCCTAGGGTGTTGGTAAGAAGACTGCTTCAAGACTATTGTCTAGGGTTCTGGCTTTCATGCTAGTATGCTACACCCCAGAGCCTTGTTCTGATTACTAGGGCTTTCTGTGGTAAACATCACGATGCTGGCTTTGTGCTGGAAATGTTGGGAAGTTTTGGGTTGTTGGGGTTCGCAGGCAGTAAACGCTTTTTGGACTCCGCAGATGCAACAACCCCAGATCCACAAAACACAAAAGTAGCCGTAAGCAACCTGAGACTTAAAATGTTGAACCCTAAACCCTGCCTGATTAGGTTTTCTTGGAGTAGCAGCTAGGATAAGGGCCCTCAACAAAAACAGCCCTAAAACCCTAAACCCTAGACCCTAACTAGGCTCCATGTACCCATGTAGTATAGGGTTTAGGGTCTATACTTAGGCTTAAAAGTACCTACCTCTTTAAGGCCTAAGTATCTACTGTAAAGGTACAAAATCACCCCAAAACAGGTATGGTCTACGACAAGGTGGCACCTGCCTTTGCCCAGCTAGAAGCGACTTTGCTGTGACATGCGGTGCCTTCTGCTGCCCCAATCTCTCGTGTTTGGGATATTCGGTGATTTAGGCTTCGACGGCTTGGACAGGCTGTGGTGATATGGGCGAGAGTTAAAGCCTTGACTAGCTAAAGCCGCTCAGTCTCGCGACACTCTTGTTGTGGTTGTCTGCGACAAGTTGGCGGTATGCATGTGTTCCGGCTTCTGTGACATCCACTAAAGCTCCACCTTATGTGGGTGGGCACCGTTTGGGGTTGGGGTCTCGAATAGTCGGAAGTTCCCCCGACACGGCTGAAACGACATCAGTTGCGAGGGTCCGGCCGAGATGATCAAAGCCATCAGCCAAGGCCCTTCGCCGAGTTATCGATTTGCGCATCAGCATCTAATCTGCATAAACGGTCCGTGCTTTTCAAAGATTGCACGATTGCTGTCCTGACGTGCAGGGTTTGGATTTCGGTCTTGTGCGGCAGCGGCTGGTGCCAAAGACTAAGCCTGACTTGGACAGCTGGATGTCGAGCTGCGATTTTCGTGCACGGTGTCACAGCTCGCACGATGCCCCAGCCGGTCTACCTCCGATCTTCCCTAATCAAAGGCCTACATCGCAGGTTACTGGAGTAGCCCAAAAATAACATTAGCAAGGGTCTGCGAAGCTAAGAGGTCGTATACAGCTTTACGATGTATAACCGCATTTCGAAGCAACATGAACCTCAGATGCGGTCAGCACGCGAGTTCCGCAGCTGATCTCCGAGGCCGGAGGGACAACGGACAGCAATGATAACAGCTCTGTTCGGCGTTTGCAGTCTGATTCATTTAATGGTTCTGCTACTGCTGAAGTAAGTACCATGGGGCCACTATGATCACACCTGCTGACTACTAATGTAGCTGCTAATCATGAGTCTTCTCATTGTCATGATTAATGAGTCTTGTGAATACTGTTGCTGTTCTTACTGTGACACTTTGTAGTCTTGCAATACTATTGTTGCTAGCATGACTTGATACGCTACCACTCTTTTTCATGATGATTACTAATACTATCTGTGATCGTAGGAGCAGCAGTAGAAGTCGTAGGAGCAGCAGTAGAAGTGGCGGTGGCAGTGGCAGAGGCAGTGCCACTGCAGTGGCAGGGGCTGCTCGGGCAGGGGGTAGGGCCAGGGCAGGGCAGGCGTGCTCGTCGTCGTCGTAGTAGCAGCAGGAGGAGTAGTAGTAGTAGTAGTAGCAGTAGTAGTAGTAGCAGTAGTCGTAGTCGTAGTAGTTGTAGTGGCAGTAGTAGTAGTAGTAGTAGTAGTAGTAGTAGTAGTAGTAGTAGTAGCAGCAGGAGTAGTAGTAGTAGTCGTAGTAGTAGTAGCAGTAGTAGTAGTAGTAGCAGTTGTTGTAGTAGTAGTAGTAGTAGTAGTAGTAGTAGTAGTAGTAGTAATACTACTACTACGACTACTACTACTACTACTACTACTACTACTACTACTACTACTACTACTACTACTACTCCTGCTACTACTACTACTACTACTACTACTACTACTACTACTACTACTACTACTACTACTACTACTACTACTACTACTACTACTACTACTGGTCGGCGTGGTGGTAGTAGCAGCAGCAGCAGCAGGAGTAGCGGCAGTAGTAGTAGTATCAGTCGCAGTAGCAGTCGCCGCAGTGGCAGTAGCAGTAGCAGTAGTAGCCGTAGTAGGAACAGCAGAAGCAACAGCAGTAGTAGTGACAGCAGCAGCGTTAGCAGTAGCAGCAGGAGTGGGAGAAGAAGTAGGGCCCGTCTTTTTTCCTACCCCCTAAGGGAAGAAGTACTACCGTAATGTAAAAGAAGGAGTGCGCATATCGTCGAACAGCATCAAAACGCTAGTAAGAAAGATACAAAGGGTTTCCCATATCTGAGCCTCGCTAAGCATTCCACAACCTAGACTACTCAGTACTCCTCGAAACCTTTAAGCCCTCCGACCTCTCGAGAACTCTTGAACTCTTGTCAGGAAGTCGAGGGGGCCACGGACGAAATCAAGGGTCTTTTCCAATCTGCGCTGCCGCTGCCGCGCTTCAACATCGCGGAACAGTGACGCGGACTAAGTCGGGATAGAAGTTCTCGTTGTGGGCAAGCGCTTCAAGTAAGAGTCTGGAGACACAGAACTGTCCCGAGCCCTTGCATGAGCTCAGAATGAAAAGCTACTTCGACTTCTGTGTGCCCCAGACCCTGAGCCCTAAATCCCAGACCCTGAAACCTGAAGGCCTGAAGTCTAAGCTTTCAATCCTTGTCCCCAGACCCTAAACCTGGGTGCCTACATCCAGGCAGGCCCCAAGATCCAGAAACTCTCAAACGTTAGGGGGCTTGAAGTAACCAATATAGGGGCCTTGAGAATTATCAATACTATTATGGGGGCTCCTTGTTATAATTATGGTTAGGGGCTTGAACTATCTAGTATCTTTATCTTAGTAGCTGATTAGGTACCTTTCTCCTTTTTCGGGGTTTTGGTTTTCCTACCATAACTGAAAGGGTTAAGCTTCCTTGGGCTAGCGTACTCAGCCCCTAAGAGAAGCTTTGCCCGCGTGTAGTCCCGATAGTGTTGAAGTAGACTGTCACCCAAACAACAGTCTCCCTAATCATTACTATATCATTACGACATTCATGGCCTTTGGCCTGTAGCGTGGATGCTCTGAGTTCTGATCCTTGAGGCCCTCATATGCGTGGTTGGTCAAGATTGGTCCCTTTTCGGGCCCCTATTATAGTACGGCACCAAATTTTTAGGGTTCCCGAAAAGGGACCCTAATTTTGACAACCACCCACATGACTTGTATCCCTTAGGTTGCCTCCCATGACGATGCTGCTGGCAGGCGGCCTCTGATCTTCCGGGAAAGGGTTTATCGGAGGCCTCAAAAGGTGGGATTGAAGGTAGGTGGGACACTCTCAAATAAGAGTCCTTATATAATAGAACCCTTATAGGGAACTCCAGAAAGTTGGAATATGGATTAATGGTAGGATCCCGTATAATTTACCCTTAATCCTACCTACCTTCATCCCACCTTTTGAGGCCTCCGAGTTTAGGGTTTAGGGAAGTTCCGGCTTGCAGGGTCCGCAGGGTCATTATAGCAGGTTTCGACTTTCTGAATCCGTGTATGCCATCCCAATGAGCACCTCGCAGCTCGTATAAGGTTTAGGGTTTAGGGCTTAGGGTGTACGGTTTAGGGCTTAGGGCTTGGGATTTAGGGCTTAGGGCTTACAGTTTAGGGCTTAGGGCTTAGGGTTCAGGGCTTCGGGTGTATCATTAATCAAAGCAGCAGCGACAAAGTGATCCTCACACCAACACGGTCAGTAGAATGTGACGCAGTAGGCAGATCCCAGGCCCGCCATCCCCCCGACGACAAAGCCCTCTGTCTACCAAAGGCTTATACTTATACTAGGGTTTAGGGTTTAGGGTTTCTTATACCCATATATACCCATTCTCCCAAAACCCCTGAAAAACTGAACCCTGAACCTGTATAGAACCTGGTCAAAACTCTCTCGAGGGTTGCTTGCTCCCGTTCAGCTTCGCCTGATGCGGCTTGGCCTAGGTCGGCTTTTAAGAGGTCTTAGGGTGTAGGGTTTAGGGTCGGTTGTTTATAGTCGCTGGCTTTGTTGGCTTGACGAGTTGTTCATAAGGTAAGGGGGGGTGTCTGTTGATTCGTCCTCGCAGGGCTCTTTGAATATAGGGTTTGCGGCTCAGAGTTTTGCAAATTGGGTTTGGGCCGTGGGGTTTTGGGCACTGGGCTTGCGGATTCTGTAGATGATTTGACCGAAGCGTCTTGAAAGCTCATCGTTCAGGGTTTGAGGGCTTTCGACCCGATAGCAAGTATTCCCTGTGGGTTGTTGGCGCTTGCAGGGTTCGGCTAGAAATCAGAATTTCAGAATCCAACGGCTGAGCTTAGGTACTGCCCCCATACAGTAAGAGTCTATAAGGTGGCTACTATTAAGGTCCGAATATAACTATATTTAGTATTCAAATATTACTGAGTGGGGGCCGTACCCAAGGCTGAGCCTCCATGCTCTGTATCTCTGCACGACGATTGAGGCTAGAGCAGACGCGCATGTCGAGGGTTGCAATTGGTCTAGCTGCCAATTGCTAAAGCAGGGCTTAGGGGTTTGGGGTGTTTAGGGGGTTAGGGGTTTGGTGTTTAGGGGATCAGGGCTTGGTGCATTCAAACTTGGATCATCATTGTCCTTCTTGTCATTGTGAGTGCAACTGGTATATATGATGATGGTAAGGGGCAGTAGCAGTAGCAGGAGAAACGTTAGCAATACTAGGCGCAGAAACAGAAGTAGGAGTAGCAGTAGCAGCAGTCGTCGTCTTCCTCGTCCTCGTGATTGTCGGGCGGCGCCGGCTGTGATCGCCACGGTGATGGTGATGACATCAGGCTGCTGTTAACTGCCGTTTTGCAGCCTGTGATACGCAGCATGAAGTAGTCAGTAAAGATGCCCCGTACTCCGCCCTAGTATATCTCTATTTTGACATCCTCCACAAACACTGTTTGACTCAGGCCCTTAAAAGAATTAACACTACCCTACCCTATCCTAAAATTAGTGCGTATTACTTTTCCCCAAAGCAGCTACGCGCATTGATGCTCTGGGCCGCGCAGTGTCGTTGAGCTCTCAGGTGGGGTGACAACCTCGTTCGCTTGGCACTAAGTGGGGCGCCGCTTTGCTGCACAGTCATGCCAGCACTGTATCTGCCCAGAGAGCCCAATACCCCTTATTTAAGGAATATGGCTTAAATTATATAGGGCTTCATATTATGATTTAAGGTATATTCCTTAATAAATGGGTATTGGGCTCTCTGGGTGGGAGTTTCTGCAAACAAGAGCAGGGTTCCATCTGTCGGAAGTTTAGGGGCTTAGTAGATTGATATCTTCCGGCCTTGGTTTGGAGCCTATGGCTGGCACGCATTCATACATACATGCATGCATACAAACACATACGTACACATACATGCATGAATGCAGAATGCACGTACGCATACACACATGACATGCATGCAGACATACATACATACATATATATATATATACATTCATATATACACGTATGTGTATATATATACACATGCGTAGACCTTGACTTAGACTCAACCGTGAAGACAGTCATAAAGAAAGACAGAGAACCGGGAGACCGAAAGCTGCCCAATCAGTGTGTGCTACCACGGGAAGAGCATTCCCTCGAGGATTCTGTCCCTGGACGTTGTCAGCCTCATTCTGGCCCACGGAACAAAGCCCCTTGGCAAAGTGGGTTTCAGAGTTCTTCCAGCGGGAGAGTTCCGTTCGGGCCTCCATTTGGTTCCGGTTCAGGCTCCAAGGGTTGGCAGTCCGATATTACATTCTGTATTATACTTTCGAACTACTTTCTATCATCTTATGTTGCTCTTGTATACGAGAATACATTGTGTGAGTGTGACTTCTGATCCGATGCTATTGGTCTTTGATTTGAGCAGGATGTGAGCCTCTGAGTGAGTTTCGATTCTACAGTTCCTGTGAAAACACCGCCAAGTATATACCCAGACTAAAATACCCTACCGGGTGAGATCCATGTTGTGAGGAGCCCCCCAACATTCATGCGACAAAGCCTGTTGCAATTAGAAAGGCGAATGTTCACCTCGTGAGCAGGACTGGGTTTCTAGACAATCACAGCTAGACCCCCACTGTAGAAGCCTAAGTAATTTCCACTACTGTTCCTTATGAAACCTATACTGCAGAGGCCGCAATAATCGCCAAAATCTTCCTTAGGGCTCCCCATTAAAACGATACGATAGAGGAGCCCAAGACCCTATTGAAATTGTTAAGGCCCCTACATGACTCCGGGGATCTAAGCCCGAAGCCGAACCACCGAATTCAAACGGTCTTGCGCCGTTTTAGAAGTTTCGGGTTTATGCGGCAGTTTAGGGTTTAGGGTTTAGGTTATGCGGTTTAGTGTTAGTCTTTATAGGGCTTATGGCTTAGCCACTTGTCCAAGTTTAGGTGTTGGTGTTGGGGTTTGTTGACTTCTGTTGAGGGGAGGGTGGGGGTGAGGGATTTCAGCGTCTTTGGCTGGCTTAGGTAAAAGTTTGATGTGGAAAAACGGCTTGATTTGGTTTGAGGTTGTTGCTGTGCGTTTGGAACTTTGGTTTGTGTTTGGTTTGATGGTGTAAGGTTTATTCAGGTTTAAGGGGTCTTGTAATGTTTTATGATTTATGACAGGGTGTAGTCTGCTGGGTTTGTCGTTTTGGTACCCGAGATTTGTGGTTTGTCGGAGATGTATTTCGGGAGTATGCATTTGGCTCTTGAGTTTAGGGCCGCGGGTCTGAGCAGCTTTGTTTTCTTTCCAAGTAAGGTTTTCGAAAAGGCAGTGCTTCCAGTTGAGCGTCTGGGGTCACTACCAACCTCGAGCCCCTCCCAAAGGGCCGTTGCAGCCCTCATAGATGCCATAAGCACCCTTGTAAACGGAGACACTATAAGATTCGTGCTCACGGGGCAGTTTGAAAGAGATGCCAGACTCTAGACGAGATCGCAACGGAGGAGAAGAGCGTGGAATCCTCCCTGAAGCATTTCTGCGAGATCTTTGGCATCGACGCCGCCAAGACTCCGATCCCCGCCGAGGAACGAAAAGAGCTCCACGACTTCCGGAAGCTTGCGGATTCGCCAGGCGGATTCCCCTGGCGACGCTTGTTGACGTCGACTTCCTCGGAGTTCTATTCGCTAAGCCGTGGCCAAGACGGCGATAAGGTCCAAGAGTCAGGGAGGCGTCATGTTCCTCCTGGAGGGCCGCCTGCCACGTCGAACCCCTCAAAGCGACAGACAAGGCCAGACTCTCCAGGCCACAAGCAGGGACGCAGGTGGCGTCTGGCCAGGGAAAAAGATGCAACTGTATAGTCAGTGGCTGCCGACACCCAATCAGCTGGGCCGTGGTGGCATTGCCGTGGTCTGGCTGGACCTGGTCGTGGTAATCGCGGCCGTGTACTGGACGCCAGGTGTCGTCCCCTCCTCAGAAGCTATCTTACTGCCCTCAAGCCCTATGCAGCTGGAACCCCCAAGATGAACGCAAAGCCGGAGAGTTTAAATTCAAGACCCCGAATGAATCCCTTAAGTCCAAGAACCGACACAAGGAGCCCGGACCGTTCTTGCATATACGGTGTCGCGTTACCACCACCTCATAGAGCCCTTATAGTAACCCATAGTTACCCTAAAAATCCGTTTCAAAGGAACCCTTAAAGGCCTACTCGAATTGCAGGTGTATGAGTCAAGGCCTGCCTGTTTTCGGCACCATCGACGCACTGCATTTTTGGATCGGCGTCTTGGACCCAAGCGCGGGAACATTACTGTAAGGGTCAGCACAAGGGTTAGCATAAGGGTCACTATGTGGGTATAAGGGCTTGTCGCGGTTCTACATCGGCATCTTGGGCCAAAGCATGATCGCCAAACGTAAAAACCGGGTGTGAGCACCGAGCCAGTCTTCATTGGAAGCCATGTTCAAGCAGTTTGACTCGGCTCTTGATAGCCTGACGGCCCCAGCTCACTTTCACACCCAAAGTTCGGCTTTTGTGGTGTTCTTTTTGGGGTTGCCGGCAGGGTTTAAAGTCCGGGTACTGCGGTACCTATGAGAAGCGTGCCGGGTTCCCTGGTCCAAGATCCTCCTAAAACTTTCTTCCGACTCTCCTTGTGCCTGAGTATCTGCCCTAATTCACAAAGCACGAAACCCTAAACCCTAAACCCTAAACCGTGTGAGACAGCTGAGGGGTCGATGCTTTCAGCCTCTTCGTCACTGCGGCGGTCAGTGCCATGGTGGTCAAGCACCTTGGATCAGTTTCACAGTTGGGGATAGTACCTATAGTCTCCATTGTAGTTCCTTTTTTGGTTAACCAATATTATGGTTAGGATCCTATAATAGAGTTTTTGGTCAACCAGGAAAGGAACTACAATGGAGACTATAGGTAAGACGGGACATGTCTGAAACAAAAGGCAAGGATCATCGTTTACGGTTTATGGGTTTGGGTTTACACTGGTACAGTGATGATACTATGAGCCTGCTAGAAATCCTTAGCGAGGTGCCACGTTCATAAAGCCCCCCCCCTCCCAAAGTAGACCCAATGTAAGAGGATCCTTACCGAAGCTTCGGGCTGAACTGGAACATTCCGTTCTTTGTGTGCGCTGTCCTCTCGGGATTAGGGGCCTGCGCAGGGTCCTTCTCGTAAGGGTGCAGTACTGTTCTGGTGACCGATTAGACGACCCTAACTAATTTTGAGAACTACCCATGGATCGTTGTCGTACAGCCCAGTTCTTACCATTACCATCTTCTCACACTGCGACCCGTTTTTTGTCGAATCCCAGAGGGTCCAAGCACTCCCGTTTCTAGGACTTTCGGGCCTTTGGAGGTACCAACAGCCATAAATAAGGACTACAAACAAGGACTACTTTGGGCCCTTAGGGCTTGCCTCAAACCCCAAACCCTGAACCACTAAACCCCAAACCCTAAACCGCTAAACCCTGAACCCTAAAGCCCTAAGATTTTGTCGGATCCCCTGTTGACTTCCTGTAGCAGAGCCCAGACCACAGAGAGCCTGTCTGTCCCAGGAAGGCCGGCGCAACCATTGCGGAGGTGCGAGCGTAGCAGAAAGGTTTACCCTAAGGCTCTAAGGACTCATATTTTAAGGCTTTCGGGCCTAGAGACCACATTCTAGAAGGCTTTTCTGCCATTTTGAGCCTTAGGGTCAGGGTTTTGGGGTTTAGGGTTTAGGTTGTAGGGCTTAGGGTTTCAAGGTTTATGGTTTTGGGGTTTCGGGCCGACCTCCCAAAGCCAAGGCCAGAAATCATTCGAACTGAAGCGCGTACCCGGACCCTGTGTCGTAAGCTCTCAACAGAGAGGTCGACGCAGCATCGGAGATCTCCCTGGACACCGAGCCGGGGACGGATCCCGAGGAAATCACCGACCGAGATTTCTTATAAAGGGGTTTAGGGGTTCAGAGTTTAGGGTTTAGGGTTTTCAGGTTCAGGGAAGGAGTCTGACTTCGTTCGAAGGGGTTTCCCGAAGATGGAGGATCTCCCAAAGAGCCGATTGGGGCTCTGGTTCGGTGCGGAATAGAGTGTAAGGTTCAGGGTTTGAGCTGGAGACAAATAGAACATGGTGTTCCTCGTGGTCGTTCTATGTTCTAATTTTCTCTAACCTCCGGAAAAAGTTTTTGAGGGAATGAGCCAACATCCCGGAGAAAGCAGCGTGGACAGATTCTATTCAGTTCAACACTGAAAGGGGCAGCAATGCATTGAGAGCATGAGGTCTTGCGGTCTAGAGTTACAAACAAGCTCCATCTCCCTTTGTGCTTGCCCTTTACGAGTTTCAGGGGGCCAGGGGGTCTGTCATTCTGTCCCGACCCAGCTCTTGTCGCAAGGAAGCATTCCGTGCCAACATGGAGAAGCAACTTCTCGCCGGAGCAAAGGCAATTGTGATGCACCTTGCCAAGGAGATGGTAGGTCTAAAGCTAAACCATACACCTAAAGCCCCTCCTTTCCCGCCACCCTAAACCCTACCACCCTAGGCATGGGATCGTCCCCAAACCCATGCCAACGAGGTACGATTCGCTGGCTGGCAGCTCATTGAACAGGCCAGATCTGACTTCCTGAAGCCCTAAACCCCATGCCCAGAAGTCTGACACTTTACCTGGACCCTAAGGAGCCTACCTTCTTAGGGCCCCCTAATATGATTTCTTTAAATAAGTCCCTAAACCGGTAGGTGATTTGGGGTTAAAGTATGACTTATAAGATCCTAACTGTAAAGCTGGCTTAGCCGAAAAAGGAGCCACAATGGAGGCTACAGGTAAACAGCAGACCAGACCGCTTCTTCGGTCAGGGGCTTACACCGGTTCTGCTTGGTAGCCGGGCGTGGCATGATCGATTTACTGTAGGGGTAGTATAAATCCTGCATTACCTTAAGGTCCCTAAACGGCGGGAAGTACGGTCTATTCCTTAGTAGGGGAGGTAATGCAGGATTTGTATCATCAACCGTATAATCTAAAAGGGTCTCTAAGGGCTACTATAAGGGATACTACACGGGTTCTCCTTCATGCGTTTAGTAGACTTGACCATCAGAGGGAGAAGCAGTACATGTTGTGCTTCCCTGGTGAAGGTCCTCAGAGCAAGTCACTTAACAAGCCTGCAAGACCTCACACAACCCAAGAGACCCCACACCTCGAAACCTTGAATCATAAAGCCTAAGGCTCTAAGCTAGGCACTGTAAACTGATCCCCCTTCCCGCTTCAACGACAGCAAAGAACTCAAGCCCTAGTCTTACCCCCGCGAAAGAATGAAGCAAACTAGCCTAAAGTTTTCGAAACGCCCTTCACAACCTTAAGCCTCAAGTCCTCCACCCTAAACCCTAGAAGCCGTAAGCTTTAAACAGAGAAATAGGTCCTAAAACGCCACAAGCCCTACGTGCCCTAAAGCCATTAAAAACATCCTTAAAGCCCGAACGCTGCTACAAGCCCTAAAGCCTTGAAGTCCGTACAGCCAGTCCTTAAAGCCTCAACCAAAGAGGCTGCCTCCAGTTCTCGCCCTTTTCGACTTCTTCTGGCAGGTCGGACACACTACGGCTTTCAAGGGCACTATAAGGGTTCCTTTGAGTGGCTCCCTTTGAATGGATCTACAAGGGTACATTTAAAGGTTTTTTTCAAGGGGGTTAGGGTTTAGGGATATAAATCCTGCATTACCCAGAATAAAGAATCGTATACCTAATTTGCACAGTTTAGGGTCGCCTTAAGGTAATGCAGGATTTATGTCAGGAGCCGTATCTCCACCGGTTCCGACTGTCGTCAGTTTAGGGTTTGGTGGTGTTGGGGTGTGGGGTTAGGACTATATGTTGAGGCCTTAGGGGTTTAGGGTTAGGAATTTAGAGGTTTACATGGAGGTTGACGGGGTTGAGCCCGAGTTCTGTGGTGCTGATTGAGAGCTTTTTTGGTTCAAGTTGCCATAACCCCAAAGGCCCAAAGGACCCAATAATCAGGTACTTGGGTTTAGGATAGTGGTTTATGTAGGTTGATATTTGGGAGAGTATATGGTTATTGGGTACTTGGGCCCTTGGGGTAACAGTGATGGGGTACATAGTATGAGCTCCCCGACATGGGTACTCAAAGTTACAAGACTCCAGAAGTATGATTTAGCGTTAACGAGTTGGGATTACGGGGTTATGCTTGGTTTTGCAGAGGTCGGATTTATGGTGTATTGGGCGTAACCCTGAACCCTAAACCCTGAACCCTAAGGGTGGAGGATTTGGGGTGCAGGGTGTGGGTTCTACGGCAGGGTTCGGGTTCGGCATGTGGGCGGTTAAGACAAGCGTGAGGTAAAAGCAGCGCTTCAACGTTCAGACATAGTTTTGATAAGTCTTTAGGTCGTCATGGCCAGGAAAGTTTACTCGAATTGCTTCGGCCGCTCTGTGTGACTTCTATGAGACTTCCCAGACTCTAAACCTTATACAAGTTAACTGGTAAACTACCCTAAACCTTAATCCAAAAGCCCTAAATCCCAAACCCCAAGCTCTAAGCCCTAAACCGTAAATCCTAAACCCTAAGCTCTAAACCCTAAACCGTAAATCCTAAACCCGAAGCCCTAAGCCCCAAACCTGAACTCCTAAACACCAAGCCTTAAACCCCAAACCCTAAATCCTAAACCCTAAGCCCTATATCCTAAACCATATCAGCAACAAGGACCTCATACAGCAAAAGCTTAAAAGTTAGAAACCCAATAGCCTCAATCCTTAAGAGTAATGTATAGGGAATCCCAGCTCTATTTGGCCTTAATCCGGTTTTCAACTTTACGGGGCTTACTGTAGGATCGGCTCGAGGTTCCTTTTTGGGGGTCAAAGGGGAAAAGGAGGGACCCTTAATGGGGATCCCTACCCTATAATGGGCTATCTAATGGGTATATAATAGCTATATTAAGGGTATATACTTAGGGGTACTTATTAAGGGTCCCTCCTTTTACCCTTGGAGGGGGGGTTTTGCGGCTTCAGGGCTCTTCAGCTGGCTTCAAAAAGATGAGATGGGGTGCCGATGTCGGCTCTTTTTGGGGGCATTTTTTGGGGGGGGGGATCTTGGGTTTCAGGGTTTCGAGGCTTCAGGGTTTTAGGATTAGGATTTAGGGTTTAGGGTTCTGGATCTAGAGTTGAGGGTTTAGGTTTTGGGTTTAGGTATGTAGAGCTTTAGGGTTTAGGGTTCTGGATTTAGAGTTTAGGGTTTGGGTTTTGGGTTTAGGTATGTAGAGCTTTAGGGTGTTAGCTCCCTGTCATCTCAGAGGTCTCAGAGTGCAGATTGTCGACAATTGACGGTGCAGGCTTAGTGACACCGCCCTCAATGACTCAAAGCAATTTTTCAAAATCAGAAATTCCTGCCGCTAAGGGTGGGGTACGCGAATCCCCGCTTGAGTTGTGCATTCTCGAAGCCCCGAAACAATCGGTTCTGGATCCATGACAGGAATTTAAGAGATTTCCATGATGCCGGGGTCTCATGGTAGATGACGAAGACAGTCGAAAGTCCACAGATCTTCAGTGCTTCGAATTCCATGCTTGGGGCTTAAGGCTCAGGGTGTGGTGGTCGGCAATTAGAGTTTAGGTTTTAGTTAATTGAGTCTTAAGTCCCACACCCATGCAAGAGGCGGGTGGTCTCTGAAACCGTAAACCACAATGCCCTAAACAACCTTAGACAGCAAACCTTAAGCCCTATGATAAGCCGTAAGAGGCGGGTGGTCTCTTCATCATTTTCGACACGCCGGGGGCAAGCTGCGGTGCGACCTTTCTGCTGGACTGGGCACGAGGCCACACCTTCTGGGCCTGGCGTTGAGGGATTCTGGGCCCCTGCGCTCGCGGACTTCAACCCTATAATGGGCTATATAATGGGTATATAATCCCTAAACCCTAAACCCCTAAACCCTAAACCGTAGATACCTAGGGGTCCTTATTAAGGGTCCCTCCTTTTACCCTTGGAGGACTTGCACACAGAGCTTTAGGGAGTCATTTCTTCACAGGGAGCCTTGTGTGTAGATCGGGCTGGCAGCTAGAGTGGACGTTTGGGGTTTAGGGTTTAGGGTTTAGGGTTGGGTTAACTGGGGTTAGGGTTAGGGTAAGGTTCAGAGTTTAGTTCGGGTTTGGCAACTGCAACTCTAACATGCAGCCACGAGGCCTTGAAGCCTAAACCCTAAACCCCAAGCCCTACTCTATTGCACGTCCAAGAAAAGGAAATACAACCAGAAGCTCAACGCGGAAAGCGAAGCAAGTCATGTAGCATCAAGAATCATGTGGTATAAAACTCAGCAGAACGATCCAAAGTCTTTGTCTCATCATTAAGGCCTCTGGGGGTTTCCGACAATAGGGGCTCCTAATATGGTATCCAAAATAGTAGGATCCTTACTATAAGGACCCCAAAAAAGGTACCCCTAATTTTCAGAAACTCCCCTCTCGGTTTCCACCGAAACCCAAGACTCCTGCAATGCGGCAGGTCGCGAAGTAATCTTTCTCGTCGGATTCGTGCCAATGTTCCTTTGCTTGTCGACCGTTTAGGTTTCGGGATTATATATATATATATATATATATATAACTTGTTTATTTACATACAAAAACAAAATACCGAGAGGGGCCCAGGAGGTGTGCGGGTTCACTTGCGGTGCGGTTGTGTTTGAGGCTTTGCTGCAAGTGCTGCCTGCATGAGGGTAGGTAAGTTGTCTAGAGTCGGTTTGGGGGCTTTTGGATTTGAGGCTGCTTGAGAGGCGTATTCGAGTCTTGTAGATCTGTTGACAGGGTTTGCTGACACAAAGCTCGCGCGGAAGACTACATTCGCACGGCAACGATTTTCCTGGACAAAACTCATACGACGCATTGTCTTAGTATACCATAGTCAACGTGGACTCTTCAGCTCCAGCGTCGAGCTAAAAGCGACTTTGGAATTGAATCCACTACGTGCTAAACCATAACCTTTATGGAAACCCTGCCCTTGTGGCATACGGCCTGGAGCCGCCGGGGCATTTCACTGGGTTTGACACCCTAAAGTCTGCAAGACGTGACCTTAGTGGCCTTGGTACCGTAGTAGTAGAGTAGGTAACCTTTTTTGGGTAGTATAGTCCCTACATAATCCCTATATAGCCAAAAGGGTTAACCTTTAGTTCCCCATGATACCCGACAAGTAGGGTGCTGAACAAGCCCCAAGTGCGAATTGAGGATTGTCGGTGTCGGCGTCGCAGCCGCCGCGAGGATGCAAAGCAAACTTTGATTACAGCACAGGGGCACCGCAAGATAGACAGGAATTCCTATCTACGTATGTATCGATCTATCTATATACATGCAGATGCAGATATAAGTGTGTATATATATATTTATGTATATGTAGAGACGCGAGAAGTTGCTTTCGGTTCACACTGTGCTGAGATCGATGCCGGCTGCTGCCATCTTCGCTTACGAACTAGAAAGCGGGCACTGGCCCTTGTCCTCAAACCCCGCACCCTGTAAATGTCTGCTATTGATTTGCTTGCACTTTTACATTTTCTAAGGATGTTTGATTACCCATTTGCGTCTAGATGTTCAGCCATTGTTCGTTTGGGAAAGTTCCAAAACAAAAACTTTAAGCGACAATCAATCCACAATCATCGCCAAACCTCATGTGTGGAAAACCAGGGCTCCGCAGCGTTCCTTTGTGAATGCGTAAACCGTACCAGGCAAGCCCCAAACCCTTTAAACCCTAAGCCGTAAAAAGCCCTAAACCCCAAAATTGTTTCAATTCCTTCACCCCAAAAACCCTAAACCCTAAACCCCAAAAACCCTAAACCCTAAACCCTAACCCTTTTAGCTCCAATTCTATCCAATTCTGTTGGAGTAGGTTCGGCTCGCGGTCTCCAGTCCGGCCTTCAGCCAGGCAAGGATCTGCAAGTTTTGGGGACTCCGGGCCTCAACACTACCTGGAGTTTTGTTTTTTATAGCTTTCCTTATATATGAGTACTTGAAAAGATAGGTATATTTGCCTATGCCTTGAATCCTGAGCCTCATAGAATCCTAGCTGTTGAGATGTTCCTGAAAATGCTATCCTTACCCCCTACACCCTCCCCAAGCCCCTCAAACCTCTGAAACAGAATGGAAATCATCCTTAAACCTCTACACGCTATAAAGCCCCTAGAAAAGCGTGCCAACAGGACCCTCTGTAGTCATACACCCTAAACCTCCCAGGTAGTAGTAGGGAGACCCTTTAAAGGGGACGCTTCCAACCCTGCTTCTGGCTCTCCTAAAAGGGACCTTATTCAGAAGGTCTATATCCCCAAGGCTCACTCTAATCCTAACCCCTAAGCCCTCAAAACCTCTGGCACCGAATAAACATCCATGGCAGGCGGTACTCGAGACGGCTGCCAATATTGACGAGGCATTGACCCGGCGTTCTTAGGGCTCAGTGTTTAGAAGGTTTGGATCGATGGATTACGGTTTCCGGTTTTAGGGTTTGGGGCTTAGAGCTTCAGAAGTATTTGGGTGTTAAGGTTTAAGGCTTCAGGGCGTTAAGGGCTTCAGGGTTTTGCAGCTTTGGGCTCTAGGCTTGGGGTCTGGGGCGGCTTTCCGATGCAAGAACCTGCAGAATCTGGGACAATAAGAGTTAGAATAGCGTCGGGGCAAAAAGGGACATCGAGCTTTGGCAAACTCTTGTACCGCTTGCCTGCTGCTTCGGGTGTGAGATCACGAAGTGGTCGGGTCCATGCTTAGGATTCAGGCATGTAATATAGCGTTCGTAGGGGAACCAGTGCGCGAAACTCACGTCCGTGAGAAGATTGAGTTAATCTGAGCCTTAACGTCTAAACCCTAAGCCGAAGCTCTTCAGTCCTAACCGGTACAGTTTAGACCTACCCCCTAAACCCACATGGGTAGTTCAACTACCTGCAAATTCTATGGATCTACAGTAAATTAGCTGGTTTTAGGGCGACTTAAACTTAAACCCTAAACCCTGAAATGAACCCTGTTTATAGATCCCTTAAAGAATGCCCTTATATATCCCATCATCGTAGCTTTATTCTAAGTCCTTTGACAAGAAGCCAGACACAGCCAGGCCAGCTTCCCGCAGGGGCCACCAGCTTCTTGGACGAAATGGCTTGGGCTTCTCCATGTTTCGGGTTAGGGGTCTAAGGGGTTAAGGCTTTGGGTTCAAGGCCCTAAACCCTGAACCTTAGACCCTACGCCCTAGACCTCAAACCCAAAGCCCTAAACCCTAAACCAGTCCAGAGTTTACGGTGGGTTGCAGGTTCAGGGTTGGGTATAACGAAGCCTTGAAGGTAGCGAACAGCCTTGAAGCCTGAAGCCCCAACTATGCATTTTCTCGGGTTCAAGGTTTACGTCCAGGTTCATTCGTAAACCCAAATTAACTCATGGACCCAAATAAAGCCTTAAACCCTATCTCTTGACATTTCCAACGGCTTTGAAGCTTTAACCTGGCTGAGCCAGGGCTCCGCGACACTTGCACGACCCGAACGGCAATCTGCAAGCAGCACGTTCCCCCTTGTGACCTCGATGTCGACATGTCGTGACGAGTTACGTATAACAGATGCAGAAACCATAGGCCTGATCATGTCAGAACACTACAACCATACCCCATTCAACAGATCCTCAGGTCCTTAACCATGTAATATAGGCGCCTGAATAATCCTGAATAATTATCAATACTTGTTTTTTTTTTTTTTTTTGGGGGGGGGGTCCTTAGTAAAATTATAGTATAACATACTTCAAAACCCTATTCTAGTTCATGAAGGCCCCTATATTGTGTACCCTTGTAAACCCCTACATAGAGTCCCTGTAAAGAACCGCTTAAGGCAACACTATTCCAATAATTAAGACCTCTGCATTAATTAAGTTTGGTAGCAGACGGGAAGTTGAGAAGCGGCACTTTGAAGGGGCTGACGTGGCAGCGGCATCTTCCAATTTTCCTTCGGCTAAGTCCATCCTCCAATTTTAGGTTTGTTGTTCCACCCTATGTTTTCTTTTCGGTCTCTCCCTAAACCCTATAAACCCTAAATCCATCCTTCAGTCGCCATCTTCCAAGCTTTTGTTCGGCATCAGCCGTAGCCGTGACTCGTACTTCCCCCAAAAGAATCGAGACCGGACCAGGCCAAACACGAAGCTGCAAGGAATTGAAGTTGTCGAATTCCGAAAGGTGGGATATGGGTGCATCTATTTTTTCCAACTTTCAGGCTGCATGGGCTCCATCCCGACAGTCCCTTACCTTCAATCTCGAACGCCGATAGCCTACCTTCAGGATTTTGGGTTCTAAACATTGTAACTTCAGGGCTCTAAGCATTGATTTAGAAGTTTAAACCTTGAACCCTCAGGTCTGCAGTCTCCACTTACCTTGAGGAATTCTGTCTAGGGTTTAGCAGTTTAGGGCTTAGGAAAGCAATGAAACCTCAGGTCTGCACCATCCTGTAATAGTGGTATAATAGGAACATAATAGGGCCCTAGTATATAGGGTTTAGGGTTTAGGGTTTAGGGTTTAGGGTTTAGGGTATAATATTAATATAGTCCTTATAGTCACTATTACAGGGTGGGGGCAGCTTCTAAATGAAGCCTTAGGTCTGCACCATCCTGGTCCGGTCCTTCTTAGTCCGCGACGTGACGGACATCGCTGGTGTCAAACTCCAAGTGGCACGGGCCGCTGCTCGGCCGGATTCTTTTAGGGGTTTAGGTTTTGAGGGGGTTTGTGCGTTCGGGTGGTCCCCAGATCCTCCCAAGAAATAAGGCATGTACCTAGTCATTACAGGGATGCAACTTTAGTTTAAGGTATGTTCCTTATTAAGGTATATGAATATTGGAAGGGTCTGGGTTGCGTGCTTGGAATTACGTTGGAATCCATGTTGGGTTTCCAGCACGAGGCTAACGATCTTCCAACTTTCTGGCCTGTTACTGCAGACTATACCCCTAACCCCTAAACCCTAAACCCTAAACGCTAAACACAGCACGACAAATCTGTTACACTACGGGTTTCTTTCGCCTCGCAGTGCCGGGGGGCGGCTTAGCCGTCCTGTGCTGGGGCTTTCGACTTTCGGGTGGATTAAGCAGTATGATGTACAATGAGAACATATCCTCGCAAACACGATCAAAACAGACTTGTGGCAGTAGGCTAACCCTGAAACCTCGATCCCGTAAGACTATGCGTGCTCTCTCTGCGCCAGGAGGAGGCAAAGTTACTCCGTGCCCGTGACAAGGCCGGCTGGTTGAGTGTAGGGGTCTTTGTTCGTGTCAGGGTTGGTTTAGGGCCAGAGCTCGTGATTTCGGGATCAATGTTCCCAGCGTCTTGGGGTTTCGGGCTGAGGGTTCGTTATAGTATGGCGTGCTCGTCCTGGTGCAGTAGTTAGAGAGAGCAACACTGACCATTGAGGTTGTCAGCATCAGTGACATGATCCTCGTGAGAGCGCAGGCAAGAAAATGATAACAGTAACTTTCTTGTCACTTGTATTAGTTGTGCTTAGGAAAAACATCAGCATACTTAGTATCATCAGTCGTCTTCACCGACATCATTGCGTGGTGGCGAGCGCGATGATGGCCTTGACGGCTGTGATGGCGATCATGATGATGACGGTGCTATTTGGAAAGCACACATCTCAAATCTCCAACCCTCAGGGTTCTGAGAATGACCGTCAACGGAGGTAGTGACGGATATTTTTGCTAGTGTTTTGTTTTTGTCTATCAAGTTCCTGACTATTCTGATTATTACATTGACAAAGAGAATCATTATCAAACGTGTTGTACACGAAGGCTTGCACGAAGCATCCGGAGATATCATGCCTGGTGTTTAGAGCCGCTGTAAGTTTGACCCCACAGCCCGCAGCCCGAAGACAGGTACAAGCCGAGCGTGATGCAGCAGAGGCTAAGCTGACTTCCACCCAGGCCCGGAACGGAAGTGCTGTGTATCTTGCTAAGGAACCTATTTCATTTAAGTTTCTACAATAGGGGTCTACTTTAAGACCATATGACAATATGGTTTCGTTATTCCGGTGACTAAAATTAAGTTCCTGAGCAAGATCCCAGAGTAGCGGGGATGGGTCGCTAAAGAGTTTGGAAGTGATCGCGGAATTTAGCGTGGGTGAAGGCGGTGAAGGATCTTATACTTGGTGTGTTTGTCACAGTGCGGAATGCATAATTGTGTATTATAGCTTGTTTTGAGTCATGTGGGGATTGCTTGATGGTGTGTCGTTCCGAGTCTCAGCGCGTTCGAGTGTGGGGTTTTGTGTTTCAGACTTTTTGGATTCAACGCTTAGGCGAGTCCCGGAGTTCGAGGTTCCAGGGTCCCCTAAACCAAGCCCTTAACCCTGGGAGCCCCAAAGGTCATAAACCCTGAACCCTTCAAGATCCCAACCCTAAAGCTCTTGAGCCGCAAGCCCTACACCCCAAACACTAAAACCCTGACACCTGTATAAGTCCTGAACCGCTGAGCCCCGAAACCCTAAACCTAAAGCCTTGAGTTTGGTTTGGATGTGCTGCTCTGGATTTGCAGCTTGGTTTTTCTGTTTAGGATGCTGAGCCTGGAGCCCTAAATTCGAGTTGAAGTTTTTTCATTTCGGGCAGTAGTGAGTTTACGCTTTAAGTTAAGTTCAGGGTTTGGGGTATTCTCTTGCAGTCTAGTGAAAAACACGACAACTAGCAGAACACAGAAGTGCTGTTGGAACGAAAAAGGCCTATATATTGGCGCTTAGGACGTCATGACTCCTTCCGTACCTCTACAAGCGCTTGGAGGGTCGGGGGACTTAGTAACTGGTTATTTTGGGGACTTATAAGTACCATAACCCCAATTAGGGTCCCTTTTAGGGTACTTATAAGTCTACTTACTACCTACTTACTAGGTCCCCCGACCCTACAAGCGAGGACTCCAGGAAGGCCGTGATCCCCAAAAATCTGGAGCAGTGGTTTTCGGCGGATTGGGCGGGGGGGGGTAAGGGCTTCGCGTGGTAGACGAACTCTGAACGTTTCGTGGACCACAGAAGCTTACCGTGGCTGAGCTTTCATGTAAAGCGCTCAGCAGTTTTTGGATTGCAGCCTGGAGCCTGGACGCAAAGCCCTAAGCACTACTCAACCCCAACAACCCAGCAAACCAACCACCAACATCCTAAGCATCCTAAAGGAAACCGAAAGCCTAAGCCCCAAGCCTTAAACTTAAGCCCTAACCCCAAACTCTAAACCCCTAAACCCTATAGCCCTAATCCCCTAAACCCTAAACCAAAGCATCGCCGACAGGCAGAGCTCGATGCGGCCGTTGCCCAAGTCGCCGAGCAGGAAGAGGTTCCAAAGACTCGGAAGAATTCCTTTAAAGGGTTCCTTCAAGGGATCCTTTAAGGGGGCCTTTAATTTAAAGGGCGTGCTATAGAGTTCTATAGTAGGATTCCTTAAAGGGGGCTTAGGGTGTGTGGATTTTGGAGCTGGGTTCTTGTTGAAGGTTTGTTAAAGGGTTTGTTTTTAGGTACCATAGTAGCGAGCTATGGTGCATAATATTCTGGATTCTTTGTTATGGTAACTTAGATTAAGATTCCGTAACAAGAACCCAGCAAAGCGTGCTACAGGTCCTCTGGCGAAGTTTAGGGTCTTGTACCATGAGGTTCTATAGTAGGATTCCGTTTCAAGGGTTCTTTGAGGACTAAAGAAGGTTTCTCTTAAGGGGGGCTAGGGTTTGTGGATTTTGGGGGCTGCTTGGGGCGTGGGCTTCAGGGTTTGGGCTTAGAGCTTAGGGCTCACAGTTTAAGTTCTAGGGCTTCCTTTGGGGGGTTTCGTTCAGGTTAAGGGTTGCCTCAAATGTTCCCTTTAGGGTTGCTTTGCGCGCTTTCCTTGAGGGCTTCCAAGAGGTCCTGTAACGGCTCGCTTAAGGTATGTATAAGGGTCCTATAAGGGAGTTTGGAGTTTGGTGTTTCTCTACTAGCGGTTTATGAAGGTTCTCAAGTTTGATAAGGGTTTCTATGAGCGCACTGCGGATTTACATGCAGCTTCTGCGAAACTTTTGTGGAAGGTTTAAGGTTTCGGGGTTTGGGTTTTAGGCATTTGGGCTTCGGGCTTTTGTGGCGCTTACGCGCGGTTTGTTCCATAATCAGACCCACTTTAAGGTGGTTTCGAGGATTCGGTGTTGAGTTTTAGGGGTTCAGAGCTTTGTCGGGTCGTCAATGCCATCCCGATGTTTTTAAATGCCCGCCACCCCCCCCCCCCCACCCTCAAGAGAAACTCGACAAGCGTGTTATTATCAGGGGGAAGTTTATCTCTACTGTCGCTGTTGGGAAATCTTGCTGCTGCTCTTTCTCTTGCTCCTGCTCCCTGCTCATTCAAAATCGATTTTTACAAGGCTCGGATGATTTCAGGGGAGTGTTCCGGAAAGTGTTAAGGCCTTAGTGTGTTCCTTGAAGCCTTCATGTCGAAAGGGCTCCTGTTAAGGGAGCCGTTTAAGGGCTCCTCTAAGAGAGCCCTGTAATTAAGGGTTCAGGAAGTTTCAGGGTTGATAGGGTTTTATATAGGGTTTCCGGTTTTTTCGGGGTCTGCAATTTTTTGAAAATCTTCTCACGGCGCCCCCCAAAGAAGAACGGCGCCGCTCCGCTCTGCAGGTGGTGGCCATGCGCGCTCCCGAGCAGGAGTTCCTGAACCAATACCGCCGAGCGGTGGCCGATGCTTTTTGGGCTTTGAAAAAGGGGCTTAAAAAGGGTTTTTGAGGGGTAAAATGAGGGATTGTGATGTCCTTTTGGCTTTCATAAAGGGGCTTTTGTCTTCAGGGTTTAGGGTTTAGGGCTCAAGGTTTAGAGTTTGATTAGGGCCTTTAAAAGGGGCGGGGCTTTAAAGGATTTTGGGGCTTTCATAAACTGCTTCGAAGGCCCCCAAGTAGTTTAGGTTTGTGTAGTGTTTTAATGGAGTTTTATAGGTCTTTTGGGCCTTGGGCTTTCAAGCTTTCAATAGGTGAATTGAAAAGGGGTTCATGCGGCTTCTTTTACGGAGTTTTGTAGGGTTTAATTGGGATTTGAAAGGTCCCTGGGGCGTTCGCAAGGATTTTAAGGTTTGGGGTCTACGGTTTCAGGGGTTTCGGGGTTTTGGGTTTGGGGGCCCTGACAACGGGATTTATGGGATCACAGGCTTACCCAGAGGCCCCATAGTAGTTCCTTTTTGGGGTTCATTTTTAGAATCCTATGACGTAATCCCAAAAAGGAATTACATTGGGGCCTATGGGTAAGGTTTTGTATAGCTTTCAGAAAGGATCTTATGTTTAGGGTTTAAGGGCTTTCAAGGGTCTTTGCAGGGGATTAGATTTTGGTGGGTACTTACCGGGGGTTTCAGAGGATGTCAAAGTCCACAGCGGGTTGAGATGGTTTTGATAGGACTTTATGTGGTTTTGGTAGGGTTTTGTAGTCGTTTACAGGAGGCCACTGCCCCCGTACCTTGGGATTTCGAAAGGGCTAGAGTTTGGGTTTAAAACCCTACCCAAACGTCCCCATGAAGTAGGTAAGATACTGGCCCAACACCTATACAGAGCCATTATTCTACATACTTTTGGGGTCGAAACAACCCTAAACCTCAAACCGTGGACCCTTAACCTTAAGCCCTTAACCTTCAACCCTAACGCTAAACCCAAGCTCTCCCAAACCACCAGAGACTGATGCCTTTGCCCAACAAAGCCCACGAAACCCAAGCAAAAAATGAGGGAATTACCCTAAACCCTAAACCCTAAACCCTAAACCTTAACCATCAGTTTCGAAGGGTTTTGTAGTTCAGGATTTCGGGCCCTAAACCCCCGAACCCTAAAACCCCCAAACCCTAAACCTTAAACCCACCAAAACGTCGTAGTGCGAATAACAGATACTGGTGGGCTGGATCAAAAGGCCACAATACACATTAAAACGGCCCTAAACCCTAAACCCCCAAACCCCCTAAACCCTAAACCCCCAAACCCCCAAAACCCTAAACCCCCAAACCCTAAACCAATAAACCCTAAACCCACCAAAACCCTCATATCCCTGAACCCTCCGTCCGAGGCCATGGCCCTGTCGCAAACTGCCGAGGCCTATCGGTAGGATTGAGTTCTGTGCTTTAAGGCCTTAAGCGCAAAGGTTCAGGGCTTTCGAAGTCCTATTGGGTGTCTGTCATGTGCACTATTCTTGTGATTTGTTAAAGCAAGGGCTTCGAGGTTTGTGAAATATTCGGCCTGCGTCCAGGGTGTAGCGCGGTGCTTACTCGTGTGGATAGACCCTAAAGCCTGCGCCCTGCTCCGTAAGGCTTCGAACTTCATAGTCGCAGCGTAGGGCGTAGGGCCTGGCTTTCGGGTTCAGGGCAAGTTTGGCAGTCTTTTGTTCAGGTGAGAGCCAAAGCAGCATTTCCCAGAAGCATGCGGCAACTGCACCCGTCGAGAATGTTGAGTTTTTGATGGTAAACCCTCACCTCTTTTGGATTCTACCCTACCTGAACCTACCAAAACCTACCTTTTTGTAGGGTCCTCAAATTTCCCATTTTAGGGATTATGATGAAAACCTACCAAAAGTATAGGGTTTGGTAGCTTAAGGTGGACCCTATAAACCCTGAACTTTGAACCCTAAACCCTAAACCCTAAACCCTAGACCCTAGACCCTATAAACCCTAAACTTTGAACCCTCGAGCCGCTTTTGGTTCCATGGAGTGACCCGGGCCTTTCCTCTGGCTGGTGCTGGTTGTCCGGCGGGGGGTGGGGTTTAGAGTTTATAGGGCGAATGTAGGGTTTATCTTATATAACCCGGAATAACCTACCTTTTTAAGGACTTATATAAGGAAAATCATAGTAAGGAATCCCAAAAAAGGTAGGTTAATCAGGGTTCAGGTAGGGTTTAGGGTTCAAAGGTAGTCTGCCCCACTCCGAAGATTGCCGGGGGTGTGGGGAGGTGAAAAAGCAGGAGCGAACAAGTCAAGCCATGTCCCCCCCCATGCGTCTAACACAGGTCTTCCCGGACGGGTGGGTGGGGGGGGTAGGGTTTAGGGTTTAGGGGGTGGGCTTGATTCACTGAGAACTGCAAGCCCTCAGAACCCTCAGCTCCCAACCCTTCAATTAACACGTCGTCTTATCCAAAAACGAACCCAGTGGAACAGGATCTTCAACAAGCCCTGAGCCTTAAGCCCTTAAAGCCCTAGACCCCAAACCCGAACCTCCCTACAACCCCAACAAAGCTCGACACCTTTCCCAGGGGCTTTCTCAGGGGCTGCTGACCGGGGATGTGGCGAGTTTCGCAGAGGCCTCCCCTTTCTCCTTGTTTTGCGGCTTGTGAGGGTCGGCAGGGCACCATCTAGTGGTTTTTGATATCCCGTTGGAATCTCTGCATAAGGCCGCAAAGCCAAATCTAACTGCTCAGGCCCGCAATGGCATTTCGGATGCAGGGCTTGGGACAGTCTTTCTTGATTGTGGCAAGAGCCCCTTGAGAAGGAGATATGAGGGCAGTACGCTCTTGTGGTAGCTTGTTCTTGAAGTCGTGTCGGCTACGACGATCCAGTCGAAGGCTTTGTTAGGGGGACGTAAGCATGTGGAGACATTCGGGAAGTTACGGAACAAACGGGTGTCCTTTCAAGGTGTAGCTTGTGTGTTTGCAGTCCCACAGTGGATTCAAGCAGAGTTTGCAGCAACAGGGAACATGGTAAGTAACTTGATGAGTGCGACATTCTTCTACAATCTCTTCTATACAGCCCAGACATCTCCAAAAGCACCGGAAAAGTGCACAACTGGATGATCTTCTGCGGCTTGCTGTTCTCACAAGGTGTTTCTGGTGGAGCCACATTGGTTTTGGCGGTAATCAACAAAGCCAAACTCTACGCGTAATGGGGCTTTCTGTCAGGGCTGTGGTGAGTGTATCCAGGGCTCCTTGGACATGTTGGTGATAGTACATTCGGCCTGTCCCTGCAAGGAAATTTGCAATATGTTCACTGCCTCATGTGAGTTTGCAATCGATATCCTCAATCAAGAGGGTCCATATATACCACACTATTGCCATGGAATTCGGTCCCCAATAACGACGGTCTCTTGAGACCTACTTCCACAAGGTCCAAAACGGTAGTACATATGGGGGGTTCCGAAAATAGGGGGCCCTAAAACAGCACTCTAAACACTAGGATCCTTATTACAAGGACCCCCCCCAAACAAAGGATCCTTAATTTTCGCACACTCCCATGTGGGTGGTTGTCAAAATGAGGGTCCCCGTTTGGGTACCCTAAGTAATAGGTGCCGTATTGTAATAGGGACCCAAACAGGGACCATGATTTTGACAACAACCCATATGGTTTTCGGAAACCCTGAACCCTAAACTAAACCCTTTAAAGAACCCTTATGGATCCCTCTAAGGAACCCTTACAGATCGCTTTCAAAGGTACCCCTAAATTTCGCAAACTCCCATATGGAGCCTCTGGACAAGAGAGCGACTGCTGTAGCCGAACCCAGGCAGCGGCAGGGCAGCTTCTCGGAACAGAGGCCAGATCTGGGTTCTTGCTCAGCGCAGTTACCATAATTTAGGGTTCCATAAAGGGTTCTATAAGGGTTCTAGAGGGGTTTAGGGGTTAAGGAATTTCATATAAGTTACCATATCAAAGGAAAGCAAAATGCTTGCTACAGATCCCTATTATGGTAACTTAGGTTCTCGATTTCATTTAAGTTAGATACCATAATTCAGGGTACCATAAAGGGTTCGATAGTGGTAAAAAAAGGTTCGGGGTTTAGGATCTGGGTTCTTGCTAAATGATTTCATTTAATTTACCATAATTCAGGGTTCTATAGGGTTCTATAAGGGTTTAGGGGTTAAGGGATTTTACTTAAGTTACCATGGTAAAGAAACCGTAGTATCTACTGTAGATCCCTACTATGGTAACTTAGACTTAACTCCTTAACAAGAACCCACAGATTGCTGTGCGAGTTGGGCTTTCGGGGTGGTACTACAGGGGCCTTAATAGTTACCTATACTATTTTGGTGGTTCCTTATTAGATATACGTTTTGTTTAATGGGCCCCAAAACCCTATTCCAATTATGAAGGCCCCTTTTTTACAGCTTTTCGTCTGGAGGACCTCACGGTTCGGGTTTTGGGTTTATGGCTTTCGTCCTCAGAACGTCAGAGTCGAAGGCTTTCGTGGTGAGGGCTAGTGCTGTTAGAAGTCCGTGCTCTTCGGCTTACGAAGAATCCGAGGGTATTGGGCTTTAGGCAGCAGGGTTCCGGAGGATTGGGGTGTTGAAGATGTCGGGCTTGCAGGACGTACCTTCTGGGGTGTAGATTTCCTCGTTTCGCTGTATAAACTCAATACACGTACCATAAATTAAAGCACAGGATTTAGAGTTTACAGTTCGGGTCTCGGTATGGGAGGTTCCAACATGTAGCCCCGGAGGTGCCGGAAGCGTCACTTCGTTTCCAGGGCTTTCGCGACCCGGGAACCGGATCCGAAAGTGCTGACACAGCAGCCATATTGCGATGCTCACACCAGTGGTGTCAAGTGGCCTTTTACAAGCAGCTGGAAGACGACATGATGCGAGTGTTCAGTCACAGGGCGTTCGACGGCGTGGCTGATGCAGATCAGCTCCCGATCAAAAGCATCGCTGGGGAGTCGAGTGGCCTTAAGTATTTTAATTTTCGGATATTACAATCCCTAAGAAACAGCTACAATTCTAGTTTGTTGCTTGGGTTCTGAGTTCAATATAGTGGTGTGCAGGCAGGTTTTGACCTGGAGGGAGTTCTGCACAGCGATGGCCAAGATGGGCTGGTAGAAGTGCGCGATGAACTTGTTCAACTTGAGTCCTTTCTACTCCCCCTAGGCCTGCAGTGCCTTTCGGGAGAGTCCCCGTCTGCACGCTCAGAGTACTACTTCAGCAACCCAAGTCAAGCCTCTATCCCAAGGTGCCGAAGATCGTTCAAGGATCCTCAAACCCCTAGACCCCAAAACCCCGAAACCCTGAGCACATTTGATTAAACCCTAAACCGCGTGCTTGCACTCCTCAAAGAGGTTTGGAGCTGACCCGTCAGACAAGCTAGTGTTAGGCCATCATAAGCCATATAGACAATTGTTTAGGGTTCACCTTAACCCTGAGTAACCTACCTTTTTAGGGTTCCTTATTACGATTTCCTTATATTAGTCCTTGATTATGATTTCCTTATATATGTCCTTTATCATGATTTCCTTATATAAGTCCTAAAAAAAAGTAGGTTCTTCGGGGTTAAGGCAGGGTTTAGGAGACCTCATCGACCTAAGGCCTTCACTCCGAAGCCCTGACCTCTCGCCGCCGAAACTCTCAGCCCCCAAACCTCTAACCCCAAAGGGTCCAAGTATCATTACTAGGACCCGGAGTAGGCCCTTATTCCCTTTTTTAGGGTTTAGGTTCCCTTATAACCCCCTTTAAACCAAAAAGGGCACCCTTTTTATTCCTAGGTCACTCTTAGGTCTAGATTATGGTATATACTTACAGGATTTTGGGGGGTTTAAGTATATACCATAATATTGATACTTGGACCCTTTTGGAACCCCGAACCCTAAACTAACTCTAAACCCTACCATTAATCTCCGAACCCCCAAATTTTTCAACGCGGCACTCCAAACCTCATAGGCTCAAACGCTAAAATCCCCACATCCTAGACCCCAACCCCGACATGCGCTTAAACCCCCGACAGTAAATCCTATAGCCACCAAGATTCTGAAGGGAACGCTTAAAGGAGCCCTGAACAGAATCCTTAACCTGGCCTGTAAAGGAGTCGTTCGAGGAGCCCTGGAAGGAACTCCTCAACGATCAGTTGAAGAAGACCTTATGCGTCAAAGCCTGACGAAATCCTATGCAGGCCTTAAGGCCCTCAAAGGAGCCCTTAGAAGAGCCCTCAAACCTTAAAGGAACCCTTAAAAGAATCCTGAAAAGGGCCCCTATAGAGGAGCCCTTCACTTCTAAAAGTCGCGCTCCAGGACGCCGCGCCCAGCCCGGTGGCTGCAGCTGCTGCAGGGGCCCAGGTTCTACGAGGGCACATCCATACCTTAACCCCACGTAACCTACCTTGTTAAGGACTTAAAGAAATCATTTCAGGGAACCCTAAAAAGGTAGGTTCCTCAGGGTCCAGGTAATAAATGGGCCTGAGTGATTATGCTGTATGAGTTCTTGCCTTCAATGATGTACGATGTTCAAGCTAACTCGGCCTCACAAAAGCCACACACCCAGAGACTCCAATATCCCTTAATTAAGGAATATTCCTTAAATTATAGTAGGATCCCTAATATGATTTAAGGAATATTCCTTAATTAAGGGATATTGGAGTCTCTGGGCACACACACACACAGGGTTCCCTGGACCGGCTCCTTGGTAAAGCTGTAATACGAGGGGAATCAGGATGTCCAGCCCTGATGCCTTTCTTGACGAAGGCGGAGGCCACGGCAGACGTCGCCCCCGCAGCTGCAGCTGTAGAGGTGGAGGATTTGGAAGAGCAGGAGAGGCGTTTGAGAAGTTGAGGGGGGGACCCTAAGTTGTAGGATCTGCCTCGCTAGGTGCTCTCCTAACTGCAAACCCTAATCTTCCTAAACCATAGACCATATGGGAGTTTCCGAAACAGGATCCTTATTTCGAGGACCCCAAAATAAGGTACCCCTGACTATCGGAAACTCCCATATGGCGACCCGACTCTGACTGTGGAGGACTCGTATCCCTCAGGGCGCCCGGCTCCGTTGTAGGCTCCGAAATCTGAACTTGACGTCTCCTGTAGGATGGCGATGCAGACATGGGCGGCACCGGCGGTAGTGCGCGTGGAAGTGCACAGTAGTCCGTGCCAGTCTCACGCAACAGCGCCGGCGGTTTCATGGTTTCGAGCTCCCCTGCGCCTTAAGTCCAAATGGTGGATTCACTATAAAGCCCTACACCCGCACAAAAACAGTCTAGGCTGCAACGAGCACAGGATCGCAAAAAACACCTCGGGTTCATTGTTTAGGGTTTATATAGGATTTACGGCCGGGAAGCCGCAAAAGCATGCAACAGAAGCAAACGGAAGAAGGATATGTCAACAGCTTTCGCATACCAGTGCCCTTAGCAGAACCGATCAAACGTTCCCAGTAGCTCGATATAGCTCCTCGATCCCACCGAACGAATAGTAACATTATCGAAGAACCCTGAACCCTAAGCTAAACCTAAATCCTCAACACAGTTGTAGCTGGAATACTGTAGTACGGCGATTACTTTAGCAAGGGTTATTGCACGAGTTATTTTTAGCACCGAGGATGACTATTAGGGTTACTATAACCTGAATTATTCTGAGGCTTTTTGCGCGGCTTACTATCTTAATTCGAGGGTGATTGTACGCACATGTTGCTGCAAGGGTTGCTAAAACGCACTACCATATGGAGTTGCTACAAGGTCGAGGTTCCCTTGTAAGACTTTGAGGTTGTAGGTTTTGAGAGGTTAGGGTTCAGGGTTGTAGATTTTTCAAAGTTTAGGGCGGTTAGTTAGGGTTCAGGGTTGAGAGAACCTATCACAGGACTTGAGACCTGGACGCGATGTGCACTATGGGAGCCTGAACAATTACCAATTCGTTTTCATTTGTTGATGGGGGGGCTCCTTATTAGAATGTTCATGTAATGTGCCCGCAAACCCTTTTCTAACTATTGAGGCCCCTATAGTAGCTCAAAGTTGTTTCTCGGTTGATGCTGACGATCCGGACAAAAGACCGCGCGAGCATAGCTTTCTTTGACAAGCTGATGAAGTTTTTGCTTTGTTGCTCAGGGGCTTTAAATCATAGTCGAATCATGAACGCTCCTATACTATAGTACCTTTATAGACCCCTTAAAGGAACCCTATTCTAATTATGAAGGCCCCTATATTAAGACTCTAAAGCGAAAGTCTCAAACCCTCAGCTCTAAGCACCAACTCCTAGGCCCTTCTATGGATACTCCAGCAGCGTGAAGAGGCTAAGTAGTGTTCCTTTGGGTTCGTCGTACCTTATCCCCAAGTAACCTACCTTTTTAAGGACTTATGACTTATATAAATCGGTTCCATAATATGATTTTTTATAAAAAAAATCATTTTAGGGAACCCTAAAAAGGTAGGTTCCTTAGGGTCCAGAATAGGAAGCACCCGAAGCCCAAGTCTGACAGATCCCCCTTCGTTAAGCCTTCTAGCAGCCCCACTCCAAACATAAGAGCTCATGGCAGTCAGCAAGCGATAAGTTAGGGGTCGGTGTAATATTTGGCTTGGAAGGGTTTTTGACATCAGGCGTCTGCATCTGATACTCTGATACTAAAGGGCATCAAGGACTTTGAAAGTTCCGAACCCTAACTCCGCAACCCCGAACACCCTCGGCAGCGACGGCTGAATTCTCGTAGGTCTCAATCTAGCCAGCCCCAAATCCTGCAGTCTCTGTGGGGTGGTCTGTGTACGTTCAGGCTTTCTGGAGTTCGGGGGACGCAGAAATTTCGGGCTCGGGGTATAGAGAGCGTCGCAAAAAAGCAGCGCCACAACAAAAGAGCACAGCATCCGCAAGGAATACAAGTATTCTCCATGATGTCATTCCGGTATATACGGATATCTGACACAATAACCCGAGGCTTTGGCATCCAAGACCTGGAAGCAACCATGCCTCCGCCCTGAACCATCAACCCCAATCCCTAAATCCTGGCACGATTGCCCTGAAGATCCCCAGAATCCTACCACATGAAGCCCTAAACCCTACCTTAACCCTGAATAACCTACTTTTTTTAGGGTTCCTTATTATGATTTCTTTCTAGAAGTCCTTAAAATGTAGCTTCTGCGGGGTTAAGGTAAGCCCTAAACCGGAAGGAGTGCCCTGCTGTTCCTCCTACGGCAGCTGCCGCAGCACCGGCCGCAGAACCTGCTGCGGAAGTTGCTGAAGAAGTGACAGGTAGGGCCAGGTAGGGGTTACCTTAACCCCGGAATAATCTACATTGTTAAGGACTTAGATACGGAAATCATAATAAGGAACCCTAAAAAGGGAGGGTTTTCAGGGTTAAGGTAGGGTTTAGGTTTAGGGTTTCTGGTTCAGGTAAGGGCTTGAGGTTTAAATTTCGGGGATTTACGATTTGAGCTCGGGCGCCTATATGACTATTGGTATGATGACGATTTCTGTATACTCTCTGCAGTGATGTGTCACAACTGCTCAGCTATACCCTAAACCCCAAAGCCCCCAGCCGTAGAAGCCTAAACAATACACCCCGAAACCCCTAGACCCGTAAACCCCTGAACCCTAAACCCTAAAACCTAAGCTTAAGCCATGTAAGTATGGGAACCGCCCCCGCCCCTAAAACCCTGAAGCCCATATGCGCTGAGCTCGAGAAGTTCAGATTTTGAGCTCGGCTCTTAGGAGACGCCTCTTGGGTGTACCCCTAGGCCCCATGGTAGTTCCTTTTTGGGCTTACTTTGTAGAGTTCTAAATATGATCCCCCAAAAGGAACCACTATGGGGCCTATGGGTGTCGGGTTTTTGGGCCTAAAGAAGAATTATCCTTACTATAGTTTAGGTATAACCCTGTTCAAATTGCTAAACCCCGTACAGTCGGGTTTAAGGATGTTTAAAGTTCAGGGCAATGGTCTAAGGGTTTAGGGTTTAGGGTTTAGGCTTGCGTCCCCAACGGCATTTCCGCGAAGCATGGGGCACCAGAAGCATTTACATGCACCCCAGGTTTAGAGCTTAGGGGACATGAAACTTCGAAACCCTACATTTCAACGGCCAAGAACCCTGAACGCCCAACTCGAAACTTTCAAAATCCCTGAAGCACCGCGGCACCAATTCTGTGAAACCCTAGATTCCCGTTCCTAAGCCTGAACAACCCTAGCCCCATGCCACCGACCCATAAACCCCCGGTTAGGGTTTGGGGGAACCCCAGCAACCACTTGCGGTTGATGGTATAAATCCTGCATTACCTTAAGGCCCCTTAATATATGGGAAGCATGGTCTACTCCTTATCATGGGTAATGCAGGATATATATCCCAAACCCCTAAAACCCTACAGATCCCTTAAAGGAGCCCTTATATCATCAACCGTTGTCAACGTGGAAGTACCTGACGGCAGGCCCTCCCCCTGCTGAGGCGTCTCCGGTGGAGGCGGTCGGCTAGATTTAAGGGTTTGGACTACAGGAGCTCGAAAATGTTGCGGTATTGCTCAGGCTTTCTGGAGATACAGTCTCTCATCTCTCCCTCCCTCCCTCCCTCCCTCTCCCTCCCCGTCTCCCTCTCCCACCCTCGGGTTTAGGGTTTCGGGTCTGCAGAGTTTCTTGTACATCTTGTTGCTTACTTTCTACCGGTACGATGAACAGAGTCGGGCTTCTGCGTTCTGTTTCCAGAACTGTTTGATTACGAACAGGGAAAGCATCTCATTGCCATGTATCGCTATGATGACAACATTAACTTCTTCCTGAATCAATACACAGATTTGGGGATTGGGGGTTTACTTTCTGGGGTTGGAACCGGCATTTGCGCCGATGTGGTTGTTGTTCAAGTTCTAGCAACATTCGGCTCAGTACATGTGAGGTAAAGATGCTGCTTCAGCGGGTGGAGCAGCTGGAAGCGCAGCTGCAAGCCAGGCTGCCTCCGAGGTAAGATAGACACCTGAACATGTAGGAAGCTGTAGGAACAATAGAGCCTGATTTGAATCGCTCGTTTTAGCTACAAGAAAGCCCACCCCAAAACCCTGTTCCAATTATTCAGGCCTCGATATCCCCCCTTTCCCCCCCCCCTCCCACACCCCCCACACAACCAGAACCCACACTAGACCGCATTTTGTCCTTTTTCCTTCAAGGCACCCGTACGCCTAAACCGTTCTAAACCCTAAACCCTAAATTGATGCATGCATAAGCCCTATAGATCCTAAGCCCTCAACCGAAGCCTGTCTCAGTCTGGTATGCTTTATTGGTTTAGGCTTTGGGCCTCCAGGATTCGACTAGTCCTTGCTATACGGCTTCATTGAGGAGTTCCTTGAAGCGGAGTCTTTTAAGGGAAACACCTCGAAACCCTACGAGGATGGTTTGTGGGTTCTAGGTCTACCTCGAACCTAACAAACCTAGCTTTTTAGGGCTCCTTATCATGAGTTCCTTATATTGTATACGTCCTTAAAAAGGTCGGTTGTTTGGGGTTAAGCTAGGATCAAACTTCATGGACCCCTGAGCAGACACACAGCACACAGCACCACTGTAATACAGGGGCTTAAAAAAATTACCAATATTATTCCTTGGGGTTCATTATTACAGTATCATGTGCCCCAAAACCCTATTCTAACTATTGGGGCCCCTGCTATATCACAGAACCCTTCTAGTAAGCGTAGTAACCTTTATAGTAACCCTTTAAAGGAACCCTTTAAAGGAACCCTATTCTAATTATTGAAGCCCCTACATTAGACACCGACAAGAGCCCCCAGGAGGCTTCTGGTGAAGGGCGCCTCACATGAGGTCACAGAGCCCAAATACAGCCGTCCTACTATATCTCCATGTATTCTATTACAACAAGATGCCAGTAGGCCCTTACTACAATACTGTATCTCCATGCAGTCTACAATTAAGACACCAACAAGCCCTATTGGGCTTATTCCGGCACCCGAAACCGACCCGTTAAGCCTTCAAACCTGGGGGCCTCAAACCTCTAAACCCTAAGCTGAAACCTTACCTTAACCCTGGAGAACCTACCTTTTCAGGATTCATCATTATGATTTCCTTTTCTAAGTTCTTAGAAAGGTAGGTTGTTCAGGGTTAAGGTAAACCCTACACTGAAGCCCTCAACCCTAGACCAGGATCCTTAACTCTAAACCCTATAACCCTAAGACCACCGTCCCCAAAAATTCAATTCGAAGACCGCCATGTAGGGTTTCGAGTTTGGGCTCACAGCAGGCTCACGTCGCCAGGCCCCGCCGAAGGCTTCCCCGAGTTGGTTGCTTGGGCTTCTTGTTTTAGGGTTTTGGATTTTGGGGTTAGTTCAGGGTTGGCGTTGGGAGTTTAGGAAGTCAGGGTTTAGGATTCAGGGTTTAGGGGCTTGGGTCTTGGGTCTGCAACTCCATATCGACACCTTTCTACGCACCTCGGGTCCTATGCGTCTGCGGGACGTCTATATCCCTGAACCAGGGCTCCCTTACCACAGAATTTCCGAAGGGCCCACAAGGTCGTCTTAGCTCATCCCTTCATCAAGGGCCTCGTATCATTATGGATTCCTGGTGTTGACCATCTTCTTCGCATTTCCATCGAACAATGTTGACGGCATTTTAGCATTTCGCGAGCCCTCCGCTTGCAAATCCGATCCCTGAACCCTGAACGCGCACATCCTTGAACTCTTTTGGCTCTTATGCCCTGAGCTCCACTAAACCCCATACCCCTTCCAGACCCCTTAGCTTCTAGAAGCCTTAACTTAGATCTGATGAGTGAGTACACGTTTTGGGATAATGTAGTTGCCTACAGAACTTGTAACTAACTTGTAATTAAAGTGTACACAATTTCGGGCTTATGAACTCAGCAACTAGGGAAGTACCCGAACCCTGGAAAGGTGCTAACGACCAAGCCGTTGACCAGCCGCCCTCGTTGCAGGAGGCGTCTGTCAGCTTCAGTTTTGTCTTTACAGGTCCTGTAACTTCAATTAAAGATGCGAGTGTAAGGCTAGCCATAAGGCCTGATCGATTAGGTTTTCGCCGTACACTCTAAAGCGGAAGTCGTAAACCTAAGCCCTCCCCATCCCCTAAACCCTAAACCGTCCCTCCCGGTCCCGATCTGTGATGCATTAGCCGCTACCATGGCTCTCTGCATGCCATAGACCCTAAATGGCCCGAAGCAGAATCCCTGGCAGCAGCCCTATGGAACCCTCATAGCTTAAGGGCTGAGTAGATGACCTTTAACCTTTCGCCTTCGGAGCGTTTAAAATCCTACTGTAGTTCAAGAGGTTAACCTTTTTTGGCTTAGCCTCTAAGATAGAAACCTAGCAGTAACCCTAAAGCCTTGAAGCTTTGGTGACATGGGGATGCAGGCGTGGCTTCTGCGCGTAGCTTCTGCAGTCCCTATCCTCATCTAGGGTTTTGTGTTTAAGTTAAAGGGCTTTGGGCTTTGTGTATGGAAACGGCAACCTTTTTTCTAACTGGACGCTCAAGCCGGCTTCGCGCGATTCAACTGAACTTCTGTTGAGACCATTCGGTTCCACCATACCGGTCGAAACAGCTAGAACCGCTCATAAGGCACAGCAAATGGCGAGACTGCATGCAACGTGCCGTTGAGTGTTTTGCACCAGGCGAGTGAGATCTTGAGCAAAGGCGTACTACTTGTACACTCTGTACCGACATACCTATATAAAATATGTACACCCACGTCGCGATTCCAAGGTAGTCATAATAATATAAGTACCCTAACATGGGTTATAGGTATAGCTACCCTACTTATAACCCTACTAGTTATAACTACCCATGAACCTCCAAGTATAGCCTGGCGGGGGAGGCCGCTCCTGCCGATTCACGGAGTGCTGAAGAGCCGCCTAGAAGCTCTTTGGGCCGGGAGGTCACCGGCCCGGGGTTGGGGCTTCAGTGTTTTATGGGGGTTCAGAGCTCAGGGCTCAAAGTAGCTATCGCATAATATACCCGAAAAACCTCTAGTCTTATGTGACCTTGTTTGGGGGTTAATGTTCAGAGTTTAGGGCAAACCCCTAACCCCTAAACCCTCCAACCTACATCCCGAACGGAAGCCAAGACCGATTCTCAAGCGTTGCCCCAGGGACGCATTTCGGATTCCGGGAGTTTCTCGGAGTCTGGGTTTAGGGTTTGGGGTTTCGGAATTGTGTGTTTCTCAAAATTTGGGTTCCCTTCTTTAGTTTGCGGTCATTCCAATAACAGTAAAGAGGGTCCGACGATTTAAGGTCCTTGTTTTCCGAAGCTTCCATGTGTCTCATTGCCTTCTAGGATCACCCTCTCAGTCTAGGCTGGGTGCTGGGCAGCATCCGCCACCCAGGCCCCCGACCATTCATGCGCAAAGGTAAAATACCTCCGTGTATGAGGATGCGTATGCAAGCGTTGGTTCGCTGTATTTCGCTGTACTCTTATTCATGAGTGTTGAGTCGTGATCACGCGACTTTGGTGCAGGCGGAGAGTGCTCCGCCGGCGCAAGAGGCGCACACGAGTGGGGTTCGCGTGTCGGAGAGCGGGGACCCCATTTAGCCGGTGAGACCTCGGTTTGTAGATTCGGGCTCGTTTACTGTCGGTTACGCCATGATGATATCGGCCATTCTCGAGGGTCTAGGGTTTGCATCCTCGCTCCATGAGTTAGCCTTCATTGGGAACTCGGTCTCTTCCAACCCAAACCCTATAAATACTCTACACCCCCGTATCCAGAAATCTTCTGGAAAAATACACCGAGATCCCTAACCTTCAGTCCCAAATCCATACCCCTGAACGAGCTCTCAAAAAGCGCATGCCTAACCCGTAAACCCGTATAATAACCCTTATAGAACCCTTAGGCCCCTAAAGCAACCCTTGTAGAACCCCTAAACCCTAAAGTAACCCTTGTAGAACCCCTAAACCCCTAAAGTAACCCATATACACACCCTAAGAGCCTCAGAAGCTCAACAGAAAGAGCCCCCACCCCGGTCAGGCTGCGGAAGAAATCTCCTTTCCTTCACGAGGCCCGAAAGTCACACAGGGATTTCGCCTGGAGGGTTGTGGGAAGCTAAAGTTTTGGGTTTAGGGTTTAGGGGTTTAGGGTTTTAGGGTTTGGGGTTTAGGGGTTTTTAGGGGTTTAGAGTTTAGGGTTTTAGGGTTTTAGGGTTTAGAGGTTTAGAGGTTTAGGGGTTTAGGGGTTAGGGTTCAGGGGTTTATAGAAATTGTTACGGGTTTTGGGAAGCTAAAGTTGAAGGTTTAATGTAGGAACCTGATTAAGAAACCTTGGGCTTAAGGTTTCCTTTAAAGGGGTCTATAAGGGCTACTATAAGGGATCTATAAGGGTTAGTATAAAATGTAGGAGCCTGATTAAGAAACCTTGCGCCCTTATTAGGGTTCTGCAGGTTCCTTATATGAATCCTACTGTTTTGGGGTTCTAGGCCCAGGGTTTCTTAATCAGATTCATACATTAGGGTTCAGGGGTGTGTAGAAATTGACATTAGTGTGGGTGCCAATAACGCTTTGAGCGAAAATAGTTCGTGCAGTGATCGAATGCAACACTGTCTCGCGGGCGACGTCGATATTGGACAGGCAGCTTAGATCAGAGTTTCAAGGGGATGGTTGAGGAGGAGGTTGGACGCTTCGCCTCGTGAAAAGCCTGGCGAAGTGTCGGCATGTGTAGCCCTGTTCAACTAGGCCGGAAGGTCCTACGGCCCATTTCGTCAAGAACTGAGTCCTAAAACTTAGACCTAAGGCGCTGAGCGCAGAGAGCAGCCCATCGCCCCTAAATGAGAACATTCCTTCGGGCACATTGGGTTTCTTAAATGGTTTACGTAAGGTTACAAAATCAAGAGTTCGAGTTCATTTTGGTTAAATGATGAACACTTACACATACAGACTAATAATGATACTCATACCAATATTCATACTAATACCAATACTAAGACTCATATACACCATACTCAATCCGGGTTGGGCTCTTTGGGGGCCAGGTCCTCGCAAGCGTGCCGACGGAGCACGTGAGGCGGGACTTCAAACCGGCAAAAAGCCCTACGCCCGAAACCCTGCTCTTCAAAAGTATGCAGACTAGTAGCCCTTTTATAGGTGTTGGGCTGCATTTGGGGGTGTAGGAGTAGTAGCCCTGTTGTAAGTGATTTTACTTGCATTTGGGGGTGTAGGACTAGTGGCCTTTTGTAGGTGTTGGGCCATGATTTTACTTTAGGTAGACCCTAAGCCAAAGCCCTAAACCCGAAATGCTAAACCCCAATTCTAGTTGGACGGATTTCCGTGTTAGGTGGTCCTAAACCCTTTAGACCTCTACAATCTACAACCTCCCTGATCTAGGGGTCGGGAGAATTACCCATATTCTTCCGTTGGTTCCTTATTATAGGCAAACTATAACTTAGCCGAAACCCGAGTAAACCCTAAACCCTAAACTGAAGGCCGACGGGTCGGCCGCAGCAGGCGGACCGGAAGGCGCCTGCCGGACCGTAGGCGACGGCCGAAAGGCAAGCCGTAGGTCCTGGACCTCAGGTCCACGCGGCTCCAGTGAATAGGCCGCTACTGTCAGCCTATATAATAATAACCCTAAACCTTGGTGCAAACCGGCCGGGGACCCCTGGAATCCTCCTTTCTGGGCCCCGGTAAACCTTGGTGCAAACCGGCCGGGGACCCCTGGAATCCTCCTTTCTGGGCCCCGGTAAACCTTGGTGCAAACCGGCCGGGGACCCCTGGAATCCTCCTTGCTGCCTTTGAAGAGCCTTAAATTAAAGACCCGGAACCGAGGATTAAGGACTCGACAAGAAATTAAGGACGCGAGCTTGAATTAAGTACCGGAGCTTGAATTTCAGGATTTGGACTTAAAATTAAGGACCCGAAGCTCCAAATTAAGAACCTGGAGCTTACAATGCAAGGGTTTTTGAAAACACTGGTCCTTCTTCAGCCTCAAAACTGCAAGGCTTTTTGTGCCTTTGGGGTTCCGCGCACCCTCCGCCACCGGATGCATTACGAAGGCTACCTGCCAGCAATCCACCCCGTTGGGAGAGAGAGAGAGAGAGAGGGGACAGTAGAAGGTTAAAGTTAAAGAAAGACCCACAAACAGAGCGCAAAGAAAGCGCGACGACCACCGCCACCCTCACTTCGCCTGGAGGCCAACAAAAAAAGATTTTCTTCAGCTGACAACCAGCCACAAACCGGCCTCCTGGTGCAAGCTTTGTGAGCCATTTCGCCTGCAGGCCAACAAAAAAAGATTTTCTTCAGCTGACAACCAGCCAGAAACAGCCTCCTGGGGCAAGCTTTGTGAGCCATTTCGCCTGGAGGCCATTAAAAAAGATTTTCTTCAGCTGACAACCAGCCACAAACAGCCTCCTGGGGCAAGCACAGAGCCACCAAGATCCGGAAGGACGATTTGTTGCGGATAAGAGTGGGCCACACAGAGCCACCAAGACCCGGAAGTACGATTTGTTACGGATAAGAGTGGGCCACACAGAGCCACCAAGACCCGGAAGTACGATTTGTTACGGATAAGAGTGGGCCACATAGAGCCACCAAGACCCGCAAGTACGATTTGTTACGGATAAGAGTGGGCCACACAGAGCCACCAAGACCCGGAAGTCCGAAAGGTTACAGATAAGAGTGGGCCACACAGAGCCACCAAGGCCAGGAAGTATGCTTTGTTACGGATACGAGTGGGCCACACAGAGCCACCAAGAACCCGAAGTACGATTTGTTTCGTTCAAGAGTGGGCCACACAGAGCCACCAAGACCCGGAAATACGATTCGTTACAGATAAGAGTGGGCCACACAGAGCCACCAAGACCCGGAAGTACGATTTGTTACGGATAAGAGTGGGCCACACAGGGCCACCAAGACCCGGAAGTACGATTTGTTACGCAAAAGAGTGGGCTACACAGAGCCACCAAGACCCGGAAGTACGATTTGTTACGGATAAGAGTGGGCCACACAGAGCCACCAAGACCCGGAAGTACGATTTGTTACGGATAAGAGTGGGCCACACAGAGCCACCAAGACCCGGAAGTACGATAACTGAAAGGCTTTTTGTAAGCCCTTGTCATTCTTCAACCTCAAAACTGCAAGGTTTATTATAAACCCTTGTCCTTCTTCAACCTGAAAACTGCAAAAGACGGGACCCGCAAGGCAGCCACCCAGGACTACCACGGCTCCGGCAGAGTCCACGTGCACGTCGTCATCTTCGTCAAGCCCGAGGACGTCGAGCAGCTGAACCTCGTCGAGACCGTGTCCGCCACGCTGCCCGAAGATGCAGACCTCCGCGGCTACGTCGAAGGCAGCCAATATGACCGGGACAAGAAGAGTGGCTGGCCCGTCCACGAAGCACCGACTTTCTTTGACCGTGAGGCAGGCGCCTGGCGCCTGCAACACACGGAGGACGACCACGCGGCGGGCTTGCGCCCCTACATCGTCGATTTGATGGAGGTGCTCCACTGCCACCAAGACTTCCAGATGTGCGACGACGACGGCCTGCTCCGCGCCTACGTTACCAAGTACGTCAGCAAGTTCTCGGATGCGGCCAGTGAGGAGTGGCTGAACGACGACGCGGAGGCCATGAGTGTGGCGGCGACCGTCCTCATGCGTTATACCGGCCGCTGGAGCCCGAGATGGTGCTGCAGCTCTTCGGCGCCAAGTTCCGGCAGTGGCACCTCTCCACGCAGAGCGGCGGCAAGCGCGATTTCGTGGCGACCTACCCGGACAAGGACCCCAAGCCGCGCGAGGTGGAGCTATACGAGCAGGCGGAGTGGGCCTGCGGGCGCATCAGCCTCCTCGACTATCTACGTAAGACCACGGCCGAAGGGAAGCTCTGCCACTGGCTCAAGAAGAAGCACAGGGAATCCGGCAGCGAGGCCACCCTGGAGGAGTTTGCTGCGAGCTACGTGATGCAGGGCGAGAAAGTCGTGGCCGCCGAGACCGTCTCCAAGTTCAACGACCGCTTCTTCGGTCAGTTGCTCATGCTTCATGTTCCCTTCGAGAAGGCCACGGACTTCTGCCTGCCCCAGAACCTCGCGCGACGGCTCCCGGAAGCCCACAAGTACTTCGCCATGGCGGTCCTCTGCGAGCATCCGGTGGCGCAGGCCATGTGGCAGGACGACGAGAAGATCCGCGCGGAGCTGAAGATGGAGGCGCACACCAAGGACCACGTGGACACCATCCTCGCCATGATCCGCGCTCACCGCGGCTTGCTGCAGGAGTACCTGGACGGCTCCCTGGATGCCCGAAAGGAGCAGCAGGCCCAAGAGAAGCGCAGCAGTGAGAAGAAGGCCTCCAAGAAGAAAGCGAGTCCTGTGGATGCCAGCAAGTTCAACAGACAGCAACTCCGCGCCTCGTCTGCATCAGCCTCTACATGTGAAGCAAGCGTGCAAATTAAAGCTTCGCTCCTGACCTGCTGCGAGGCTTCAAAGAGCTCGTGGACACCGCCGTGGACCGCGCGTTGACCATCGAGGAAACAGAGGACGAGGGCGAGGCAGACTGTCTACGACAAGAAGCTCGAAGCAGCAAGGCCAACGTTTGCCTCGGTCCCCCCGGAACTGGCAAGACCACCGTGATCTTCTCTTGCATCGATCGGGCCTTGGCCAAGGGCGGCAAGGTCTTGATGGCTCTGCCGACGGCCCAGCTGTCCAGTCGCATGAAGGCACGCTACGGTCACAAGGTGGACATCGACACCTGCCATGCCGCTTTCGGCCTCCATGAGGCTGCAGAGCACGGGGAAGCATCTTTGCTGAGCATGTACTCCCTCATCGTCATCGACGAGCTCTCGCAGCTGGACATGGTGAACTTCGAGAAGATCCTGAAGCTCTGGGCAGCTGCAGATCGCGTGCCGGCACTGGCGCTGCTGGGCGACCGCTACCAGATGGCCGGCATGGGAGAACGGCGGCCCTGGCATGGGCGCCTCTGGAACATCCTGTGCTATCGAGTGGCTTTGCACAAGATGTACCGGTGCAAGGACAAGGAGCACGCCAAGCTCCTGGCGGTACTCAGGACCGGGAAGCCGAGCGCCAAGCGTCTCCGACAACTGCGCAAGAAGATGGCCTGGCGGCCGCCTGGCCCACCTACCGTGAAGCGACTGCGGAAGCTCCTGAAGTCCAAGCCCCACACGACCATCCTCACGTGCACCAGGCGAGGTGCTGCTTCGGTCAACGCAGCTGCCTTGAAGGCCCTCTTTCCCAACTACGCTCCCCTTGTGACTTTGCCGGCTGACGTGGACGCGAACCCCGAGAACTACGAGCAAGGCAAGCTGAAGGCGCCCGGCGAGCTGCAGCCGTCCGCCATGCCCGTCTACAAGGGCATGAAGGTTTACCTGACACGCAACGTGCGGAAAGACATCGACTTCATCAACGGCATGGAGGCGACCGTCCTGAAGTATGACGACGACACGGGCGGCCTCCTGGTCAAGACTGCCACCGGCTTCGTGGTCAGCATTTGGCCTTGGACCGACCCAGACAGGGGTGGCTTGGTCTACTATCCCGTCCGGCCCGGTTACGCGTCCACCATCCTGAAGTTTCAGGGTGCAGAGCTACCTCACGTCGTCGTCTACTTGGATGCCCCGAACGTTCCCGCCGCGGCCTACACGGCCATCAGCAGGGTCGGTTACTACAAGGACTTCCTGCTGGCGGGCATCTTGACGGAGCACCATTTCACGCCGGCCAAATGACGTAGTTAGCAACAGCCGTTTCACCTCGGCAGGCGCTACGTGTACAGGTAGCCCGCAGCATGTTGCGAAGGCAGCCTCAACGCTATCCCTTCGGAGTCACTGGTGCCGCGCGAGCAGTAAACGGTGCAGGAAGCGCAGAGCACGGTGTATGCTCCATGCAGCCGAGCTTCAACTTCCCACAACAAGCAGCATCGGAGGTGCCAAACCAAGCTTGCCAGGTGCCGCTACTGCTCCGTATATATCACAGGTGACTTGATGCATGTTTGTTGATGCCACCCGCAGATGCAAGTAGCATGCTCGGACGAGAGCCTCGCAGTCGTCTCTCTCGCGCAGTCTTGGCTCAAGCCTGGACTCACAGCGAAAGCAATCTGACGACATCACCTACAGTTTTACACGCCGTTGCATGACGACAACTCGCTTCACATCGGCAGGTGATATATGTACAGGTCGCCATGTCGCGTGCTAAAGAGAACGACTGTGCAATTTTGGCTGCAGGCGAGATCATGTTCATGTCATGCATATGATTACATGCCTATCCTTCACAAGCGCCCTTTCACTGTGGTACTTTACCAAATACACTCCTCAAGGCTTTTCACAAATCCTTCCTCTAAACCATATAAGCCCCCCTTGCTAGGGGGGGTTGGGGGGGTAGACAACCCTAAACCCGTTCAAGGTTTGAAATTAGGGTGGGAGTGCGGGCATTGCAGCTCATGCGCCGACCCCAACCACTTCATGGAGGGGTCGACAGCGCACTCGCAGCGAAAACCCTAAACCCTAAACCCTAAACCCTAAACCCTAAACCCAGGTCTTACGGCCCCACATCTTCAGGGATTCTCAGGTCCGGAGTTGTGGGTGTTGCTTCTTGCTTGCTGTGGGTCGATGACTTTGACTCAGAACACAGTTGTTTCTGAACTTCTTCGAGCTGTTTCCAGCATTCTGCTGTGGCTTCGTGTAACTTGGTGATAGAATGCTATTTCATATGCGTGTTCAACAAGATTCTGACCACTCTCTGTTTAGAGAACTTAATTTTGGGGTCGGTCGCATTGATTCGTGGATTGATCAACCGGCTGGGGCTGCTGGTCAAAGGATTCGCATACTGACCAAGGGAGAGAGTTCCTCTCTGAGGGACTTCGCGCGTGGATAGCCAAGCAAGGCATCAAGGTCTCTTTAAGTGAGGCGCATGACAAGAAGAGCAAAGGACTTGCCGAGTGGATCGCCGATGCCTTCTTGCAAGCTCGGGCCTCTCTGATGGGTATTGGCCTTTTGCGATGTGCCATCGGCATCCGTTCACCAAAGGAGGCAGTTGGGTTCGACACTGTTGTCGTTCTTTGGATAACAGCTTGCGTTTAAAGGGCTATCCTTCCTTGTTGGGGTTCCCTATTATGATTTCCTGAGAGAAGTCCTGAAAAGTGTATATAGCGTATTTGGGGTCCCGGTAAACCCCTACACCCTGAACCCAGAGCCCCAGAAGCTCACAGCCCCTCGGAACCAACGAGCAGGCTCACAAGGGGTCGCCGGACTGTGCCCTGCAAGAGGACGAGGCAGCTGGGGTGTAAGATGCCAGCTTGAAGCTGAAGGAGAAGTTCTAGGATTATAGGCTCTTCGGTTTTTTGTCGTGATTTAGGCTTTAGGAGTTCGGGGCTTAAGGTTCGATGCTCTTCGGTTTCGATGTGATGCATGAAACTGACCATAAGAGATTGAGGGAAGCTCCCGGTGTCCTGTCTTTGACTTAGGTTTAGGGCTTAGACGATGGGGGCCTAAATAAATACCAATGCGAGTTTGGGGGGTTCCTTTAAAGGGTTCCTTAAACAGGTCTGAAGGGATCTATAATGGGGTTCTATGGCATAGGGGCCTAAATCATTTCCAATACAAAACCCTAATCTGCTTATTAAGGTCACTAGAATACTGCGCCCGCAGCATTTCGACACACGTCAGTCACACGACTGACAGGTAGTTACAACAAATACATTATTCAGAAGGCAGAGTCAGATACTCTCAACCCTTATCCCGAAGCCCAGTTCCTAGTCTTTGGTTTTGGAGAGGTGGAGGTTTAATTTAGGCAGGCCATCCCCGGAATCTTTAGGAGCATGTCGACGTATCTGAGCATTTCGGATGTGGACGGGTGTTTGCTCGCAGAATGGTTTAGGGGTTTAAAGCCAAGCCCGTTTGAACCAAGCCTGTTTAGTCAAAAAACGCGTACCATCCGTCCGCCAGAAGCTTCTGACAAGATCTTATGACGACACCCTTTCAAGACCCCCATCCCACCGCCTACTAAGGCCCTTATATGACCTTACAGGGCTCAGCAGACTTCAGAGCTTCTTGCGATTCGGATTGGGGAGTTTCCGGAAATGCGGGACCCTAATATATTACCCTAAATAGTCTCCCATTTAGAGTCCAAACCATAAGCCTTGAGCCCTTAAGGCTTCAAACGAAGCTGCTCCGGGTCGTGGAGTGCTCTCCCAGTAGTGATTGGGCTCATGAGTTTACAGGGCTCTATAGGGTCATACAGGGTTTTGATTTGGGGTTTGGGGCTTAGTGACCATTGGGGCTAAACCCTAATTAAACCCTAAACCGTGGCTCTTAGGGTGTCGAGGCTGCACACGGGGTTTGGCCCCAAACAACTTGTCGGAGCACGTTGCTCAGTTCTTCATTGCCCGTTCGAGGGTGCCTCGTGAGTCTGCGCTATGAATCCCGATGTGATGTAAACCGCTAGTTCCCAAAGTGTATTGAACAACTGGCCGTCGATAGCAATACAATCTCCACACGCGACATGTTGAAAGCCCAAAACAACATATGTCAAAATGCCCAAAGCCGTGTCCTCTGAAACCCTAATCGCCCAACCTTCAAACTCCAAGACGGAAAAAAGGCTATTTTTCGGGCTCTGCCGCGCCAAAGCGAGCGCGGTGTGCCAGGCGTAGACGTGTTCCCTGGCTGCAATTGACCGTTGGGGGTACTCGATCGGTTCGGGGTTTGGGTCTAGAGACTGTAGATAGTGTACATACCTTACGCTCATAGTAACTTAGCTTAACTTGCCTTAGGCTTAACTGCTTTAGGAAGAGCCCAGTGGTAGCAGCAAAAAATCCCACCAAGCTTTGAGGAAAGAAGCACCCCGTCTATCTGTTTATCTATCTATCTATCTATCCATCTCTATTTGTATGTGTATATATATACACACATATATATATATATATATATATACACATCTGTCTATCTATATACATACATACTAGATTCTGGATTAAAGCATCCCGCAAAGGTATGCCCAATTTTCGGAACCCCCGGCCCCCCTCCCCCGGCCCCAGCAACATCGGCACATATAGAGCTCAGAGTCACCAATAGCGAGGCTTGGGCAGCAGGATGTTTGCCCGGAAAATTATGGGGGCCTAAATTCTCAATTGACACTACTACTACTACTACCACTACTACTACTACTACTACTACTACTACTACTACTACTACTACTACTACTATTACTAGTACTACTACTACTACTACTACTACTACTACTACTACTACTACTACTACTACTACTACTACTACTACTACTACTACTACTACTACTACTACTACTACTACTACTACTACTACTACTACTACTACTACTACTACTACCATTACTACTACCACTACTACTACTACTACTACTACCACTACCACTACCACTACGACTACGACTACTACTACGACTACTACTACTAATGCTACTGCTACTGCTACTGCTACTGCTACTGCTACTGCTACTGCTACTGCTACTGCTACTGCTACCTGCTCCTGCTCCTGCTCCTCTCCTGCTCCTGCTCCTGCTGCTCTGCTGCTGCTCCTGCTCCTGCTCCTGCTCCTGCTCCTGCTCCTGCTGCTGCTGCTGCTGCTGCTGCTGCTCCTGCTACTGCTACTGCTACTGCTACTGCTGCTGCTCCTGCTCCTGCTCCTGCTCCTGCTCCTGCTCCTGCTCCTGCTCCTGCTCCTGCTCCTGCTCCTGCTGCTACTGCTGTCACAACTACAACGACAATTACAACTACAACTACTACTACTACTACTACTACTACTACTACTACTACTACTACTACTACTACTCTACTACTACTATTACTACTACTACTACTACTACTACTACTACTACTACTACTACTACTACTACTACTACTACTACTACTACTACTACTACTAGTACTACTACACTAGTACTAGTACTAGTATCCCGAACAAGTTCCAGCCAATCCGCCTGTTGTGGCATCGTGTCCCCCAAATCTTCACCCTGGGCTTCGACCTCACCCTCAGAGAAAGGCAAGGGCATGTCTTCAGGAATAGGAGCCAGGCCGGCGAGTTCAGCTTCATGGGTCTCCCACACATCGAGGCCATGATGCACTGCCCAGCAAATCTCTTCATCGATGGTCACGGTGGTCAAAGGATCTGGCACGGCGACGTACTCTGTTGGCGCTCACCCTCAGGCTCCATGTACCCATATAGTATATACTTAGGCCTTAAAGGTACCATTATAGGGACCCCTTTCAGGCTTAAGTATCTACTATAAAGTTACATGGAGCCTTTGGGTCATCGTCATCGCCACCGTCGTCAACATCGTCACTGCCATAATTGTCATGACCATGGCTATTCTCAGCAAATCTCGTCACTCGCATCCGCGGCAACTGGATAACTCTTACCCTGTCACCCCCAACCTGAACCGGAAAGCATGCATTCAACAACAGAGGATACGAATAGACAAGCGTTCAAAAGCTAAACCCTAAACCCCTAAACCCCGAACCCTAAACCCTAAAACCCTAAAACCCGAAACCCTAAACCCTAAAACCCTAAACCCTAAAACCCTTAAACGCCAAAACCCTATACTGCTACTACTACTACTACTACTACTACTACTACTACTACTACTACTACTACTACTACTACTACTACTACTACTACTACTACTACTACTCTACTACTACTACTACTACCTTCGGGGGCTCCTGATGATAACGATGGTTTCTATCTACGCCACATACCCAGTCTAACTTTTGAGGCTCCCCGTAGTAAGTCAAATTAAAGGTTTCCGGGATAGGTTGAACCGAAGCAGCCCCTGCGCAGCAAGCCTTCCGCGTTTCTGCAGCCCCCATCCGTACTTGAAGGCTCATGTCTCATGGCTAGCAGTATAGATTTCTCTAAGGGCTATAAGGTTTGTACAGGGTTCTTTAAGAGCTCTCCACTTGGAGGTTCTTGGGTAGTAGTTACAAGGTTAACTATATTTCATAAACCATAATTATTGCGGGATTTATCACCGTATTTATAACTACCCATGAGCCTCCAAGTAGCCCGAGCCGTACTCCTTCCACCACAACCCTGAATCCCATCCGTGGCCCCTGAACCCTTAAACCCGTAAACTCCTAAGCCTTTAAACCGTTCACCCTGAAGTCCTAAACCCTTAAACCCAAAACCCTTAAACCCCATTTTTCCTTAAACCCTGAGGCTTGCTGCCTGCGCTGCCCATGCAGATGTTGGCGCCGAATCGGCCGCTGAACGTGGCCGCCGGTTTTGGCGCCACGCAGACTGCAGAGTTTAGCGGTTTAGGGATCAGGGGTTTGGGAGTATAGGGTTCAGGCTACAGATACGGGCCTTTATACTTAGAATTTGGTTTCGGAGGTTTGTTGAAGGGTTGCTGTAAAAGGCTCGACAAGGGAGCTATCTTGGGGTTCTATGATATTGGAGCCTTCATAGTTAGAACAAGGTTTTCGGGTTTAAAAGTAAATTGGCTACAAATGCAGCGGGGCTTAAGACACGAAACTGTCCGTAGTTGCTCCGTTTTGGTTTTCAGAAGCCTGCACTATTCCGAATTCACACTCCTTGATTCAGTAGTTTACATATCTTCGAGAGCTTGTGGTCGCATGTATCGCGTTCCGGACATCAGCAACATCAATGTCACTATCAGTCTCGGCACCACGATCATTACCAACATGATGTATGACAGTGTGCCAGTAGCACACCCACCTTCATCACCATTGCCATCATCACCACAACCATCCAAAACCCTACCCTGGGCCCTAAGCCTCAACACAACGTCGTCCAGCTTCCTGAAGATCACTCAGGTTTCAAGCAGTTCACTATGGATGAGACTGTCCCACCTGGTGCGAGATCCAACCCCAGAAGTGCTCCAAGGCTTTCAGACTCCAAAAGCGCGCGCCACCGGGTCGCATGATGGGATCGGTCGTTCACGACCCCGAACAATAGTTGATGGAGGCAAACCTACTTTACCGCTATGCCACTGCAGAAACGATTTGATGAGCACATGTCACGATTGGACTCCCCCGATGAAAACAATATAACGATTTGATAGCGATGAGGATGGCGAAGATGCTAGGACTCGTCGGCGACGATGATGACATGGTAACGAGAGGGGGCGATAATAACGATCCACGTAATGATCAGGACAACGGATGAACCGGCCATATATGATTATACATACTAGAATCCTAGGTCCTAGCAACATACGTATTTCCAATAAGAATGTGGTAGGAGGATTAAATTAGTGCTTATTAAAATCGCAACCAATTGAAGGTCAAGAATTTATGAATATTGCTATATTGATTCTATTACGAAATATTGTAAAATAGATTTTATTATTTGAAAATGAGAATATATATTAATATTTTTTTATATTTCTAAATAATTGATAATATTCTCCGGTCGGGCGTGAGGATATATTTTTTATTTATTGAAATCTTAATATGTTTGATTCTCTTTTTTATCTTGATTGAATTTATAGATATTTTTAATCATATTAAATTCT